TGTGGTATTTTAAAATCAGCTTCTAGGGCTGGGAAGGTGGTTCAGGGGTAGAGTGCTTACCTTGCATGTATGAGGTGCTGGGTTCGATTCCTCAGCACCACATCAGCAGGAAAAAAAAGCCAGAGGTGGCGCTGTGGCTCAAGTAGTAGAGTACTATCCTTGAGCTGAGCTGAGGAACAGTGCCCAGGCCCAGAGTTCAGCCCCCATGACCGACAAAAAGAAAACAAAAATCAGTTTCTAAATACATTTAGTTTTGTTTTTGAATCTGAGTGTAGGAAAATAATTCCAAACTGGACTGACTTAAAGTGATTAACATAAACATCAACGAAGGTGCTTGGCTTGCCTTAAGGTCTCAGTCTCTCCGTTGGATAGGAATGCTTTGTTTAGTAATGCATTCTTCCCACTTCTAGGTCATATTGCTCTGTGCATTTCCTCTTGTCTCTGCTCAGTTTCCTCTCTTTGACATGCCATTTCATTGGCTTGAGTCTTTTTTTAAATTTTTATTTACTTATTGGTAGGGGCTTGAATTCATGGCCTGGGCACTGTCCCTGAGCCTCTTTGTGCTCAAGGCTATTGCTTTACCACTTGAGCCACAGATTTTTGAGTGGTTAATTGGAGTCTCATGGAGACTTTCTGCCTGGGCTGGCTTTGAACCTTGATCCTTAGATCTCAGCCTCCTGAGATTACAGGTGTGAGCCAGTGGTGCCAGGCTTGTTTATTATTAAGTAGTTGCACAAAGGGATTACAATTCCATGAATTGCTTCTTGGACAGTGTCACTCCTTCCTTTGCTTCCTCCCGTTTTCCTGTCCCTGCCCACAAGTTGAGTAATTTGTTTTTGTAATTTTCAATATTAAGCAGTATTTTTTGAACTAGTTACTCTCTGAAGAATATTTTCTACATTAAGTTTTATATTTTTTTTCATTTGGATGATAATCTTTTTTTCCCTCTTGATGTACGTCTTGCTATGTTGCCCAGGTTGGTCTTAAGCTCCTGGGTTTAACTGACTCTCTACCTCAGTGGAGACTATGGACACATTGACTCACTATGCTGCTATTTTGATGATAATTTTTATTATTGTTGTTGTTATTGTTTTTGGTCCGTTGCAGGGCCTGAACTCTGGGCCTGGGCACTGTCCCTGAGCTCTTCACCCAAGGCTAGCGCTCTACCACTTGAGCCACAACGCCACTTCTGGCTTTTTCTGCTTATGTGGTGCTGAGGAATCGAACCCAGGACCTCATTCATGCAAAGCAAGCTCTCTTACCACTGAGCCACCTTCCCAGCATTGATGACAGTTTTTAAAGGGAGGGGAGAGGAGAAGTAAAATGTAAGAAAGCACTTAAAAGGATATAGCTCAGTGGTAGAGTACTAAACTGATGTATATAAGACCCTAAGTTTATCCTAGCACTGCAATATTAGAAAATAAATAACACCTAAAAGAATAAGTGCATTTAAGTTTAGTGCCTCTGTTTGGTTGACTGGGATATAAGTTAAATACCTTCTGTTATGCCAGGCTTTGAGACAGGTAAGTAGGTAGATACAAAGGTGAGGATTTGTCTGGACACTCTTGGAACTTCTAGTATTCGATAAAAATTAAAAAAATAAAAATTTGAAATCAGTAATTCTGGATTAAATACATCTTTGTTTATTGAGTATTTCCTTTGGGTCATATACCATGCAAGTGCTGTGGGTACTTTTTCTATTCTCAGTAGTTTACTTTGGGACTTTGATTTTACAGGGACAATGCATGTGAACACAAACAGGTTTTTGTGGAAGCTTTGAAATATCTCTGGAACAATTGGTTTCCTTATAAAGTATAAGAACTTTGGCTTGTTCAGGTTCAATAGCTTTTAGTGATATTGTTTCTGTGGGAAAATTTGTACTTCATTCTTAGTAGTCATCTTTTCCTCAATTTTTTAAGTGTCTAGTTGATATATAATTGGGGATTAGGATACTACTTCTGGAGTGTTTTGAATATGTAATTTGCAGCTGGAGAATATTCAAGTGTAAAGACCTTTGATTTAAATACTTTTGCTTGCTTTATGATTTGACAAGTAAAGTAAGAATTGTAGGTTCTTTGCATTTGAAGAAATAAGCATGAACCTGGTGCTCAGAATTATCAGGGCCAAGGTGGGAGTGGATGTATGTGGTTTTATAGTTCACCTTCATGGGACTAAAACATATTTTAATTAGAAGTTTCAGTTCTGTGCTGTATAGATTTTTTTTTTTTTGGTTTTGGGGCTTGAACTCAGTGCCTGGATGCTGTCCCTGAACTCTTTTTGCTCAAGGCTAGCATTCTACCACTTTGAGCTACAGCACTACTTCTGGTTTTCTGATGGTTAATTGGAGAGAAGAGTCTCATGGACTTTCCTGCCCGGGTTGGAACGGTGATTCTTAGATCTCAGCCTCCTGAGTAGCTAGAATTACAGGCATGAGCCACAGTCGCCCAGTAGTATCTAGGTTTTTTAACTTAATCATCCTCACCCTTCTATGTGGTTTATATTTTAATTGTGAACCTTCATTTTAACACATGTTTATGAGTTTGTCGTTCCAAAGTCTTAGTGTGCCTCCTGTTACACTGAAGAATTGGAATCATTAGGCAAAGACTCCTTATTTCCTGACATTTTCTGTGATGTCCTCTCTTCACATTTCTCCTTTGCTACCCCTTCCCCACCTCCCCCCAGTCCTGGGACTTGAAATCAGGGTCTGGTTACAGTCTCTGAGCTTCCTTTGCTCAAGGCTAGTACTCTTACCACTTGATCCACAGTGCCACTTGCAGCTTTTTCTGCAGGAATCAAACCCGGGGCTTCATGCATGCTAGGCAAGCACTCTACCACTAAGCCACATCCCCAGCCTTTCCTTTGGTTTTTGATCCCAAAGATCTCTGTCTATGCTTTTATCAGTATTGACTGACCTCATTTTCTTAGCACTGTAAGATAGTACAGATTGAGTATCTAGGAACCATTGCCAGAGTAAATGGTACTCCTGTGTCCTTGTCTTTAGTTGCCCTTTGTCTGGTAGGTATTTTGAGTATCCTTTAAATCACCAGAAGGGCATAGCTTGGAAGATGCTCTTCAGTGGATGAATGGATCAAGAAAATGAGTTATATTACAATTGAATTTTACTCATCCATTAGGAAAAATGATAGTATGCCATTTTCAGGGAAATGGATAAACCTGGAGAAGATGTTAAGTGGAAGTTAGATCTCAGAGAGACAGAGGACACGTGTTTTCTCTTGTATGTGGAAGTTAGATCTGAATTATAAATACAGGTTCATCCATTTCCCTGAAAATGACAAGCTAAATACATAAGTGAACATATATAGGGTTATATGCCTACATATGCAAGTATATTAACTAATGCATTGTATATTCAGGGGGAGACTTTCCAATGGTATACTTCCCTTCTAACAACTTACAGTTTAACAAAATGAATACCAAGAAGCTGAAACTTGTGACAGTTGGGGACGTAATCAAGGGGAGAAGCGTAGACAAATGCAGAGGGGAAGAGTGGGAAAACACAGTCATGATAGTTCAGTGTACATATGTGAAAATGGAACTTGGGAAATTGAAGGAATGGGTGAGCTTGGGAGAGATGGGGGAGAATGCTGAAAGGAGTGACACTGATTAAGATGCCTTATACTTCGTAACTGATATGTTGAGCTGAATCCTCTGTGCAACTACCTGAAGATTTAAAAATCAAAATGATGACTTCTCTGTCTTTTGTGTTTAATGGAATTAATCTGATATTCATAGAGAGAAAGTCAGTGTTGGACCTTATTAAAAAACAAAATCATATTTAGTAAGATAATTCAACTCATGGGAAAGGTTCAGAGAAGCATTACTCTTTTTCCCCTAGTAGCCACTTGTAAATTATTAGACATTTTTGTGATTGGCACTGAAAGGGATTAATCAGTGATATTTACTGAGAGATCACTGAACAGAGAAATCAGCTATGAGCCTGGTGCTGGTGGCTCATGCCTTTAATTCTGGCTACTCAGGAGGCTAAGATCTGAAGATGGTGTTTCAGAGCCAGCCCGGGCAGGAATGTCTGTGAGACTCTGATCTCCAGTAGACTACTCAGAAAACTGGTGCTGTGGCTCAAGTGGTAGAAAGCTAGTCTTAAGCTGAAGAGCTGAGGGACAGCGCCCAGGCCCAGCGTACAAGCCCCACGACTGACAAAAAAAAAAAAAAAAAAAAAAGAAAACTGCCATGTTCTATCCCAGACAGTTGAAAGTATATAATGAGAAGTTGAAAGTATATAGTGAGAATTTAGTACTGGTTTTATTTGAGATAAAAATTCACAGTGGTTAAGGGCAATGCTAGAAAAGAAAAACGCTTCGAGAGAAAGAATAGAGATGAAAAGAAAGTGTTGGTGTTGCCTTGGTGAACTTAGAAACAGTTACACACACTATTTCCTAGATAAAGTAGATGTTAATGTTGGACACTAAAGTGCTGTGCATACTAAAGGAGTGCAGGCTTCCCTGAAGTGAGTAGGCAGATTCTAAAGTTGCACCTATTGGGAGATTGTGGGCCATAGAGGGCTGTCAACTTCCGGATGGAGTGCTACTGGATGGAATGCAGGTCTGCAAGCTACAAGGGTTGTAAATTGGAGGCTGTGTAATGAGTATGACAGCATGGGCTAGGGAGGGACAGCAGGGCTGAGTGTCAAGGAAGTCTATGCAGAAATTGGAAATTGTTTGGTTCATTAGGAGTCAACCTGGTGAGGATTTGGAGAATTTTAAGTTAATGATATTGAGAGCTAACACTGTGTATGGAGAAAGCCCCTTGGTCCACCTGTTTCCTGACTTTGTACTTTCTGGAATTCTGTCCTGAAGAATTTTACTTCAAGATGCAATTCACTTATAAGTTATCTTCTCTGTGAATCTGTTCCTGAACCATGTAGTTTGGTTAGCTGCCATCTCCCTGTGCCCAGATGTGTACATTTACATTTGCATCCAATTTAGTAATTATTACACTGAAAGCAGTTTGTTTGTTTGCAGGGTTATCTCTTCAGCAGACTATGAGCTCCTTGAAAGAAAGAATCGTGTCTTACTCATCTTTGTGTCCCCAGTGTCTAGTACAGTTCCTGATACATAGTAAGTGATTAATGTGTTTTAACTAACACTGTTTGACAGTCAAACTCAGTGCACATTGTTAATTACACCCATGTAGACCTATTAAGATGTTGTTTTAGCAGTATGTCTACAGAGGCGATTTCCTCACCTTTAAGTTATAGATCATACCATACATGGTACCTCTCTAATCATATATACATATATTGTATGTATATGTAAGTGTGTGTGTGTGTGTGTGTGTGTTGTACACACATACCCCCCACATATATGTTCTTAGTGTCACACAACTTTGGGTTATAAATGAATTGCAAGGTTAGGTGTAATGTAAGTTTGAACATGCCAGAATATATGAAACATGGAAATCAGTAATAAATACAAATATCTGTGAGCCAACATTTCAAACTACAATTTAGATCTGTACTGACATGGTTAATGAGCTACCAGTGAATACATCTCTTACCCGGCATTCCTCTTTTCCCAACTCCAACATAAATACTATCTTGTTTTCTTTCTTTTTTTGTGCTGGTCCTATGGCTTGAACCCAGGGCATTGGTGCTATCCCTGAGCTTTTTTTGCTCAAGATTACTACTCTACTGTTTGAGCCATTGTTCCACTTTTGGATTTTTGGTGGCTAATTGGAGATAAGAGTCTCATGGGCTTCCCTGCCTAACCTGGCTTTGAATTGTGATCCTCAGATCACAATTGAATTGAGATCCTCCCTAGTAGCTAGGATTATAGGTGTAAGCTACCAGTGCTTGGCTCCTAAATTTTTTATTTCTTTATTTTCGGTGGTTTTGGGGCTTCAAATCAGGGATTTGTGCATGTCAGAGAGATGCTCTACTACTTGAGCCATACCTCAGCCTTTTTTTTAAAACAAAAGAAAGAATTTCTTGAATAGGATCTCACACGCCTGGCCTAGCTTGAATTTCAATTCTGCTATTTATGCTTTTCATGTAATTGGGATGATAAGCTTCTGTTACTACACCCAATTTTTTATCCATTGAAATGAAGTCTCTTGAATTTTTTTGCCTTAGAATGTAAATGTGCAGCTTTATATGATAATGTCAGATTGATTGCCAATAGAATTTTACCAGTTAAAACATTTACCCTTAGATCTTCCCCATCTGCCTTCTGAGTAGGTAGTATTACAGGTATGGGTCACCACTCCTGGCTGGCCTTTTCTTTTTTTTTCTTTCTTTTCTTTTTTTTTTTGGTCAGTCATGGGGCTTGAACTCTGCTCCTGGGCACTGTCCCTCAGCTCTTCAGCTCAAGGCAAGTGCTCTTCTACCCCAGGCAGGACAGTCCATGAGACTCTTATCTCCAATAAACCACCAGAAAACCAGAAGTAGCGCTGTGGCTCAAGTGGTAGAGCGCTAACCTTGACCTGAAGAGCTGAGGGAGAGTGCCCAGGCCCAGAGTTCAAGCCCCACATCCAACAAAAACAACAAAAAAAATTTCAGACTACATAAAATTTCAAAAATTTTATATGGGACATTGTTGAAATTAGAATATGGACTATATATTAGAGAATAGTTGGATACTATTTAAATTCCCAAACTTTAGCATTATGCTATAATTATTATATATTTATTTTTAGGAAATACATAGAAAAACTGATATGTAAAAGGTCAGTGTACTCAAGTGGTTCAAATAATATATTCATATATTAATTTATTCATTATGTGCTTATTTTATTTAACATATGACCCTGGATTCTTTTTTTTTTTTTTTTTTTTTGGTCGGTTGTGGGGCTTGAACTCTGGGACTGGGTGCTGTCCCTGAGCTCTTCAGCTCAAGGCTAGTGCTGTACAACTTTGAGTCTTAGCACCTCTTCAGGTTGATGTTAATTGAGGGTAAGAGTCTCACAGACTTTCCTGCCCTGGCTGGCTTTGATTTGTCCTCAGCTTCCTGAGTAGCTAGGATGACAGGAGTGAGCCACTGGTACCTAGCTCCTGGATTCTTAATATAATCGTTAATTTTGTTGCTCATATTGACTCAGTTATGATTTATTTGTCATAATGTTCTGTAATTTATGTTTCTAATGCTCAGTTATAATTTCAGATGAAAGATGCCTAAGAATATAAACGTGATGGCTGAAAATAAGAGTGGATTATAATTGTATAATTGATTTGAACAGCCATGTTTAAACATTTTGCAAATTTCAGTATTGTGTCTCATATATAAATAAATGGTCTTTTTTTATAGACATAAACTGAATTTTGGGACATGGCCACTGCTTCACCAAGGTCTGATAGTAGTGATAACCACAGTGGAAGGTTACAGTTACAGGTAACTGGTAAGTGGTTTTCAAATAATTTAATATGGTGATTCTCTGAAATTCAATTTTGAATATCCCAATTCAGCAGACTTACCACATAAATAAAGTTCTTGGGAAATACTCAAGTATTTCCTCCATTAAATGGCACCAAGTTTTAGTGCTTTGCTTTTGTTTCTGTTCCTTTTTCCTTTGCTTTGCTTTTCTCATCTTGTTAATTTAATTTTAAAATAAAAATCACTTGATAAAGTCTACAGTCCTAATGAGTTCACAATACCCCGTGTAGTATCTATCACTATTCCTTAAACCAATAGGCAAAGGGACTAAGTGCCTTCTGTTGGATATAGGAGACTGATTAAGATCCTAGGATTCTAGGCTTTGTACTTTTTATATTAGTTAACAATGATCTCTGTACTGATTTTTCTTTGTGGTACTAAGGGTTGAACTCAGGGCCTCATGCATGCTAGTCAAGTGCTTTACCAGTGAGTTACATTTCCATTTTATTTTTAAATAATCATATGCTATCAGTAAAGGCTTGGCCCTTTGCTACCATTAAACCTAGTTGTACTCTTCACTAAGCTAAATTATTTTTAACATCCTGATTTATTTATTTTTATTGTTAGCATATAGTTTTTTTGAGACAGAATCTCACTATATAGCCTAGGCTGGCCATGAGCCTGTGATGCTCCTACCATAGCTTTCTTGGTGCTAAAATTATATGTGGTGTATACTACTATAATATATTTATTCTTTTTCTTTATATTCTTAACCTACATCTAATTGAAAACAATAATAGTGGGCAGCAGGGTCTGTGTGTGTGTGTATCAAGGAGAGAGAGAGAAAGAAAGACTTGGCATGCTGGAGGCCTTGGGATTGATTCTCAGTATTGCAAAATAAGGCTAATAGTAATGATGATAATTGTAACAGAATAACAAGAGTGATCATGTGAGCAGAAAAATTACGACAGAAAAGAATCAAACAGAAAACTGTCCAATGCAATATGGTAATATATTGTAGTTTACCATGTACATAAGCATACTAGCATACAGAAGTATATTATCTTGAATATCTTTTTAGATTTCAGATTTTGAAGGGAAAGGTCAGAAGCACAAAGTTTGCAAAATATACAAAAGGAGAATCCTTAAGTTTGAAAAATAGACTTGTTATAGTCACTCTTAGAATATTTTAAGCTTTTATATTGCCTACTACCTTAAGAATTTCACGTTTTAAAACTGAGAATTTAAGTTGTATGTGTCTTATTTGAGTATTAGTGGCATGAATTAATAGACTGCATTCTTAGTGTTACAATATTTATGGAATAATCTTGTCTTCTGTTGATTTGAAGTCTTATCATTATATACAGACCCCTCAGAATTCTTGTCACCTTTCTCTCATCGCTGTCAGACTGTCATACTTTCATCTTACTGTACTTAAAACAGATTTGGAGAAATCTCTCATTTTGCATATCATGTATATTTATACCTTCTCTTTTAATTTTTTTTTACTTTATTTAGTTTGACTGTCCCTCATTTCCTCTGCCTCTACCAAAGAAACTCAAAAATGAAGATTTGAGGTTTATTTTAAAATACCATATTAAATAAGAGATAATTCAGATCTTTCCATATTAAAATTTTCAAATCCAAGAACATTCAGATCATTTTTTTCATCTTTTATGCCCATCATTAAAGTTTTAACATTAACTTCATGTTGATCTTATACATTTAATATTATTACTACTCTTTTTAGGGGGGCTGTTAATGAGTTTCTAATAATTTTTCAGTATTTACATAGCTTTGTAGCAAATAATATAATACCAAAGAAAACTAATTAAATGAGCATATACACTCTATTCTACATATTTCCACTAGTTAGAACTATTATTTGAAATAATCATATTGACTTTTGATTATTTAAAATCATAGAATTATGGTTGTTTTATATGCACATTCTTGTCAGCTAATATAAATTCTTAGGGAGATTAAAAATTGCCTTTTAAAAATTTATCTTAATTGGGTGCTGGTGCCTCTAGCTACTCAGTGTCTGAGATCTGAGGATTGCAGTTCAAAGCCAGCCTGAACAGGAACGTCTATAAGACTCTTACCTCCAGTAACCTTCTCATTAAAAGTTGAAGTAGAAAATACACATTCACCGCCTGCCTAAAAATAAGCTATTGATTTAGTAGAAAGGAGAAATCTACAGAGCTTACTACATAGTCAAAAAAAAAAAAAAAAGCTATAAGTAATGCTGTGGCTCTTAGTGGTAAAGCCTTGGCCTTGAGCACAAATAGGCCAAGGGACAGTGCCTGGGCCCTGAGTTTTAAGTCTCAGAACCAGCAAAATAATAATAATAATAGTAATAGTAACTTCTTGTCATTCTAGCTTCCAGTAGTATTGAACATGTTGCCAATTAAAGGTAGACAGATGGGCTTTGAATGAGTTTGTAGTTACTCAGGAGTGTTCATATTATGCTGTTATTAATAATAGAGTAACATTCACCATTTTGGGTGCCAGGAATTCATTGATGGTGGTAGTGCTTTGCATCCTATCACTTAACAGTTGTAAGAATTAGGTAGTCTGTTTTTCAGATGAAAAAACAATGGTACAACATGGTTAATTGACTTCCTTACTGTAAAGTTCTAGTAGTTGGTAGAATTAAAATATGAGCCCAGATATGTTGTTTCCTGTGCTTTCAAAATGATACCCTTTCCTTCCTGTTTTCTTCTCATATGTGAATACATATGACGTGTATTAGCAAGGAAATGACACTTTCACTTGGGATGACAATTCTGAGCCTTTTTATTTTTTTATCAGTCACTCCAGTGGTATTGAACATAGAGCAACTTGAGCAGTGAAGGATGGAAATGAATTTTGTTAAGACTCTGAGAGTGTCAGAGTAGAAGTAGTAGCATAGTAGAAATAAGATTGAACAGTCTTTGTTCCGTGCAGCTCTTCAATGTAGTATTTGCTGTAAAGATCTCATTAATCTACTGTTATTCAAGTTCTGTGCCCCTCTGAGGTATTTATCATGTTGAGTTTTCTGGTGTATTTGTATGACTATGTTCATAAGATAGTAGAAACCTGTATATCTGGTTTGTTTCTGTATCTGTAACACATTGTGTATATGACATAGGGAGGGTTTCCTCTTTCTCATCACAGATCCCAGGATAGGCATAGTTGATTATCAAGGTAAGATAAATGGTTTGTACTTCCCTGACAGAATATTTATTTCTCTGTTTGGATTAGTATTTGGAAACATTAAAGACATTTGTATAGCCTAATAAATTCCTTCATATGTTAGGTAAATTAAAGTTTATTTTCTATAGACTTAAAATGACATTTTGTTTTTAAACTTTTTATTTTAAGACACAGTTACTTTTCATGTTTTTTGAAACCTATCTTCAGTTAAAGCTTTAACACATTTAGAATATAAGTTCCTCAGTTAAGTGAAGAATACCATCTGTCAGGTGTGTTAATAGGAATATTGAATAGACATACTGCTCAATAGCATGAGTTTCTTTTTGGGGTAAATTTGTCTTTTTGTCTTTTACACTGCCTCTCACTATATAGCATGAGTTTATGTTTTCCTGGAACTCACAATCTTTCTGCCTCAGCTTTTCTAGTTCTGGGTTATAGGTGTGTACCACCCCACAGCCAACTCAGCAAAAATGTTATAAAATTTATTGCAGTAATATCTGCACAATGGTGTGATTCTTTTAAAGCCAGTAAACTCAGTCAGTTCATCCATAAGTGGGTAAATTATGTGACGTGTAAATTATGTCAATTTAACAGGAAAATTCAAATAGCTTTCAGGCATTATTATTACCTTCTCCTTTTGTCAATGGAAGAAATTTAGTTTCACAAGAAGAACTTCCATTTTTATTGATTTATTAGTAGGCAATACTAGTTATTAGCCACACACACTAATGATGATTATTTTTCTGTTAGTTTCTAGTGCCAAACTAAAAAGAAAAAAGAACTGGTTTGGAACAGCAATATATACAGAAGTAACTGTTGATGGAGAAATTAAAAAAACAGCAAAATCCAGTAGTTCTTCTAATCCAAAGTGGGATGAACAGCTGACTGTGTAAGTATTTTCTTAAGTTTGGGCTCTTCATGTTTTTTATTTTGTAAAATAGCTTCACAGTAAAGAGTCTTTTTATCCCCATTGTTAATAGGTGATTTAAAATATGAAGGTATTTGGATTCATTTTCTTAAAGAAAAAGAATAATAATTCTTGCTTTACAATTTAATTATTTCTATAGAGTCCTCTTTATTCTGGATGATTTGCATAGAAATTTAAAAAAATTCAGTAATCATTTAATTTTGGTATTTGTGAAATAGTATGGTGTGGATTCATTTATAGTAAAAGTATTACAACTAATGCCCTCAGTTTTCTTGAATGTTTTTGAAATCTGAAATTTTTTTCAGATAAAAACAGTATTATTGTAAATTCTCAGTATGACTCAGAACATTGCCGATGTTTTGGATTAGTAACTATTAGTACTATTACAATCTTTATGGTTTTCTTTCATGTGATATTAAATAAACTGAATTTTCTGTTCTTAAAATATATTGAAATAAATAATCACATAAAGTGATGATGTTTGTGTTTTGCTTTAATTTTACTCCTACAGAAATGTGACCCCACAGACAACCTTAGAATTTCGAGTTTGTAGTCATCACACTTTGAAAGCAGATGCTTTATTAGGAAGAGCAATGGTGGATTTGAAACAAGTCCTTTTAACGCACAATAGAAAATGTAAGTTTCTTTCTAACCTTTGTTTCTTTGTAAGTTTATTTCATACACTTTTAACATATCCTAAATTACAAAAGCAAACTATAATTTGGCACTATTGAAGGAGAATTTTATTTTTGCCTATGATTGCTTTTAAATTTATAGGTATCATATTAAATATTATAATTATTTCTCCATTCTGTAAAGTGATTTCAGTTATCTGCAAGTATTCTATTTCAATGATAAGCAGTCATTTGTTATTTTACTCATCTATATATTTTAAAACTTAAGCAGCATGTGGGTGGTGTTGCACATCTGCATTCCTACCATTCAGGAGAATGAGGGCAGGAGAATTGTGAGTTCCAGGTCAGGCCCAGGTATATATAGGAAGATCCTGTCTTGAATCATATCCCCCAAGTCATACAAGTCCTTGAGAGTTAAAAAAAAAAAAAAAAAGGCCAGTGTCTGAGCCTCTTCTTTGTTTCTTGACTAAACAATTATTTGGATAAAATAAATTCTAAGTTTAACTTTTGGTGTTTTCATCATACAACTAGTTCATTGTAGGAAATGTATAATATAGAAAATTTCAGAGGAATATAAAAATTACCTATGATTTTTCTATCCTAGGATACCATAATTTCTGTGATTTTGTGATTTTCTTGTTTGTAGACATAAACATGTCTATTTATTATTTTATCTTCTGTGTTTAAAAATTTATCAGTATACTGTAATTATGTTTCCATGATTTAAAATTTTTCTGGCTTCAGGATTTTTAAGGTAGGTAAGACTGCAGATATTTTGTAAACCTCTTACAAGTATTTGTGGAAGTTTAGGTATACATACTTCAGCTTGTAATTCTGCAGAATTATAAATCATAGGTTTTATCAAATTCTCAAAATATGTAATTCATAGAAGATTATAAACAGTTCTAGTTTGAATTTTAAATACAATGTTTTTTCATAACATTAAATCTTATTGTCTGACATCACATGGTTTCTAGTTAACTCAAACTAATGTTTAAATGTGTAAATCTTTGTGCTTACCTTTTTTTATTTTCTTATTTCCTTGCAAAAGGTAAATTTATAATGCTTCAAAGATAGAGGAAATCAGTATGCCTTAGTCTCAATTACTCATTATAAATCACTCATTATAAAAATAAAAAAGTTACTTGCTGAAGTAACAAGTAATTGTAAAGTTGTAAGTAGAAGACATATTTTGTTTCTTAACTGTTGAATTTTTATTTAGCTAGCCTTGAAACAATTTTAAAAACATTTCCTTTACAAAGATGATTAAATTCTTGTTTTCCTTTGATTCAATTACTTTAAACAGTACTTTGATTTTGGATTTTAGTTCAGCATCAATTAAAAGAGCTCTAGTGAGACTTCTTGAGTTTTATTTACTTGGTTTTTGCTAAGAATACATAGTAACCCATGAAAAACATGACAGTCTATGATAATAGAAATACCTGATATTACAAACATTCTGACTTTTCATTAGATCATAAAATGACTTTTCATTTAAGTAAAATCTAAATACCCCAGTTATGAAAGAGGAGAAATATTTGGTTTTATATAAAAAAGAAATCATAAATTGTTGTCATGATCCTTAGTAGCCAGACATGGGCTTTGCATTAAGTTCTTATGACTGGTCTTAGTTTGAAGTTCTTTTTAAAAAAAATTCTGACTATCTCCATTTTGTGGTAAGGAAATGAGAAAAGTGAGGATTCAAGAAGTTTAAATAATTTAATCCATATTGTGTCTAATTAGTAGCAAAGCTAGAATTTGCCAATGCTTTGCCTCAACCAAAGGGTTGGGCTGAAGACCAAGTTTGTTCAGTTATTAGACAGTCTTAGCTTTATTTATGTAATAGCAAGTTCAGAGTGTATACAGAAGTAGTTAAAGATGATCTATCGAAAGTACAGGGAGGGGGAGAGAGGAATTACTCAACTAGGTGCAAAAAGCCAATATAGATTAAAAAATACAAAGAATTCTTTCTAAACATAGCTGTCAAGTACTGAGTTACTCCTTCTTGAAATGTAGTTTTGATTTCCAAAACAGTTTGTATATAGCCAAAGTGATAAAATTGGATATTCTTTTTTCTAGTGGAAAAAGTGAAGGAACAATTAAAACTCTCTTTGGAAAACAAGAACGGCATAGTACAAACTGGTGAGCTAACAGTTGTACTTGATGGACTGGTGATCGAGCCAGAAAATCTAGCAAATTGTAGCTCATCTCCAACAAGTAAGCTGTATGTATGCTTTTAAAATTTAAAGTAAGTCTGCAAGAAGTATATGAAAACCTGGTTCTTTCTTTGTTTCTTGTTCAGTAGAAATACAACAAAATGGGGATGCCTTACATGAAGATGGAGACCCTTCGGCAAGGACAACTACCAGGTAGAACGTTTCATTTCAATGTTTATGGTAACAGTTCTTAGTATAAAGTGGTTTGGACTGCATTCTGGTAGCTCACACCTGTAATCCTAGCTACTAAGGAGCTGACATCTGAGGATTCTGATGTAGCTGGGGCAGGAAAGTCCATGAGACTTTGATCTCCAGTTACCTACCAAAAAGCCAGAAGTAGAACTGTGGCTCAAGTAGTAGAGCATGAGCCTTGAGCAAAAAAGCTAAGGATTGTTGCCTAGCTCCTGAGATCAAGCCACTGTACAGGCACAAATACAATGGTTTTGTTCTTTTCTTTTTAACTTTATTATTGTTTAATTTTTTCAAACTGGGGTTGTGTAGCTCAGGCTGACTTCAAACTCAAGATCTTCCTGCGTTAGCCCCTCAGGCCCCGGGGTTACAATTGTACATAGCCACACTCAGCCACACTAAGTATGAGGTTTAAAATTTTAACTTTAATGTAGAATTTGTCACAAAATTTAAAAGCTGGCATGAAAACATACTTGTTGAATGCTTATGAGTGTAGCTTTTAAAAATAATAGTTTATTAAGATATAACATAGACCATAGTCATTCTTTTAAAAAATAAATTTCAAGGCTGGGAAAGTGGCTCAGTGGTAGAGCGCTTGCCTTGCATGCATGAGGCCCTGGGTTCGATTCCCCAGCACCACATGAGGAAAAAGAAAAAAGCTGGAAGTGGTGCTGTGGCTCAAGTGGTAGAGTGCTAGCCTTGAGCTGAGGAGCTGAGGGACAGCGCCCAGGTCCAGAGTTCAGGCCCCATGACCGGACCCAAAAAAAATAAATAAATAAATTTCAGTAGATTTTGTCTATTTCTAGACTGTGCAACTACCCATCTAGTAATTTACATTTTAGCTCTAGATTTGTCATTTCATTTTCATAATTTCATATGAAATTCATAAATTGTGAATGTTTGTGACTGGCTTCTCAGATTTAGCATAACAGTTCAAGATTTATTTATGTTGCAGCAGTTTATGAAATTCAGTATGTGTCTGAGCTTCATATTAATTATATTTTTCTAAATCTGTACTTTGGCTTTTTGGTAAATGGATTCAGATATTGTAGATAAATCTTACTGCTATCTGAATTGGCATTCTATAGATCACAGGAAGATAAATGCTCTACTGATTTGCTTTTCTACCAAAATCATCCTGTCATTTCAAAAACAACATTCATATTTTGTGACAAGAGATGCTTTCTGACATAATAAATTGAAACAAAGATGTATAATATCAAATATGGTAGAAGTGTAGCCTTAAAATATAAAAATATATTTCTGTAAAATTACTTGGTACATTTAAAAAAACATGCTGGTGAAGGACAAAGTGTCTGTACTCTTAATTAAGTTAGTATTAGCAATCTTAATCACATTAAATGATCCTGATAAAATTACTTGAACAAGCCAAGTGTGGTATTGTACTCCTAGGTACTCTGGAGGCTGAGGCGGAAGGATCACAAGTTTAAGGCCAGGTTGGCCATCTTAGTCCCTATCTAAAAATAAAATGTTAAATGGAGATGCTGGTGGTTCATGCTTGTAATTCTGGCTATTTAGGAAGCTAAGATCTGAGCATAGAGGTTTGAGGGGTAGAAAAGTGCTTAAGTCTCTTGTCTTTGATTAACCTGCAAAAAGCTGGAAGAAAGATGTGGATCAAGTGGTATGGCACCAATCCTGAGTGAAAAGCCAAGAAGGAACATGAGACATAAGTCTCAGTACTATATAATTAGTACTAAAAGTATTTTAAACTTTAATGTAATAAAACAGGCTATATCGTTGTCCCTTACTTTTTCTACCTATCATTTTACATGGATATTAAGAATTCTAAATTTTTCGGAGGGAAATCCTAATGAAAAGTTATGTAATTATACTTAACCCATTGAACTAAGGTTTATTTTTGTTTGTTTTTAAAGGTTGGCTCTTGAAGGTACTAATGGAATAGATAATCATGTACCTACAAATACTGTCATCTCAAACTCGTGCTGTTCGTATGTAGTTAATGGAGACAACACACCTTCATCCCCGTCTCAGGTTGCTGCCAGACCCAAAAATACACCAGCTCCAAAACCACTCACCTCCGAGCCTGCCAATGACACTGGTAACCCTGGCTGTTTATGATATGTTTAAAGAAAGCAAAATTAAGTCTATGTATTTATGCCTATACTTCCTTCCTTGTATAATCTTTTTTCCTCTTAAATTTTTTTTTATTGTAATGGTGATATACAGAGGGTTTACAGCTACATACGTCAGGTTACATTTCTTTTTGAACAGTGTCACCTCTCCACTTGTTTTCTCCCGGCTTTTTCTCTCCTGACTCCCCATCCCCAGAAGTTGTGCGGTTCATTTTCAACATAGTGCCTAGTGAGTATCACTCTATTCTTTGACAGAAAATTTGTAATAACAATCCTGGAAATTTTTTTCTGAAATTTTAATTCCTTTGGATCACTTAAGATGGAATTCCAAAACTAATTCAGAGAGGACAACACATTTTTACTTCACTTTTATGATAGGTAATGTCTCAGGCTTTATTCCTCAAAGTACATTTAATTTTTCATGTTATAGAATGTTTCTGAAAGAACTTCAGTGAATTCATTGGTTTGTAACTAAAACTTAGTAGCAAATGGTTCATTTTACTGTCCTGTCTAGTTTGGTATAAAAATGGCCTGACGATACAACTAGCAGAAAGTTTTATAGCCCCAATGTAGGAACTACTCTTATTAGAAAGGCAATAATTAAGGAAGATTTTTCTGTGTAAGTTTTTGTATCTATCTGAAAATACAGCCTAATATGAATATAACATAAGTGAGTCTCATCAGTCTTGCTTTCTGTTACCTAGTCTTCAGTGTAGATCATGACATATAATACAAATCTGTTACAACTAATGTTACAGGTAGCCAAAACCACATGTTCTAAATACTTAGCTTGGCTATTAAAAAAAAAGTTAAAACTTGGGGCTGGGAAGGCGGCTCTGTGGTAGAGTGCTTGCCTTGCATACATGAGGCCCTGTGGTTCAATTCCTCAGTACCACATAAGCAGAAAAAGCTGCAAGTAGTGCTGTAGCTCAAGTGGTAGAGCGCTAGTTTTGAGCTGAAGAGCTGAGGGACAGCACCCAGGCTGAGTTCAGGCCCCACAACTGACAAAATAAATAAATAAATAGATAATTAATTAAAAAATTGTAGTTTTAAAAATACAGTCTGAGGAACTGCTTATAGGAAGAAAGACCAATAATTTTTTTTAAAAAATATAAACACAGAAAAGATTATCTAAGTACCAGAGTTCTGCATGATAAGGCAAGAAAAAAATGCTTTTTAACCAAGAAGACTAAAGCTCCCAAATAGTTACCCATACTAGAAAATGAAGAAAAATCCTGCTTATTCACCCATTTAAAATTTTTACATTTCATTTTTGTATAATTTCCTTATGAACTTACCAAAGAAGTTCTAAGAATAACTATTAAAAATATTTAATTTTCATATGACCATATAAATGAGTTCTTTTATGTGATTATCTTATGTGATTATCTTTGAATTAAGAAAGGTTGAGCTAGTTCTATTCTTTCTTACAACAGTTAGATAGCAGAGCCTATCATTTCAATCAGTACTCTTTTTTTGTTTTTCCTCACTCTTGGTTAGTACTGGATTTGGAACTCAGAGCCTGGCTGGCACTCTACCTCTTGACCACACCTCCAGCCTGGCTTTTTGCTGATAGTTTTTGGAGGTAGAGTCTCTCACACTTTCTGCCTGGGTTGACTTTGTACTTAGATCTTTAGGATCTTAGCCTCCTGAGTAGCTAGGATTACAGGTGTAAACCACCAAGCCTGACTCTAAGACTACTCTTGATTTCATGAAAAGAATATAAGGTGAAGATGTTGAATGCTTATTTTAGAAAGGTTTTCTTTTTGCCATCTCTCTAAAGTATATGGAATTTTCTTATTGGTAAAGTGATTACCTATCTGAATAGATTAGTGAAAATAATCTACTAACTCTTACTTTCATGTTTTAGTGTTGGGATGTATTCAGATGTGGACATAATTAAGGAAGAAGGAATTAATTTAGGCTTTTCTGATTATAGAATTACAGACTTCAAATAGTATTCTCCCACCCTTTTTACTGATTATTATTGAAGATGTCTTACAAAACAATCCTATTGTCATCATTCCATTGCCTAGTTTAGTATGGCTTCCGGAACCTAGCCTGTTGATAGCAACCACTTAATGGATGTCTTTTTGTATGTTCAGTCATGCCTTACTAGGAGGATGAATTCAGGAATGGGCAGTTCCTATTCCTTTAAGATGTTGGTACAAAGCCGTATTTCTTTATTTAAGGTAAGGTCCTTAGAAATAAGTTTTTGTTGTTGGAGTTGTAGATGGGGATAAGGGTGGAGGAGAACATATTCTGTGTATCACTGTATTCTGTCTTTAGTTTTCTGAGTGTGAGCCTGACCCCTGAATTGTTGTTTAGCTTCTGGTGCTTTGGTTTTCTATTTGGAAATACAATCTCTTGATCTCTTCCCATACATATCCTAAGGGCTTCAGCAGAGCTGCTCTTCGCTGAGAACCTGAGATTTTGAGCCAAATGAACTTCTTTTCCTTGAAAAGTTATTTATTCAGCCTTGTTATTTACATTAGTAATTCAAAGTAGACTTACATACCTATAGTTCCACAGTTTGGAAATCACTAGTTTTTTTTTTTTTTCTGGGTCCAGTTGTGGGGCCTGAACTCTGGGCCTGGGCACTGTCCCTCAGCTCCTCAGCTCAGGGCTAGCGCTCTACCACTTGAGCCACAGCGCCACTTCTGGATTTTCTCTTTTTGCTTATGTGGTGCTGAGGAATCGAACCCAGGGCCTCAGGCATGCAAGGCAAGCACTCTACCACTGAGCCACCTTCCCAGCCCAAATCACTTTTTTTTGGAATTATTTTTGTTTTTCTTTTCCTGTTTTTCTTTCTTCTTATAAAGTCATTCAGTAGAAAAATTATTAGAAACTATAGTTTTAGTGGGGTACCAGTGGCTCATACCTGTAATCCTAGATACTCAGAAGGCTGAGATCTGTGGATAGAAGTCAGCCAGGGCAGGAAAGTCCATGAGACTCTACCTCCAATAAACTTCCAAAGAGGTAGAAGTGCAGCTGTAGCTCAAGTGGTAGAGTGCTAGCCTTGAACAAAAACGCTCAGGGACAGCACTCAAGCCCTGAATTCAAACTGCCATGTTCCTCCAAAAAATAAACCCTATAGGTTTTATCATATTCATGATGCATATTCCTATATTTTTATGCAAAAATATTAACATATTTAATCATAATGTGTAGTTCTCTACTCTGGTGTTCATGTTGTATCTAATAAATATATGTGCTATATTACCTTTCATAACGGTTCAGGGCCAAAAAGTTACGGCCTCAAAGGTTTCAGATAAGGAATATAGAATTGTACTAGGGAGTTGATCGATGCTAACTTCCTGCCATACCATTACACATGAAGGCTTTTCCTCCCTTCCTGTTCTTTATAGTCTTAAAATCCATTTAAGAGATTTAGTTATTTCATCAGTACTTATTTTAGCCTCCAAGAGAGACAGTGATAATGTAGTGAAGAGTTGACTTATGCTCCATGTAGTCCTAAACTCAGTCATTTACTCAGTTAACAGTGATCTTGTACAAATGTAACATTCTCAGAATTAGCTCCTCTATTAAAAAGATTAAAAAAAAGTAGAGGATTATTTTGAAAGTTTAAATGAGGTTATAAAACTACTATAGTTCTTAGACAGTAGGTATATTCTTTTCCACTTAGTTCCCTAATTCCTAACTTCTATTGTTAAATGGGTCTTTTTGTAATATATGATCGTTATTAATAAAATTGATCAGAGCTCAGTTTCTTCAGCCAGAGCTAGCTGATCTCAAACATTTATGACACTTTTTTTCTTAGCTTTTTATATTAAAGAACTGAGTAGGAATGTATGGGAAGGTACCATATCTTTCTCAAGTGTTAACACCTTGTGTTACTATAGTAAAATATCTGTATCAGGAGACTCACAGTGGTACAAACCACTGAGTGTTTTCATATAGTTTGCTTGTTTTCCATGTGAGTTGAGTTCTGTGTAATTTTGTCAAAGGTATGTTTCATATAATTACCATGATTGCACAATTACCACGTGTCTTACTCAAGCTTTTCCTCTGTACAGCTATATCCACATTAAGTGAAAGTTGACTTTTTTGTTTGTTTTAAGACAGGACTTGCTTATAGCTTACACTAACATTGAACTTAGGATTCTCCTGCTTTAGAAATACAAAGTGGTCTGTTTATATTTCTGTAACAAAATACCTGTGGATAAAGAAAAGAGATTTATTTTGTAATACGTTTTTTATTGTAAAAATACCGTATAGATGGGTTACAGTTACATGAGCAAGGCAATGAGTACATTTCCCATCAAGCATTGTTGCCTCCTCCTTTGTTTTTCCCCTACCATCCCTTCCTTCCCCACCTCTCGGTCTACTCTGCCATGCTCCCCCAGCCCCGCTTCCCCTACCGAAGTAGTAAAGTTCGTTTTCAACATAGTGTCTTGTATATCTCATTGTTACAATGGGTCAACCTGTATCCCTATTTAAGCATTTTGTAATATCCCTTCCCCTCCCCAAATTAGAAAAATGTGTATATAAGATTCAGGACACCAGAATCAAATACAGTGAAAACAGGGGTTATACCATGGGGGAAGAACATACCAAAGAAACAAAAAAATCACATAGTACATTATAAATACATTAAAAACAATAGCAAGAAAGAAAAACCATTTGTGTCCCTATCTTGGGGTTCATTTTTCTTAACATCACTTTATATGGTCATGTACATAGCTTTTGACCTTTTCTGCTTGTCTTAAACTTATACTAGTTATTGCAACTAAGGGAAACCATGGGACCTATGATTCCTTGGGCCTGGCTTACTTCACTTAACATAATTTTTTCCAAGCCTTTCCATTTCCTAACAAATGGGGTGATGTCATTCTTTCTGATGGAGACATAGAATTCTATTGTGTATATATACCACATTTTCTTGATCCATTCATCTACTGAGGGGCATGTGGATTGGTTCCATATCTTAGCTATGGTAAATAATGCTGCGATAAACATAAGTTGTGCTGGTATCTTTAGTGTACCCTTGTTTGTGATTATTTGGGTAAATTCCCAAAAGTGGGGTTACTGGTTCATAGGGGAGCACTATGTAGAGTCTTTTGAGGAACCTCCATACTGCTTTCCAAAGTGGTTGAACAAATTTACTCTCCCACCAACAATGAAGTAAGGTTCCCTTCTGTCCACATCCCCTCCAGCATCTGTTGTTATTAGAGTTCTTGATTTTTGCCATTGTAACTGGGGTGAGGTGGTATCTTAATGTTGTTTTGATTTACATTTCTTTTATGGCTAGGGAGGTTGAGCATTTCTTCATGTGTCTATTGGTCATCCTTCTTTCTTCTTCAGAGAAGTTTCTCTTTAAGTCTTTAGCCCACTTATTTATTGGGCAGTTGTTTCTTTGAGGATTTGTTGGTGGAGGATTTAATTTTTTGAGTTCTAAGTACATTTTAGGTATGAGACCCTTGTCCATTGTATGGTTAGTGAAGATCTTCTCCCAATCCGTGGGCTTTCTATTGATCTTGCTAGCTAAGTCCTTTACCATGCAGAAGCTCTGCAGTTTCATGCAATCCCATTTGTTCTATCTTTTATTTGTTGTGTTTCTGGGTCTTTATTAAGAAAATTTCGGCCTGTGCTAAGGAGACTTATGGTTTCTCCTATTCCTTCCTGTAATGTTTTCAGGGTGTCTGCTTTGACCCCGAGGTCTTTGATCCATTTGGAATTGTTTCTGGTACAGGGTGATATATAAGGATCTAGCTTTAGTTTTCTACAGGTGTTTTACCAATTTTGCCAGCACCCTTTACTGAAGAGGCTGCCTTTCTTCCATTCTATTTTTTTAACTCCCTTATTGAAGATTAGGTGGCTGTGAGTTCATTTCTGGGTTTTCATTGGTTCTCAGGTCTGTTCTTGTGCCATTACCAAGCTATTTTAATTACTATGGCTTTGTAGTAGAGTTTGAAATTTGGTATTGATAAGAAAAGAGATTTATTTAGCACACAGTTTTGGAAGCTGAAAGTGAGATCATATGGCCCCATTTATTTAACCTTTGAAGAGAATGGCCAAGTCTGGAGCACATACTGAAGGAGGGATCACATGACAGGAAGCTGAAGTGAACCTAAAGGGTCATGCTTGCTTTTTTTTTTTTTTTTTAAATAACAGCTTACTCTTGAAAGTACTCATCAGATTCCCTATTTGAAATTACTTCATGGGTTTTCACCTGTCACAGGGGTCTTTGGAACATAGCTCCCACGATGGGTAAGGGATCACTATTTACATATTTTTAAAAGAACCCATGATATAGTGAAGCCGCAATAAGTGAACTACTGATATAGTGAGGGACGACTGAAAAGCATTCCATTGTGGTATTTACATAAATCCCCCCCTTCCCATCATCTCTTAACATTTTTTTCCCCCTTATCAGGGCTTGAACTCAAGGCCTCACACTCTCATTCAACTTTTTTTGTGTGTCGGTCCTGTGGCTTGAACTGAGGGCCTGGGCACTGTCCCTGAGCTTCTTTTGCTCAAGGCTAGTACCCTACCTCCCCTACCACTTGAGACACAGTGCTGCTTCCAGCTTTTTCTGTTTTATGTGGTACTGAGGAATCAAACCCAGGGCTTCATGCATGCTAGCAAGCACTCTACCTCTAAGCCACATTCCCAGCCCCTCTCATTCAACTGGTTTGCTTATAGCTAGGCTGGTTTTCTACCACTGGGGCCATTTGCTCAGGCTGGCTTTATGTAGGTTATTTTATTTTATTTTATTGTCAGTCATGGGGCATGAACTCTGGGCCTGGGTGCTGTCCCTTAGCTGTTCAGCTCAAGGCTAGTGCTTACCACTTTAGCTACAGTGCCACTTCTGGTTTTCTGAGTGGCTTATTGGAGATAAGAGTCTCACAGACTTTTCCTGCCTGGGCTGGCTTTGAACTGTGATCCTCCAGATCTCAGCCTCCTAAGTAGCTAGGATTACAGACATGAGCCAGTGGCACCTGGCTTATATAGGCTATTTTTTGAAATGGAATCCCATGGTCTTTTCTGCTTAGGTTGACTTGGAACCTTGATCTTCCAGTTCTCAGCCTTCCTAACTAGTTTGGATTACAGGAGTAGCCACTGACACCTGGCTTAAACAGTTTTATCATGTTATTTTCATTCATGCATATATACACACATACATACACAAAATGTATTTTAGATATAAATCTAGTATGGTTTGCATATTTGGGAGTGATGAGTGTATTTTCCTATAATATACTGTGTTAGAACCAGTGAGTCTTAGTGGACTCACTCTAGTAGTTTGAGTAGTTGTGCTGTAGTCATTGGAGTATATTAATGCATACCATCTTGAATCCTTTTCCTTGCAGTTTATTTGACAAAGTTTTTTGTTTGGTTGGTCATGGGGCTTGAACTCTGGGCTTGGGCTCTGCCCCTGAGCTCTTCAGCTCAAGGCTAGCATTCTACCACTTGAGCCACAGTACCACTCTCAGTTTTCTGGTGGTTAATTGGAGATGAGTTTCAAGGACATGCTTGCCTGGTCTGGTGTGAACTGCAGTCCTCAGATCTCAGCCTCCTGAGTAGCTAGGATTATAGACATGAGCCACCAGCACCCGGCTTAATGTGACAAACTTTTATAGTGTACACATACTGGGAATGGAACAGTTACACTTAAAAATGAAACCTAAGAATGTTGGGGTCTCAGGACTGGAGTATAATCTTCAGGTAATATTGAGTCATGCATTACCTTTTTGTAGATTAGAAAGGAAGTTGAAAGAAATGTTTTTTAATGTTCTTTTATCATCTGTGCAGATTGTCCCTCAGAATAATTTGGAAGAGAAACATTTATATGCTAATGTTGGTTTGTTTCCTTAAGCCAAGGGTATTAGCATGTCTACTTAAATTTTTATTATTTACACACTTATCTTTAAATGTGAACTATGAAAAATGTAATCTCTTAGGTTCATTAGTACTTGGCCCATTGTTCAGTCTGAATTACAACCTGAAGAATATATTAGGTAACTAGATACTTGTTATTACTTCATAGATCCTCTTTTTAATTTTTCCCTCTCAGTTAATGGAGAATCATCTTCATCTGCACTAACTGCTAATGCTTCTGCCATGGGTACTCCAGTACCATCGGAAGAACCCACATTGACTTCAGATTGCATTAGCATTACCATCGAAGATTCTTCTGTTCAGGAGCTACTGGCATCCTCAGAACACAATGAATGTATTCCTTCTGTCAGTACAGAATTGGGATCTGAAACTCAGAACGTATTAGACCTTAACTCCTCTAATTCTGGAAGTAGTTCTGCTTTTGACAAATTAAGGCAATCAGATGGATGTGTGGAGCCTCTTCGGCAGCAGTCTGGGAATGCAAACACAGAGTCTTTGCCATCAGGGTATGTGAAAATACTTTTTTTTAACATTTGACTTTCATTAGTAACTATATTATATGGCTATTGGATGTGTATATATGATGCTTTTATTAGCGTAAATTAATTATACAATGGGGTTTCATGTATGTATGTAATGTACTTTGGTTATATTATCCCATTTAGATCCTATATCTTTCTGATAAAATATTTCTAGTATTTGAAAATTTGAAATCAAAGTTGGAATGTTTTATACTCTTTTTTTTTTCTCCAGTGAAAGTGTTTTTTTGGAGCTGAGAACAATTGTTCATCTAGTTGAAGTATGTGCAGTATGAAAAGAAAAAAAGAATCTGATATGAATTGGAAAGATCTTCTCAATTTGATATGTTTCCTTTTGATGAGAGTGACTGTGACACTCTACATAATAATGCTAGTCTTCTAGCTTTCTGTGTAGTCTGCTTTCCAAGCCTCACACTTGAAATACTGAATGCTGGGGATGGTCTCCCAACCCTTCTAGTAGGACCTATTTATATATATATATGCTGCCTAGTTTTTATTAGTCTGCTTTAAGTGTCCCTCTCTATTCAGTCCCTAAGATTTTCATAAAGAATATCTATCTTTATTCTCGCTATAGTCATCCCTTCCATATTTACTTAATTGTTTTGAATCTTGGCACTGATGATGCTAATTAATAGATCTTCATTTGTTGTCTTTACTTCCAAGACCTTTATATATGGGTTCAGATTTGAATACATGTGCATGCAGTGTATCTTAAAAGTACCATAATAACAGTGTAGGCACAGCTTACAAAATCAGTGTCACTGTATAGCTGTTGAAACTACCCTTCTAGGGTGTTTAGTTACCTAGTGCCTTCCTTTACTCATCACAGTACCTATACTCATACTTCTTTCCTACTTTGGGGACTATTTTCCCCCACTTGGTGCACTTTCTTGTTTCATCTAGTTCCCTTCACTGTTTTAGTTTGAACCTTTCGTATGTGCTTCCCCTGCAAATCTATAGGCTTGTGTCATTTCACTTATTAGAACTCTTTGTCTAGGGTAGCTCTTTCTCTAACCTTATTTATTTATTTATCTATTTATCTATTTATTTTGTCAGTCATGGGGCCTGAACTCTGGGCCTGGGTGCTGTCCCTCAGCTCTTCAGCTCAAGGCTAGCACTCTACCACTTTAGTCACAGTGCCACTTCCAGCGTTTTCTGCTTATATGGTGCTTAGGAATCGAACCCAGGGCCTCATTCATGCAAAGCAAGCATTCTACCACTGAGCCACCTTCCCAGCCCTCTAACCTTATTTTTTAGCTTCCTTTTGGGACAATTCCTTCTGTTTATTGCAGCCACTTCATCCTTAAAAATCTCTTGTGCTCGTTCTGTTTCTGGTAAATTTAGTCACTTACCCAACCACTTATCTGCCATTCACTGTATGCAGACATACAAGAAGATATTCTTTTTTTTTTTTTTGTCTGTCGTGGGGCTTGAACTCTGGGCCTGGGCGCTGTCCCTCAGCTCTTCAGCTCAAGGTTAGTGCTCTACCACTAAAGCCACAGTGCTACTTCCAGCTTTTTCTGCTTATGTGGTACTGAGGAATTGAACCCAGGTCCTCATGCATGCAAGGCAAGCATTTTACCATTGAACTACCTTTCCAGCCCAAGAAACTATTCTTGCTATGAAGAACTTCATGGTATAATAAAGGGTAAAGACAGGTGAACTATTATTCTATATGGACTATACAGTACAAGAAGGCTCTACCAGAAGTATACAGGATGCTATGGAAAGGGAATGTAGGCAGAGTTGAGTAGAGAGTCAGAGGCATATCCTGTGTTGTTGAGATCAAAGAAGACAGTCTGGGAGAGATGATGTCTAGATCATGAAAGAATCCTTTCTGAAAGAGGAATAGGAGTTAACAGATCAAGTAAGGGAGCTCAAGGGTGAAATATTTCATTCTCCATAGTACCAGCTCTAGCATCCAGGAAAATGAGTGTTATTGAACTCTCAGGAGTCAGTATTTTGTTTTAAATCCAGCATTTTAAGAAGCAAAGACTATAACACCACAGATTAAACGGTTGTGTGAAGAATGTTGTTTGTCTGCTAAGGAGTGAGGAACTTTGAAAAACATTAGAAATTTTAATAGTGAAGTGGCATGATCACATTTTCATCTTGTTAGGATCTTTTAGTGACTATGAACTGATTTTGGAGTTAAGGAGTTAGCCATTCCAGTTTAAAACAGCAAATGTATTAACTTAATTCTGTGGAGCCAAGGAAAAGATACCAGCAATCCAAAGCCACCATTTGTGATCTGTGTATTAGAGGATTTGTAGTAATTTCAATAAGTGTTTTTTTGGAGGGAGGGGGTCCAGTCCTGGGGCCTGAACTCTGGGCCTGGGTGCTGTCCCTCAGCTCTTCATCTCAAGGCTAGTGCTCTATCACTTGAGCCACAGCACCACTTCCGGCTTTTTTCTTTTTGCTTATGTGGTGCTGAGGAATCGAACCTAGGGCCTCATGCATGCAAGGCAAGCGCTCTACCACTGAGCCACCTTCCCAGCCCCTCAATAAGTGTTTTTTAAATTGTGATTGTGACCAGTATTTAACACATAAGGAAGTAAATCAATGTAGGCTAGGATGAGAAATATTATAGTGTGTTACATGTTAGTGAGAATAAGTAGCTGGGACATGGCTCAAGTGATATAAGGCCCTAAGTTCAAACTTAAGTACTGGCCCACTATCTAGAAAGGTTAGCATTATTTCCTGAAAGATGTTTTTTCTGATACGTGTGTATGTGTACATAATAGCTGTAGATAAATAGTGCAGTAGACACAGATTTTTACATTAAGTATATTTCTTACTGTAAGTTATCCTCAAAAAGTTTAGATGCTAATCTATTAGGGGAATATGGATCTTAATATCCCCTAAAAGATTAGCATCTGAAGCTTTTTGTGAGTCATGGTGGGGAGGTAGGAGAGGAGAAAATGGAATCAGGTGTGTTTTTCTGGCATAAGTAAAACTTGGCTGTATAATTGAGAAAGCAGTTTTTAACCCCACACATAATCTTTCTTTCTTGCTTAAAAATCTTACCTTATGTTCCTTCCTTTGGTGACTTTACAGATTATTTGGGTAACTATACCATAGTCTCAAACATTTTAGTCAGTGATTCTAATATATAGCTATTTTTATTTATTTGTCAATTTGGGGGCTTGAACTCTGGGCCTGGGCGCTGCCTCTTAGCTCTTCAGCTCAAGGCGAGCGCTCTAACACTTGAGCCACAGCGCCTCTTCCAGGTTTCTCTATCGGAGATAAGAGTCTACAGACTTTCTTGCCCGGGCTGGCTTTGAACTATGATCCTCAGATCTCAGTCTCCTTACTAGCTAGGATTACAGGCATGAGCCACCAGTGCCAGCTTTATATAGCTGTCTTAAGAACTGCTGCTTTTAAGTGCTTTTGTTAAATAACTCATTCATTATTCCCTACATCCATAATTTTGATTCCCTTTATTCTTAGGTGAAATGCGAAATTGTGTATATCAAGGTTAATTTAAAGCACAGGTCTAGGAAACCTAGCATATTTCAGAGATTAAATATCAAGAGATGTAAAAATATTTTCTGGGTCTTTCCTTAGGCATCTGTTGAAAGTATGTGTATTTGACTGAAATAATGATTATAGAATGATGGTATAAAGGAGTAAGGGAGTGGAGAGGTGATGTTCGGTGTTTGTAGGGCTTCCAGTTACTTAATGTCACCACATGACATTCACCAGAGTGGTATTCTGAAGACTGTTATAACCCAGTGATGACATTAGAGTATTTTGGCTAAATAAAGGCCTCTAAATTTGCTGTAACTTTTGTTATTCTTTATATGTTAACTTGATGCATACTTAGCCACTGATAAAATATACCTCATTCCAGAGGCTTTCTGGATTCCTATGCAACTTAAACTCCTCTTTCTCTTAACTGCTTTACATGCTCTAATTTTCCCCTAGTATAGCATTCATGGTTCTCCCCCCCCCCACCCCCCACCCGCCCTGCATGCGCGCGCACGTGTGTGTGTGTGTGTGTGTGTGTGTGTGTGTAACTCCCTTTCTCATTCCTTCTCTCCTTTCCCTCTTCTCTTTCCTGCTTGAATCACCCTAGCCTTTTGCTCTGCATTTTTGTTTTTGTTTTAGACAGCCCTGGGGATTGAACTCAGAGCAAGTGTTGAGTTTGAAATTGTTGGGAAGAGGTTGTTAGTTTTAAGTGTTCAGAACTTAAGGTGAATTTTATAGTAGAAATCAATACATTGTGTTTGAAAGTAAATAAGTAATAGAAAGTTAAGCATGTTAATAAGAAAAAGATACATGCCAGAAGAATTGAAAAGATTTGAATATGTTGTCATTAGAAGTGGGAAATGAAATGGAGACAGTAAACACTATTGCTTTCATAGTGAACTTCACAGACTTCTTAGCTGTTTAATTGATGTGAAGGTGCATATAATTTCAGATCTATGAAGGATTGCATTAAGCTATATTATAATTATATATAATTTTGATAAAAATTAAAGCTTAATATAAAATTACAGTTTGTAAAGAAAGGTTTAAAACCAGGAATTATTGCTACAAAATAGCAATAAAAATTTAAGGCCCAATGGTGAGAATATCTAAAAATCAGATACTATTATTAGGAATCTCTGGAAACTAAATCAATATTCTACTACTCATTTGTTTTTGGTAATTAAGCATTCATACAGCTAGCTCATGGTATGTGTTACAGGAAATACTGAAAAACCTTTAAATTGAAATTATGTTTTTAAATCCCCTTTCTTATTATTTTTTATGCATAGAAACAACTGAAGTAAATCTGAACTTTTCGTGTATTTTTAGTGAAATTTCTTATAAATAAGAAATATCTACATTTTTACATAGTTTTGCATAGGTTTTTAATAGAGAAGTTTAATAGTCTCTGCTTCTGTACAATTATGAACTTGGAAATCTTTATTGTTCATTGTTACTAAAGTATTGTATAAGTTAGATTTGTTAGGTGATGCTTAAACAGATTATTAAATTACTTTTACATGTCATTTTAAGGATTGGTACAATCTAGTAGTAGGGACTAGATCTCAATATGTAGAGCCTCAATGTATGAAGATAATTTGTGGAAAATAACTTAAGGCCTTTCTAAAAGTCAATTACTATTTAAGTGGATGCCTTTGTTTCACATAAAGGAAAAGTATTTTCAACTTGTTATATATTGAAAATAAGGAGGCTAAACCCAGATGTCAGGTTTTAACTTCAAACTTTGCTTTTCTGTATATTAACAATGGAAAAGAAGAAATATGGCTCCTAAAGGAAGCAACAAAGGGGAAATGAGAGGTTGAAAATCTCTGGGATTGGGGCTGGGAAGGTGGCTCAGTGGTAGAGCGCTTGCCTTGCGTGCATGAGGCCCTGGGTTCGATTCCTCAGCACCACATAAGCAAAAAGAAAAAAGCCAGAAGTGGCGCTGTGGCTCAAGTGGTAGAGTCCTAGTCTTGAGCTGAAGAGCTGAGGGACAGCGCCCAGGCCCAGAGTTCAGGCCCCATGACCGGACCCAAAAAAAAAAGAAAATCTCTTGGATTGAAAAAAGTAGATAAGATTGTCTATAAATTGTCTATCGAAACCAAATGTGGGATATAGGTGCTCAATGTACTATATGTACAAAGATTAATGAATTATCAAGGAGCAGCAATACTATATACTCTTTTTTTTTATTGTGAAAATACTGAACAGAGGGGTTACAATTACATGGGGAAGATTATGAGTACATTTCTTACCAAGCATTGTAGCCTCTTCCTTTGTTTCCCCTTCCCATCCCTTCCTAGCCTCCCCCCATCCCCACCCAACCCTCCCCCCCCCCACCAAAGTTGTAAAGTTCGTTTTCGACATAACGACTTATACATCTCATTGTTGCAATGGGTCCACCTGTATCCCTATTTAAACGATTTGTTTTTCCCCTTCCCCTCCACAAATTATACTGACATCAAATACAGTGAAAGCAGGGGTTATTCTGTGGGGGAGGGTCATACATAGCAACAAAGAAATAATCTTATAAATGTGTTAGAAACAATCGCATGAAAGAAAAAAAACATTTGAATACATATCTTTAAGGCTATTTCTGATAAAATCTTGAACTCATAGGCAAAAATGATATTAATAGCATTTTATGCCTTGGGTTTGATGGTAGTAAGATGAGATTCCTCTATTTTTGATTATATTTTTATCTGATAATATGGAACTTTATAAATTAGTATAACTTTCACATTTTTCCTCTGCTAACTACAATTATTGTTTGACTTTCTAATATTATTATGAACAATGATTATTAAAATAGAAGTAAGGGAGAGGAGTCTAGGGAAATGGGTCGATGAATGAAGAGAGGGAGAAGAATACAGTCTAAAATACAATTCATATCCTACAAAGTTAAGAAAGTTGAGGGGAGGAATAGGGTCAAGAGGGATGGGGAAGAATGATGAAAGGGATGACATGCATCAAGATGCATTATATTCATAATGTTGAATATATTCATAATGTTGAATGGTAACTCCTTTGTGCATCTACTAAAAGATAATAAAAATGTATTGAAAGTGTAAAAAACAAGCAGTTAACCTTTAAATTTTTTCTGTGTGAACATCTATATATACCCATTTAAAGTAAAACTTGTAATTTTGCAGGTCATAAGTTTTTCTTTATCTTTTGTCTTCTATTTTTTTGTGTTTTTATTAAAGATGGGAACAGAGAAAGGACCCTCATGGTAGAACCTATTATGTGGATCATAATACTCGAACTACCACATGGGAGAGACCACAACCTTTACCCCCAGGGTAATGTTGCATCTTTATTTATCTTCATTTTTAACATGTGTGATTTTTAATTTGTACAGCATTAATTGCATAATAGGCTTTAAAGATGAACTCAGAGATTAAAGAGGCCCTTGCAAATTCAGTAGTCTCAGTGAAATAAACCCCATGTTATGGCTGTGTTTTGATGGGTTAAATGAATGATTGTCAGGTAGTCATTCTTTCAACAAAGTAACAAAAGATTCTTTTGTTATGCCTTAGACTTGATTTTTAATTTGAGTGAAGTTTTAACTAGTTTTCAGCCTCTTATAGAAGATTATTGTGTATTTGTGACAGTTGGGAAAGAAGAGTTGATGACCGTGGGAGAGTGTACTATGTGGATCATAACACCAGAACAACAACATGGCAGCGTCCCACCATGGAGTCTGTTCGAAACTTTGAACAGTGGCAATCTCAGCGGAACCAATTGCAGGGAGCTATGCAACAGTTCAACCAACGATACCTCTATTCGGTAATTAGCAGATTATAACATGGGACTACAGACTTGTGTTCACCATTTGTTCTCTTCTACTTTGGTCATATTCTAAAGTTGAACAGACTACATTTCTTTCTTTCTTTTCTTTTTTTTTTTTTGCTGGTCCTGGAGCTTTTGAACTCAAGACCTAGGCTCTGTCCTTGAGCCTCTTCTGTGTTCAAGGCTAGCCCTTTACCACTTGAACCACAAGTGCCACTTCCAGCTCTTTCCTTCTTTCTTCCTCCTTCCTTCTTTCCTTTCTTCCTTCCTTCCACCCCCCCCTCCACCCCTTTCTCTTTCTTTCTGGTTGTAGGGCTCGAACTCTGGGCGTGGGCGCTGTCCTTCAGCTCTTCAGCTCAAGGCTAGAGCTCTACCACTTGAGCCACAGCGCCACTCCTGGTTTTTCTGGTGGTTTGTTGGAGATAAGAGTTTCATGGACCTTCCTGCCCAGGCTGATTTTGAACCGAAATCCTCAGATTACAGCCATGAACCACCAGTACCAGGCTACTTCTGACTTTTTCTCTGTATGTGGTACTGAGGAATTGACCCCAGGGCTTCAAGCCACATTCCAAGCCAACATTTCAATTTTTTTTTAAATTAAGCTTTAAAAAATAACTATTGTTCCTATTATATATATAAAATGTATATATGTATGTATATATGTATATATATAAATATTTCTTGCTTTGAAGCATTTCAGATTTTGAATTGGAGATGCTCAATCTTTATGTAATAAATAAGAAATTATGGACTGTGAATGTTGGTTTGGTTTCTATATGGGTCTTCGCTGTGAACCTGAAAACCTTAGGGCAGCAGGACAAAATTAGGTAGTAGGTATATGTACAGTAGAAATATTTTCTACTGTAACAGAATCTCCTTAAGTGGACTGAGGTTAGTTATTTCAGTAGAACAATAAATTTTGGATATCAGTCTAGGACAAATACTACATTGGCTCACAATGCCATCAAGTAACCAAGTTCTGCTTTTTAGCTCATCTGTCCTCATCATGCATCATACTTGTGTGCGACTTCCCTCCAGTTCTGATTTCCAGAGTCTATGCAAGAAGAAAGGGAAAGGAGAATTGAAAGGAAAGAGCTTTGTTCTACCCTCATATCTAGCAAGCTCTTGCCATTTGCTTAGCAAGAAATAGGTACACCATGGCCTTCTGCCTATAACTCATTGGCAAATCTGGTCTCTCTACCGATCCGGCCACAGGGCAGGCAGAGAATATGTATCCTTGTGGATAAATGGTAGTTTCATTATCAAGAAAGCACGGGTTAAAAATATATACTGTATCTATATCTATCTGTCTATCTATCTATCTATCTGTCTATCTATACTGAAATATCTGTAATACCAATCAAGAGCGTATACTTTATCAATCAGAAATTAGGAAAGAATGACCGGAGTATAAAACACGAGGACTGTGAAAGAGGATGGCAACCAGGGGAGGGAGAAGGGTAAAGAGAGAGGGTATATCAGGGTGAATATCATCAAAGTACTTTGTTTGTATCCATGTCTGAAAAGAGATAATGAAACTCATTAAAATTGTTTTAAAAAGGGAGGAGGATAAATAATACAGGGCATGAATTTGATCAAAGTACATAGTACACATATATGGAAACACCACAATGAGGCCCTTTTGTACAACTAAGTGCACTAATACATATATTTGTGTTTACATCTATATTTTTAAATAATTTTATATTATTTTAAAATTCATAATAGAATATATTTTCTTCTGTATATATTGATACATTATGTAAACATGAAAATATGTAAATTATACAAATATCCTAAGTATAATATAAAAATGGTTCTAGAGTTTAATATTGTTTGTATTAATGAACATTTGTTTTTAAAAGCCCTGTTATATTTTAATTACTGCCTTATTTAAACATTATAATATTTTACATGCTCTTTGCTCATCTTCTGTCTCCCGATAGATCATTATGGAAGGACTAGAACATTAAAATATTGATATCAATATATTATTTCTAAGTCCTTTTTACAAAACTAATAATTATATCAGTTGGTTAGCTGCTATTATATTTACAACTTTGTTTTTTAAATTGAAGGGTATGACTCTGCCACGTTGTTTAGTATTTTTACTATTATACTGAAATTCTACTGTTTTATTTCTGCACTCAACTTTTTCTCCAATTAGGCTTCAATGTTGGCTGCAGAAAATGACCCGTATGGACCTTTACCACCAGGTTGGGGTAAGTTGATAGGGTTTTGATAAAAAAAAAAACAACAAAAAACTGTCCAGTATATAAATCAGATAGTTATATAAATATTACATCACTTTGTTTTTAGAAAAAAGAGTGGATTCAACCGACAGGGTTTACTTTGTGAATCACAATACAAAAACAACCCAGTGGGAAGATCCTAGGACTCAAGGGTATGTATATACTGAAGCCTTACTTAAGTCCTATCTTGTATATAACTGTAAATTGAAACAATGAGCCTTAAGTACCTAGAAAATATTCATTTGGAAATCTCAACTTCTGTCTTTTAGCTTACAGAATGAAGAACCTCTGCCAGAAGGCTGGGAAATTAGGTATACTCGGGAAGGTGTTAGGTATTTTGTTGATCATAACACAAGGACAACAACATTCAAAGATCCTCGCAATGGGAAGTCATCTGTGTAAGTGAAAGTGTGAAAAATACCTTAAATGGTACTTAATGAAGACATGAGTTTAGTCTCTAAAGCAGCTTCAAGTTGAGCAGGAAATTCTACTTTCTCGTTCAAGAAAGCCTGCATGAGTTAATACCTTAGTATCTCTTATTTTTGCTTTGTCTTATTCCAGAATGGATTTGTGGCATATAAATGTATACCATACAGTATTTTATATATCATACAACATATAATAGTAGTAAATATACATAGTGATTAATAACTGCCAAGAGTTGTTCTAAGTTCTTTGTATCTATTAGTTCATTTTTATCTTCCAATAACCCCTTAATGTATTTTTCTGGTTATCAGGTGAGTAAATGGCTAGAACAAGCATAGCTAACTGCAAAGTTGTAAGGCATGAAATACAGCTGGGTAAGTGGTGCTATGGCTCAAGTGGTAGAGTGCTTGCCTTGAGCTGAAGAGCTGGGGGACAGTATCCAGGCCCAGGGTTCAAACCCCATGATTGACCAAAAACAAAAAAACAAAAGCTGTGAGAAATAGAGCCAGTTTCAGAACAGTGCAATCTGTCCCCATCTGTGCTCTTAGATACCACATCATACTGCACCAACAGCTTCTGTGAATAAGATGTTGAGCAAAACTGAGTTTTCCAGATAGATTCCTTAATTGAGCAGTTGCCTTTATTCTTACTAATGTGTGCCATGTGTGATCTCTTTCTCTTCTTTGTGTTCACACCTTGTATAATGTTATGCTATTCTCTATAGAAAAACCAGACTGATTTTTAAAATTCAAATAAGAAGTTAATTCTCAGTACAAAAGTGTGCTCAGTAGAATCTTTATAATGACCTATTAGGCCTTGTAGAATCTGATTTATCATCTCTTTAACTTCTGTTTTCCTGTTTATTCACTATGCACCACGTTCACAGGCCACCCGGTTGTACCTCAAACTCCTTAGGCTTCCACCTCTGTATGGTCCTTATTCATTCTGCTTGGTATAATCTTTCTCTAAATACCTACATGGTTTATGTCCTCTCCCTCTTAATATTTTTGCTCAAATATCCCCTGGTCAATCTACTCTTATTTTTCTTCCCATACTACTCCTAATCTTTGTCTTACTTCCTTCTCTTACCTCTGGTACTGAGGATTGAACTCAGGGCCTCATCCTTGCTAAGTAAGTGCTTTACTACTTGAGTTATGACCAAGTTCTATCCTTTCTGCTTTTAAGAAACACACCTCACCCCTAAAATAGTAAGCCCTTTATCAAATCCCCTTTTAACATTTACTATAGTAGTTTACTTATTTGTGTGTTTTTCTCTCTCTCCTTCACTAGCACTTACTTGCTAATTCCACGAAATACCTGTTTCACAAAAATGCATTTTACCTATTAATAAGAAATGCACTCACTATCTAGAAAACACATTCAGTTAATTTTTGTTGAATTAACTTGAATCTAACAATGTAAGAGAACACTCTCTTTTCTACTCTTAAATATTCCCTCAGATTTTGCAAGTTCCTTTGTACCTATCTGTTAGGCTATCTCTAAACAGACAGCAGATCCAGACCTTCTCTCTTGTGAGACAAATTATGATAAAAAATAAACCCTTACATTCCTAGATGCCACCACTATGCATCTTCTCTCACTGACTGATTTATGTGCCCTGGTTGTAACTTCTTCCTAGGAATTTGTTCTTGCTTTGTTTGTTTTCTCCAGCAGAATCTTTTTGTTCAGGTTAGGTTTGTGGTAGGGTATGATTTTTTTTTCTTTTTTCTTTTTTTGCCAGTCTGAACTCTGGGCCTGGGCGCTATCCCTCAGCTCTTCAGCTCAAGGCTAGCGCTCTACCACTGAGCCACCTTCCCAGCCCTTTTTTGTCTTTTTTTATCTGCAGTGACTATCCTCATTTAGACTTAGGGATTGGGCAAAGACTTTCTTTGAAGTAATCTGTAGTAGACTTAAATGTTTTAGTTAACTAATTACTTAAGAAAACACTCATTCCTCCATGAAGTGGAGCTGTGATTGCCTTATGCTCGATTCTCTGTTGTCTTATTGAATGTAGCTTTATTTCTCTCTCTGTAAATGACTGTCTTTAGTCATATCTAGGGTTCTAGTACACTCTGATTTAATTTTGAATATTATATACTCAACTTATTATGAATTAATATATAGTTCATTTTGTTTTTCTTTAGAACAAAAGGTGGTCCACAGATTGCTTATGAACGCAGCTTTAGGTGGAAACTTGCTCACTTCCGTTATTTGTGCCAGGTACTACAGTGGTAAATAAATCTTATCTTTATAATCATTCAGTCTGGTCTTTATAGTATATGTATATATGGCTTACACGATGTTATGATATTTTTTTTGTTTTTAGTCTAATGCACTTCCCAGTCATGTAAAGATCAATGTGTCCCGGCAGACGTTATTTGAAGATTCCTTCCAACAGGTAAGGTAAAGAGAGTTGAAAATTTGAATACCACTTCCAAAGTGATCACTTTAATAATAATAGTTGTATTAAACCTCACCATGCATTGCGTGATTGACATTTGCTTTGACATTGGCATCTTATCTTCGTTATTTCATTCATTCTTATAGTATGAAAATTTTGTATGTAAAGATGTTGAGACTGAAAGACAATTACTCTATCATGAATTTAGATGTGTTTGTACTAAACAAACAGTAAACAACTTTTAGAACAAGTTGATCTGTTTCAACACTTAGCTAAGAATTTATTACCTCTAAAAAGGTTTTGATAATACTAACAAATTTAAATTAAATTCGTGGATACTGTATTTCATTTGAATTTTCAACTAGTAGCCACTATTAATAAAATAATAATAAGTTAAACTTAACAGAGACAATAACTTTGATAATTCATTCTCACCTTTAGGTTTCCTTTTAAATATCACGATCTCAGAGCAACTTATCTGAGCATGCTATTTAAGATGCCCATCCTGCTCATCTCCTTCATAGTCACTTTTTAGCATTTATCCTACTTTGTTCTTTTTTGTAACACCTGATACCTCATGTATTAGGTTTTCATGGTCTCCCTTACTAGAATGCAAGCTCCATGAGAACATGGCTATTTAACTTACTGTTCTTTTGCCCAGTACTTAGACTAGTGACATGATAGTTAATGTAGCTATAGCAACCTTTTTTTTTTTTGGTGTGAGTTAATAAATCCTTAGCAAAACAAGTGTTTCCCATTTCCAGATACCTTGCTCCAAGGTGGTGAGCTGATTTTAGTGATTACATCTAAATTCTTTTTAGACTTTATTTTCCTTTGTGCTGTCTTGGGAGGAGAAGTGTGGTCTTTTATTGCTAGATGACATGGAGCCTCTGACTGCCCCTCAAGGGCTGCTGGTAAACTGTGCTCTGTCTTAGACCTGCCAGTCTTCACTGTGTGGTTCTGACATATATGTGGTGGAAGTAGTTCATTTTTATCCACAGGTAAAGCCTACTTAATTTTAATGTTTATGTAAACTTATCCAGTATGAAAACTTGGTTAAGTATTAAGATAGTTTATAGTTTATAAAAACGTATCATTACTTTCCTACTAAGCATTGACATGAGAGATGTAAGCAGAATATAAAACAAGTTCTTTTGCTGCTTAATTATTGCTGCTTGGAAAAAATTACAGGTCATTTTATTGAAAGATTTTGGTATAGGTTTGAGGCATGAGGAAGAAGACAATGTTTTCTGATTACTTAAAAGTCTCCTTGCTGGGCCCTGGTGGCTCATGGGTAATGCTAGCTATTCAGGAGACTGAGCTCTGAGGATCAAAGTTTGAAGCTAAGTATAAATTGTTTTAAAAGTCACTTATGCTCTCTCTGTGTTTAAATATTCTTGTTTTTGTTTTTATTAGATTATGGCATTAAAACCATATGACTTGAGGAGGCGATTATACGTAATATTTAGAGGAGAAGAAGGACTTGATTATGGAGGTCTAGCAAGGTAAAATTAAACACATATCTGCTTTGAAATAAGCATTCTCATTGTATGCAGTGAGAATATATTTAAAAAGATAAACTATAAAATTAAAAATGTAACATTGATTTGGTAGTGAGATATAGTTTAGTGGTATAGCCTAGCATGCATGAGAACTTGAATTTCATTGTCAGCACTCCCACTTAAGTAAGGAGTGGAGAGGGAAGGGAAATGTGAAAAACAAGAAAGGTAATGTTTTGGCTATTTTATACACTGTAGACATTTTTCTGTATCACTTTCATAAAAATACCTATATATACATCCATATATATATATATATATATATATATATATATATATATATATAAAGCTAGTATTCTTTTTTATCAAATGGCTACAAATTTATATCCCATTTATGGACATAACATAACTATATTTTAGTTTTTGTTACTTTAGCATTGTATATTGTTTTTATGTTTGTAATTTTAATCTAATCAGTCATTCTTTTGAGAAAGACATTTTCCACATGTTAATGGTAAATGTATATCTTAGTAATGAGTGGGAAATCCTTAAAATTTGTTTTCTCTTAATTGCTTTGCACAAACTTAATAACAATTCATTTTTTTAGCAAATGTTTCATGAAGTCTTTTCTAAGAATTCAACTTAATATTCATAGAAACAACTGTTTGAGTTTGTATTTCACAAGTATACATAATTACAAAATCATAATTTTAGTATAACTAACAAAAAGAAATGCAGGACACTTGTAGCAGCAGATAACTGATACATGTGGGATTACCAGTTTTATTACAGCTAGTATGTATCTTCATGCAATATGTCTTCTACAGTAAATATTACCTACCATGATAAGTGTTCATACCTATTATGAGTTTTTCTCAATTTCAGAAATGTTTAGAAGTTAAAATGAAAGGTATGTCTTAGAAAATAGGATATTGTTTTCCATTGTCTGAATTCTTATTGGCTTCAAATGTTTGTGTCTGGATTTATATCTTGCCATTTTTAATGTATTTAGCCAACTCTTTTTTCCAGATATTTGGGTGTTTAATTGGAGACTAAGAGTCTCACAAACTTTAATGCCTGAGCAGGCTTCAAACCTGATCCTCAGATCTCTGCCTCCTGAGTAGGATTACAAGTGTGAGTCATGAGTACTCAGCTAAGACAAGCTTTTTATACTATTTTTATACTATTGTTTCCTTATTTCTTAATTCTTTATTTGATTCATGTGCTGGTGTTTTATTCAAGAGTTCATAGGCTAATTGGGCATTGGTGGCTCACATTTGCAATCGTAGCTACTCAGGAGGCTGAGATCTGAGGATCATGGTTCAAAGCCAGCCCAGGCAGAAAAGCCCCCATGAGACTCTTATCTCCAATTAACACCCCAAAACTGGAAGTGGAGCTGTGGCTCAAGTGGTAGAACGCTAGCCTTGAGCACAAAGAGGCTCGGCAACAGTGCCCTAGGACCAGCAACAAAAAACCAAAACCAAAAAAAAGAATTCAAGGGTTGTATATTCCTAAACCTTTGCATGTCTGAAAAAATGGTTTTCTGTTGTTTTTATATATATTCAGCAAACTCACCTAATGTAAGTATCTCACATAACACTTGCTTCTCCAGTACTCTTTAGGCATTACTTCACCATTTTCTAGCATTGAATATAAGTACTATGAAGTACAAAGCTAGCCCCTGTAGGAAACTTATCTCTGAGTCCATACACACAGTTCTTTACCTTAAGGTTCATTAATTTCATTGTTGTTTATATCTTTTTTTAAGAAACATATTAAGATCTTCCTTAATTTCAAGGAAATTTTCTTCTATTATATCTTTGAATATTTTTTTCTGTTCCATTTGTTCCATTTTTCTTCAGGAACATCAATCATGGGTATGTGGAATCTCCTTTGTCAGTCTTACATGTCTGTCATCTTTTCTCTAATGATTTTTATCTTTGTGCTTTTCTATTTTGTTTTGATTTTTTTCTTGAGCCTATCCTTACGTCACTACAGTAGTGCCCTACCTTTTACTGCTTCTAATGTGATTTTTCTTCATTAGTGGTTATAGCTTATTTTCTTTTGTAGGTACTGCTAGCTCATCCGTTGTGTCATAATTTTTCAACCTCTGTGTCCCCTCAGTTCATTTGAGTGTAGAAAAGGATATATTGATAGTTAACTCTTCTGTCTCTTGCTGGTTAGGAATTTTTCTCCTTTGTGCTAGTACAGGGCAAAGGTTAATTGCCATATTATAATCATTCATTTGAATGGCTTTGGTTTCCTCTGGGGTCTTGGTTGCTCCTAATGATCAGAAGCTATGGGGAATGTTATTCCTGCTTTTTTGTGTCTAGACACATTCTCACTTGACTTGGTCAGTTCTCTCATTAGAGTATACGTTATTTCAGCCTCATCACTGAGGAAAGTCACTTGGTTCAATTATTATTTGGGGACTGGATTTAATTTTATGAATTGGTATTAGTCATTTTTCAGTTGGCTTTGTTTAAAAACTCCCTTGTGCCCTTTAGGCAATGTCAGGTATTATGTTTTAAAAGCTTTTTTTAAAAAAAATTGTAAATAGGTTGCCAGACCATATGAACCTGCATAGAAGTGGCCTATAGTGGTTTAAAATTTTTAAGGTTGCTTAGTAATATTAAAAAATTACCAGATGATGCTTAAGAATCAAAATTTCTGGCTTTTCTTTAGAAAAACTAGACCCACACCCCCATCTTTGACTAGAATATGTTGACCCAAGTAGCTATTTCTCCTTTAGGTTAATATACACTGTTTAACTATAGTGCCTAGAGTTAGCCAATCACTTGAGGGCTAGATTCATATGCCAAGATTCTCCTTCCTTAGAGCCAGTAATATCAGCTGGGCTAAATGAGTAATGGGGAATTGTGACTGAGCAGATAATGTAAGTATTCTCACTGATCACTCACGTTTAAGTTGGGAATCTTCTTCAGAGGAAATTGCTGTTGAAATGACCTTTTGTAAAGTGAACTTATTTTATGCTATGAATTATTAAAGAGACAACATAATTAATAAAAAAGTTAGAAATTATTATCACATTTAATGTTTTAATTTTGATTCCCTTCTTAATATATTGACAACAAAGGTGTAAACTATTCTTTTATAGTAGTATATGTATTGAAGTAGTACTAGCAAACATTATAGAAAACACTTGTGGGGGTTGGAGAGTATAGCTCAGTGACACACCCTTTGCCTAGGGTGCCTGGGGACCCAGCTGTGATCCCTACCACCACCAGAAATAAAACCAAACCACAAACAAAAAGCCTGTTGTATATAGATCCTAAAATGCCTTTAGGGATTAAGGATATAAAATAAATGACATGGGCTGGGAAGGTAGCTCAGTGGTAGAGCACTTGCCTTGCATGCATGAGGCCCTGGGTTTGATTCCTCAGCACCACATAAGCAAAAGAAAAAAGCCGGAAGTGGCACTGTGGCTCAAGTGGTAGAGCGCTAGCCTTGAGCTGAGGAGCTGAGGGACAGTGCCCAGGCCCAGAGTTCAGGCCCCATGACCGGACCCAAAATAAAAAATAAAATAAAATAAATGACATAAAGACATAGATATAAATAAATAACATAAAGACATAGTTTTTACTGTCATGAAACTTAGCAGTCTAGTGAAAGTGTGTTTCATTATATAAAGAATTCAGTGACTAATGTAGGTACTATGTAGAGATTGTTTAAAGATTCCTGAAGTTGGATTTTAGCATACATTGAGCAAAAGGTAGAGTCTGCATTGCTTGAATGGATGTTGAGGAGACATACACAAATAAAAGTGTGGTATACAAAAGAATCTGTATCTTGAAGAAACCGTAAGTTTGTAGTTTGTCAATGGAGAACCAGCAGCTAACTATGAATGGAAAGCAGGATAATAGAAGAGCTTAGCTGGAGGAGGGCTGGGCATTGGCAATGGAACTGTTAAAGGCACTTGAGAAAACAGGTATGTATATGTATAGTCTATTTAAGATTTCTTTTTAATTCACAAATGAAAGCTAAAACAAAACATTCACTTATTTTCTTATAGAGAATGGTTTTTCTTGCTTTCACATGAAGTTTTGAACCCAATGTATTGCTTATTTGAATATGCGGGCAAAAACAACTATTGTCTACAGATAAATCCAGCATCAACCATAAATCCAGACCATCTTTCATATTTCTGTTTCATTGGTCGCTTTATTGCAATGGTGAGTTACCAACTTTTAGTTATTTATTTAAATGTTGCTTATCTCAAAAGCATCTTAAGAGGACATTAATAAGAGAAACTAAGCACTATATTAGTTATTCACTTGTTTCTTGAGATATTGTCTTACTGTGTATTTCAGGCTAGCCTTGAACTTACGATCCTCCTGCCTCCCAAGTGCTGAGATTATAGTTGTGCTACTACACTTGTCATTCATATATTTTATACCAAGAATATTTACTTTGTAAGAGAATATCATAATGCAGTTTATTAATATGGGGAGCTAATTAATAGTCATTTTTAAAGTAAGGCTTAATTATATATGATTTTTTTAATAAAAGGAAGGAAAATCTGAGTTATCTGTTAAGTGACTTGATGTTTTTGGCAGACGTCCTGTGGAATTACTGTCTTTTGAGAATATATGCATTTTTTGAATGGATTATCCATTAATTTATTAACAGGTTATTTATTTCGAGCCTGCTATAATACCATGCTTTGTTCTAGGCACTGGAAATCAGGAAAATATACAGTTCCTACTCCTACGGATCTACATTTTATGAGAGGGAGCAAAATAATAAATATGTGCTCAGGAAAAGGGAGTATTGCTTTTTTATATACTATAGTTACAGGAAAGCTCTAAAAATTGACAAATGAACAGAAATAGGAAGAACACAAGGGATTAATTTATGAAGATATCTTGGAGAAGAACATTTGAGGCAGAAGCAATAGCAAGACAAAGTCCCTAAGACAGAGGTGATTTTTGGTAGAGAAAGAGACCCATGACTGGAACAGAGCATATGGAGGAAAGTGTGGTAGGAAATGAGACCTAAATTCTGTGTAGGACTTACAGAAATTCACATAAAGGTTTTGAACAGAACAGTTAGCATGATTTAAGTAGCATGATTTAAATTAAATTCTATTGTTTGCTGTTGTATAGAAAAGACTGCAATAATTGGTAGGTAGCAAAGGAAAGCAAGGAAGATTATTTGTAACAATCTTGGCAGTGAGAGACTGAGAAGTGGCTTGGATTCTGGATATATAACTCCTGCTAAGATGGTAATACAAAGCTTTTTCATAATAAATTCATAAATGTAGGTGCTTTAGTGAGGCGTCAGCTGTGTTGACCACACTACTACCAGGCCTGAATTTTGGATATATTATGAAGTTAGAACTTAAAGGAATTTTCTGACCTATTAGATGCAAACAAAGTATGGTACCAACATTTATGGCTTGTACATAATGTTGCAGTTGCCATTTCCCACAGTGGTCAGGGTTGCAGCAAGACTTGGCTTGCTAAGGTTGGGATATGTGTAGATAACCATGTGAGAAATATAAAATAGGTCGTTAGATATTTAAATTGAGAAGAATGAGAACTTTTCTAGGTTAGAGAAAGACATTTGGCATTCTGGGCTTTTAATTCTCCATGAGCAGAGTGCTAAAAGCCTTTAGGATTATTTTAAGAAGTAAATTTGGGCAGAATGTCTGGAGACATCTGTAAATTAATGAAATGAGAAGGAATCAGCAAAAAGAACTGAGGTAAGAAAATAGAATAAGAGTTGTTCCTAGAAGACAAAGGAAAGGAAATTTCTCAAAATCAAATGTTATTTAAAGGCTGAGGAAATGAAGTCAGAGTTGACTGGTTTGTCAAGGTGATAGGTATTCATGAGTAGTAGGTAGAAAGATTGATTAAGGAGAAATGAGAGAATGGAAGTAGTGATAGCAAACATAAGCAAGTCTTAATGAATTTACTGTAAAGGAGCATAGAACAGTAACTAGATAGAAATGGATATAGAATTAAGGGGGAGAAGAATAAAACACATTACAGTTGCCAGTGGCTCATGTGTGTAATCCTAGCTACTCAGTTATCTCAGCCTTGAGATCTGAGGATCATGTTTTGAAGCCAGCCCGGGCAGGAAAGCCCCTAAGACTCTTACCTCTGACTAACTTCCAGAAAAGCTTGAAGTTATTTTCTGTATTTTGTTTTTTTCCTCTTCCTGTGTCTACTAAATTGATCTTTAGTGATTTTTGTCTGATGTGTTCCTTTGATTTTGATTGTTTTCTTCCAATTGTGCTCCCCCCTTTAGAATTCTTCGTAATGCTGGTTTAGTGATCATGAATTCCTTTAATGTTTTTCAGGGAAGGTTTTGGTTTCACCATCTAATGTGAGTGATAGTTTTGCTGGGTAGATGTTTGGGTTGGCAGTTTATCTTCAGTGCTTGGATTATACTATTTGAGGCTCTACTTGTGTTGAAATATCTTACATAGACACATCTCTCTATAATAATCCTAAACATTAATGGACTCAGTTCTGTAATCAAAAGAAGAATATCAGATTGGATTAAAAAAATAAGATCTATCCATTGTTTGCAATCTGTTATGCAATTTGCAATTTGGGTTATGTTTTAATTGATTAAAGTACTAATTCCGATATATGTCACATTTATTGGATAAATAAAAGGTATTAATTTCTGATCTTAGATAAAATTCAGATAGAGACATCTGCACCAAATAACATACCTTTAGATATAAAGAACAATCAAGAACATCAGGGCTGGAATGTGGCTTACTGGTAGAGTCTTTGCCTAGCATGCATGAAGCCCTGGGTTCGATTGTTCAATACCACATAAACGGGCAAAGCCAGAAGTAGCGCTATGGCTCAAGTGGCAGGATTGGCAAAAAAAAAAAAAAAACTCCAAAATAAAACCATAAAGGCCATCAAGCTAACTTATAATAGAAAATAGCCCTATTGTAAAAGAAAAAGGTAGAGGAGGAGGAGGAGGAAGAGAAGGAGGATGAAGAGGAAGAAGAAGAGAAGCAGCTGCAGCAGCACACTCCCAAGCATAGGGGACCACTACTCCACAAAAAAAAGTTGGAGGTAAAGCTGTGGTTCAAGTGGTTAGAGCACTAGCCTTGAGCACAGAAGCTCAGAGACAGCACCTAGACTCTTAAGTTCAAGCCCCAAGACCAGTGCACGCACACATGCATGCACACACACGCATGTACACACACTCAATTTGTATTTGCTGATAGTGATGAACAAGTAAGAAAATAAATGAGGCCAGTAAAACAAGGAATATGGGAGTAATGATCTATGTGAAAGAGTAAATGATTCATTTGTTGTACATAGAAGATAATTCAAAGTTTTTTATAATAAAATTCATAAATGTAGGTGATTTAGTGAGAGTTGTTGGAAACATTACAAAAGTTCTCTCCCAGTTGTTGTTTCCTCAGTGAAATATGAAGTGAGATCAACTCAGGAATGAAAAACTGGAGAGAATTATTAAGCAAAAAGTGATAGGAAGGAAATAGTCATAAGAGTGGGGAAATATTACCTGGCAAAACTAAGCTTTAGCGTTTAGGTTATTGGTGATAAACAAATTAGCTTGCTATAGGGAAGGGTTTAAACAGGTCCCTAAGGGAGTGATTTTAATGATTGATGATGGAATCTAAACTGAGGTAGGGAAGACTCATTTCATGAGGGCATAGAGAGACAGTAATGAAGTACTAGTGTCTGTAGGTTTTTTAAATCCCCCAGGGTCAAAAATTTCTGAGAGACTGGGGTGGTTTCTTTTCTTGACCATGATTACTATTAATAGAGGCTCAGTGTTCCTGAAAATAACAAAGGAATAAGAGAGGGTTCTTTCTATTTGAACAGAGCTCTTTTTCATTTCTGAATCCAATTAGGTTAATTCGTAAAACATTAGAATATTTTACTACCTACTCCTCCTACTTTTTCTAAAAAGTCTTTTATCATCCTAATACTTAATATATTTTTTATAATTTCTACCATTTACTTTCTGTTCTTCTGTCTGAGACAGCTTCATGATTTGTTATTACTATACTATAAGAAATTATTACTTTGTAATTTTTCTTATTTAAAAACAACTCTATGTAACTTTTTTTGCTTTTCTTTGCAGGCACTTTTTCATGGGAAGTTTATTGATACTGGTTTCTCCTTACCATTCTACAAGCGTATGCTAAGTAAAAAACTTACTATTAAGGATCTGGAGTCTATTGATACTGAATTTTATAACTCTCTTATCTGGATAAGGTTTGAAGATTTATTTTTTTCAGTAATCCATTTTCTTAAAATCCATTTATTCATTTTGTCAATTAGATTGTATATCGTATATCTCTTTATGTATGGATATATGTATTATTTATTTTATCTAGGGATAACAACATAGAAGAATGTGGCTTAGAAATGTACTTTTCTGTTGACATGGAGATTTTAGGAAAAGTCACTTCACATGACCTCAAGTTGGGAGGTTCCAATATTCTGGTGACTGAGGAAAACAAAGATGAATATATTGGGTAAGCTAACAGACTAGCTTTTTTATACATTAAAACTTAATCCTCAAGCTGTACTCCTAATTTTATTATTGCAAATAAACTTGGGAAAATACCAGTGTTCTTGAAATAAGAAAGTACATAACAGCTTTCACTTTCTCACTGCCATTTGCTGCAAACATTCTGCTGTGACCAGGTAAAGAATCATTGAGTATTGATATTGTAAAGGGGCTGTGCAGACCTTCATGTTTAGATGAAAGGAGAGCCTTACTCTGGTAGTTTGGAGCAACGCATTAGTTTTTGTTTTTTAAGATGGGGGTCCAGATGGGCCTCTGTGCTATAGTTTGCTCACTTGAAAGTTCTGATTTTTTCTATCTGTAGTCTCTTCTGACCCTTTTCTATTCATGTTACTACCATTCTCACTCTCATCTTCACTGGACTCTGGCTTTCATTTTTGTTTCTTCCTGTCAGGTTCTTGTACTTTTTGTTTTTATTTTTAAAATAGGATCATATCATTAATGTTACTCTAGCTAGCCTTTTCTATATTTCAGGTCAGTAAATAGATACCCCTCATTTTCTAATACCTACATAAATTACAGTATATTGACTTCATACTGTTCAGTCATTTCTGATACTAGGAGTCATTCAGATAGTGCCCAATTTGGATCAGTACGAGCAAGACAGCAGAAAACCTCTGTAAGCATGAATGCATATGTATCTGGAATAGATCCCCAGAAATGAGGTTATTGGGTTAAAAATACTTACGAGACATTTATGGTGTCACTTTCTTGGAAGGTTATAGTAATCCTTTCTTTTTGAGGCCTCTTGTTCCCTGCTTTTTTGCTAAAAAGAAATTACCAATCACTGATTTTTTCTTTGTACATCTTTGTATATTCTGAGGTATTTTTGGTTTGCTTTGTTATGCATGAATGAGTACTGGAAATTACAATATATTTATATTTTGAAGAACATACGTTCATGAAGAGAGTATATAGTGTATACCTAAGCCTTTTACAAAGTCTCAGTAGTAACCAATAAATAAGAACGACATGCCTTTAAGAAAAATAAGAAAAGGTTTATCACATCAGATTTATCACATTTATGTAGCTGTACTTTGAACTTTTTCTGTTTTGCATTAATTATACCTTAAAATTTTATCTGTAGAGTACCTACTATAAAGAGTTGATAATCTCATCCTGAATACAGTTTTTGGAGGATTCTGTCTCAATCCCAAGTAAAGCAGGCATAAATTTTATTTTTTTTAACTTTTAAAAATTGTGATATTACTCTTCTCTTAGCTGATACCTTTAATGAACAAAATAGTTCCTCAAAAAATAGGAGTAATGAATGGTAGAAATATGAAGTATTGTCAGCATACAGTATGAGAAAGGAACTATCAGTTCTGCTGAGTGAAGGCAGGAAATCTCTTCATAGGATTTAAAACATCTGTGAGAAAGTGAAGCTGTAGTAGCTCACCACTATAATCTTTTTTTGGGGGGGGGAGTGCGGTCGTGGGACCTGAACTCTGGGCCTGGGCGCTGTACCTCAGCTCTCCAGCTCAAGGCTAGCACTCTACCACTTGAGCCAGAGCGCCACTTCTGGCTTTTTTCTTTTTGCTTATGTAGTGCTGAGGAATCGAACCCAGGGCCTCAGGCATGCAAGGCAAGCACTCTACCACTGAGCCACCTTCCCAGCCTTCAACTGCTATAATCTTAGCCTCTCAGGAGGCTACGATCTGAGAATTGCCCTTTAAAGCCATCTGGGACAGGTGAGTTTGAAACTTGTCTTTAGTTAACTACCCAGAAGTAGAGCTGTGGCTTAAGTGGTAGAGCACTAACCTGGAGCACAGGTTAGGGACAGTGTCCAGGGCCTGAGTTCAAGCATCCACGACCAGCACACACACAAAAAACCATCTGTGAGAATGATGAAGATTTTCTGGGGAGATGGAAAATAACAAGAACATAGGAAATAAAGGGGATTAGTTTAATTTGTGAATCTACAACTTCAGTGTTTAGGAATGTAAGAGAGTGAGAGCTGGGCTCACGTCTGTAATAATAGCTACTTAGGAGGTTGAGATCTGAGGATGATGGTTCAAAGCCAGCCTGGGCAGGAAAGTTCCTGTGAGACTCATATCTCCAATTAACCATTCAGAAACAGGAAGTGGTTGTGACTCAAGTGGTAGAGTGCTTAGCTTTGAGCATAGAGAGGCAAAAAGGCCCAGGGACAACACCTAGGCCCTGAGTTCAAGCCCCACAATTGACAAAAAAGAGGGTGAGAAATAGTGCCTAGACGGGAGCTTAGAATTATACCAGATTTTAATTTACTGTAAGGAAATTGTCATTCTAAAACATCTCAATTTTTATTCTGAATAATAATAATTATAAACTGAGATAGCACCACCAGAATTATTTGGAGAATGACAGGGCATGTTGAGGATAAACTGGGAGACAGTTAACAAAGGTAGTAATTAGAGATCAGAATACTAGAGGTCGTTTCAGTAATACAGTAATGAGACTTGAAATACAACCAGCTATAGAACTTAAAAAAATGACAGAATGGCTAGGCGCTGGTGGCTCATGCCTATAATCCTAGCTACTCAGGAGGCTGAGATCGGAGAATTGCGGTTCAAAGCCAGCTGGGGCAAGAAAGTCCATGAGATCTGATCTCCAATTAACCACCAGAAAACCGGAAGTGGCTGTGTGGCTCAAGTGGTAGAGCCGGTAGACTTGAGCTGAAGAGCTGAGGGACAGCTCCCAGGCCCAGAGTTCAAGTCCCATGACCAACCAAAAAACAACAAAATGATAATGGTTTTTTTTGTTGTTTTTTTTGGGGGTCCGGTCGTGAGGCCTGAACTCTGGGCCTGGGCGCTGTCCCTCAGCTCTTCAGCTCAAGGCTAGCGGTCTACCACTTGAGCCACAGCGCCACTTCCGGCTTTTTTCTTTTTGCTTATGTGGTACTGAGGAATTGAACCCAGGGCCTCAGGCATGCAAGGCAAGCGCTCTACCACTGAGCCACCTTCCCAGCCCCATGATAATGGTTTTCTGAGGATGTAATTGAAATAGAGTAATCGAAATAGAGTGGCACAGTGTCCACATTGATTAATTTGAAGTTATCAAAGTTCAGAATTAGAATGAACACTCCAGGAAGGTACTGCATACAAAACTTGGGAACATTAATGTTTGTTGTAGGAGATCTAGGTAGAATGATTGCTCAGAATATTTGATAATTAGGTCTTTTGTAACATTTGGGTTAACAGCATTTTGGGATCTTAGAAAAGATATTGGAATCCAAACTACCATGGTTTATTTATTAAATTTGGGGTGGGTAGGAAGTGAGAAAGTTGATACAAAGAATCTGTTCCCTCTTAGAAGTACAGTAATAAAGAGAGGAAAGAGAATAGTTTAAAAGACTGCCTTGGTTGAAGGAACAAACACATTTGGATTTTGTTTTTGCTTTTTGGTCAGTTGCGGAGCTTGAACTCATGGCCTGGGCACTGTCCCTGAGCTGCTTCTCCCCACTCACACACTCCTCCCCGCCAGACTAGCACTTTACCACTTTAAGCCACAGCTCCACTTCCAGTTTTCTGGTGGTTAACTGGAATAAGAGTCTCACAGACTTAGGCTGGCTTTGAACTGTGATCCTCAGATCTCAGCTTCCTGAGTAGTTAGGATTACATGTGTGAGTCACTGGCACACAGCTGAGGCAAAGGATTATTAACTGATGAAAATCAACTTCCGTTGGGACCCAAAATGAAAAGATAGAATTGGAGTAGCATGAATAGATTGTTTTCTGATATTTGCTCATTTTAATTCTCCTTTTTAGGCAGTTTGTGCTGTTTATCCAGAAGTTCATATAGCCAGACCTATCTTTTCAAAGGTCCTTATACTGATAGATCACTGACAGATTTTTCTTCCTTCTTTTTTGTCCTACTTCCCTACACTATGGCTAGTTTAAATATTTTCAGAATATTCAATTTTTATCATAGTTGATATTTTCTTTTTGTTATGAAATCTGTTTTTCAACCAAAAAGCATGTAAAGAACCTGTTTTCTAGTTTTAATCCTTCCAAACTATGAAACTATAAAAAATAATGGACCAACGGCAGATTATCATTGCAGGTTATCAAGATAATCCCTGAGCCATTTTTCAAGTTCTTGGCAAAGGCACAAATGACTAGCCATTCTCCTCCTATGCCAGCACACAATGTTTGGAGATGTGTTCATAGTCCTGAAATTTTGCTAGTGTACTGATAAGAAACTATTGTAAACTAACAGCAAGCCCTTTTAACAGCGGTTGATACTTAGAACCGATTTCACATAAAATCATACTATTTCTATATATACATATATGCATGCATGCATAATACATATGTGTGTTGTACCTATTTACATATGTATATACATGAATGCATGTATACAGGTATGCTGTGTATGTATGTGTGCTGTCTATGTGTGGTATATTGAGAACAAGAGAAGGAATTTAAGAAATTCTTGATGCTTTTAATCCTTTAACTTCACATGTCTTTGTTTTCAGCTTAATGACAGAATGGCGTTTTTCTCGAGGAGTACAAGAACAGACCAAAGCTTTCCTTGATGGTTTTAATGAAGTTGTTCCCCTTCAGTGGCTACAATACTTTGATGAAAAAGAATTGGAGGTTAGACTCTTTTATTATGCTCTTGTAGAAAACATGTTAATGGTGCAAGGAGCTGTTTTGGTGCCTCTTCTCTCCTCCCCTCCCCTCCCCTCCCTTCTCCTCTTTCCCCTCCCCTCCCCTTCCCTGCCCTCCCTTCCCCTTTGTCCTCCCTTCCTCCATCCCTCCCCTTCCTTTCCTTTCCCAACACAGGTTTCTCTGTGTAAACCAAGCTAACCCCCAGCTCATAGTCTTCCTACCACTACCTTTGTATGCTGGGAACATAGGCCTGGGCCACCATGGCTGGCTTGTTTTGGAGCTTTTATAGAACAATGTCCACATATTTTAAAAGCGTATAACACAATCTTCAAATATTGTCTAAATCTTTAGGTGGCATTAATTCTAGCATTTGTTAAGTGTCTTGATTACATTCTCTGAAATACAATGTATCATGAGTACAAAATCATCAATCAATGTCACCTACTAGCAGTTATAAGGAATGATTTCAATATTATTAATAACTTGAGGACATTTCTGAAATTTTAGTTCAGTACTATTCAAAGATTAAAATTTTAAGTAATGAATTCTTAGTGCTCTTAACTATATGTTGGTTTTTTAGAAGTAGATCAGAAATTCTTTTTGTTTGTATATATGTGATAGAATAGAGATAAAATTTATCATCTTAGTAATGATAAGTATAATTTTTAGTAATACTAAGTATAATCATATCATTATGTATCCAGTCTCCAGGATTCCTTCATATTGTAAAACTAAAACCCTTATACGTATATACCCCCTCAGGCCTGGCCACTATTCTAAAGATCTATACTTTAAATGAAATCATGCAGTATTTGTCTTTCTATGATTATTGATGTCACTTAGCATGAAATGTTGTCCATTCTCTACCATGTGTCAGAATAATACTCCCATTATATATTTTAAATGAGAAAAAAATTTAACCAAATATACACAAGACCTCTATACTAAAAATATTGTTCAGAAAAGAAGGCCTTATAAATGGAATGATATATCTGTCTTATTTTCAAATTCCCAACAGAATTCTTTTTGTAAAAAATTATAGGTTGATTTTAACATTATAGACTGATTTTTAAAATGACAATAAAGTATAGAGGCTATAGAATAGCCAAAATAGTTTTGAAAAAGGATACTCTTGTAGAATTTATAGACTGATTTTTTAAGACTTATCTATAAAACCAAAGTACTAAGATTGTGTGGAAGCCAGGTGCTGGTGGCTCAAATTGGTAGAGCACTAGCCTTGAGCAAAAGAGCTCAGAGATAGCACCCAGATCCTGAGTGCAAGCTCATGACCACTAGCACCACCGACAACCAAAAAAAGTAGGTAGTGGTATTTGTGAAAGGATGAACCGCCCGCTCAATGTCATCTAAAAAGTACAGAAATACACCCACACATTTATTGTCGATTGATTTTCAACAAAAGTGCAAGTATTTCAATGAGAAAAAGCATAAACCTTTTCAACAAATAATGTTGGATCAACTGGATATCAATATGGGAGAAAATTAATGTTGATACTTCCCTCAGTCTATAAACAAAGATTCATTTTAAATTATAAGTACAAAACATGGAGAAACTTTTGTAAAAGAAAATTACAGATGAATTTTGACCTTACCAAATCTAAAAACTTACCTTCAAAAGACACCATGAAAATGAAAGGCATCCTATAAATTGTGAGACAAAGGAATCATATTTAGAATATATTATTTAAACTCATAACTCCATGTAATGGGTGAAAATTCACTTCACAAGACAAGATATAAATTTTAGACAGTGCTACATACCGTAAGTCCTGCCTGTGAAGGAAACTGAGACCAAGGAGGAGGATATGAGCCTCGGGTGTTTGAGCTGGCATAGGGAACCTAGGGAGACCCCATCTCAAAACAAGTGTAAACATTAGTATACACACACACAGATGGCAAGTGAACACACTGAAAGATGCTCAGGAGTTACTGGGAAATGGAATGAAAAGTAAATGAAATACCACATTGGCCTAACGCTGGTAGTTTTATCTATTATAGATAGATAGGACTCAATCCATTTCCAACTCTAAAATACTTGGAATATCACTACCTAATGCTGATAGTTTCCTATATTGTTAAATGTATGTTGACCTATGTTCTCACAGATCATTATTAGGTATTTAATAAAGTGAAGTGAAATATATATTTGCACAAATACTTGTATTTCAGTGTTTATTGCATTGTGACTTATTACATCCTAAAGATGAAAGTGACTCAACTGTCCATCAACAAATGAATGTTTATATAGTCATATAATGGAATACTAATCAGTGATATGTACCCACAACATGGGTGGACTTTAGAAATATGTGTGAGTGGTTATGGGCACTGAAGGGGACTAGAATGTGTGTGTGGTGTGGTACATGACAGAAACATGTGTATATGCATATGATACGCTAAAAAAGGCATGGTGAACTTCTTGATCACATAGTGCTATAGATGGTTTGCTAGCAAAAAGGAGACACAATGGAAATATTCTTGAAGTTGTTGCACATTTTTATTCCATATATAATAAACTGAGGCTGTTTGAAAATTCCACATATGTGGAATATTTCCAGTTAAGCTAGATAAATGAATAATGAGCTTATTTTTTTAAGTTCTTAAATATATCAGAGAGCATAGATTGGGAATAGAGAAGATATTTATGTTGGATAATAATTTGGATCCCTAGTTTGGGATGTCTGTAGATATGCTTTCCCTTACAGCTATTTTCAGTTCAGTCAACATGGGTTAAAGATCATCACAAACAATTCTTTATGCTGTGCTGTCAGAATTTGGATTTGCTTATTGTCATTCTTCCCACGCTCTTTATGATGGTGCCATGTGCATGTATCCGAAAGTTTCACTGTAAGCCCTTCACTAAATCTTCGTTGTCACCTATACTGTGCTTGTCTTTCAGGTTATGTTGTGTGGCATGCAGGAGGTTGACTTGACAGATTGGCAGAGAAATACAGTTTATCGACATTATACAAGAAACAGCAAGCAAATTATTTGGTTTTGGCAGGTATTTGCTTTATCTTTTAAAACCAAGAATTCAAAGAAAATATTTTCTAATGAAATAATGGTTTAAAAGCATCTTTAAGTTATAATTTAATGACAAAAGTTTTAAACACAGCATTTCTTGGTACCAACTGAATTCTATACATTCGAACTATTTCTAGAAATAAATTAGAAAATATGAATGTATTATTATAGGGAGAGGAAGACAGGTTTAGATAGAGTCTCATTGGAAAGCAAGCCCAGGTTAACCAACTACATCATTTTTCTGCCCAACCTTCCCAAATGCTGGGATAATGGATGATCTCTACTATGCCCAGTGAGGACTGTGTTTTTTATGAGAAAATCAACACATATTTATTCATTCTTCTGGGGTGATAATATTGTAAGGAAATAGGATAACATCCAAAAGAAGATAATGTCCAAAAATAACCTTATTTTTGTTTGTGTTTTATCTATAAGGTGGGTCTCTGGACATCCAAGTGTACCAGACTATTTTTGAAACACATTTTAGTAGATTTCTTATGTTTTTGAGAGTTTAAAATATCTAGTCCCAGCATATTCTCTACATAAGTACTAACTACTTGAAACTCATTAGAGCAACTTAATTAATTTCAGGCTTCTGTTTATCTGTTGTAACATTTAGGTTTTGTCTTAACATTGTATCTTTTTATAAGTGTAGGTGTTATGAGTATATTTTTTAATATGTTTCAAAATTCTATTGCTTAATATTTTTAAAAATATTTCTAAAAATATTTTAAAATATACTTCAAAATGTGCAGAATGACATATACCAAAATATTTAGTACAATATCACTGTGTGCTAACAGGCTTGGAACAACCTAAATGTCAATCAGGAAAAGACTTAACTAAATAAACTAATGAAATTTATATTCTAGATAATAAAAGTAGATGCCAGTATATGAATATATCAAAAAAAAGAAATCCCTGTTAACTGTAATAAAAGGAAGTTTAGTAATTAGAGGCCAATTTAAGAAAGCTGCTTTTCACACTGCATACCCTTGTACTACCTTTAAATTCTCTCTTCTCTATTATTTATAGATAGATAGATAGGAATCAATCTATTTCCAAGTCTAAAATACTTGGATTGTATTATCTATAATCTGCACAGATGTTTGTAATGTTCCTTTTTAGCCTGTTTTATTAGCTTCATTGAATTTCATGTTTTCTTCTTCATGTTTCTTTGTCTAGACATTGGTACCTACATAGTAAAGGATCTTAGATTGCATAAATCTAAATAGAGCATTTATATTTTCTGAATTGGCTTTGTGTTAGGGAAAATGATGAGGTTTAGATTAGACCTGGTAACAAAGCTGCTTCTCTTATTCTGTTAGTATATATGCTTTATCATAATTCTATGAAACGTTTTTGGTCAAGATTAGGATAATACTTTTTTTCTTATGCTCAGCAACTATATTTTCTGTTTTAAATATACAGTTCTAAAAGCCCAGTGCTGGTGGCTCATGCCTGTAATCCTAGGTACTCAGTAGGCTGAGATCTGAGGATCACTGTTCAAAGCCAGCCCAGGCAGAAAAGTCTGTAAGACTCTTACCTCCAATAAACCACCAGAAACTGGAACTGAAGCTATTGTTCAAGTGGTAGAGCGCTAGCCTTGAGCTGAAGAGTGGAGGGACAACACCCAGGCCCAGAGTTCAAGCCCCACGACCAACCAAACAAAAAAGATACATTTCTACTCTCAAACTGTTCCCTAAGTTCTTTGCTTTGATTTACCTGAAACAAATCAAATCAGTATTTCAATGTATTTTCCATTTATGTCCTTTCTTAAAAACAAACAAAAAACTCCAGGTAGTAAACCAGGTAATTTCAGAGAAATTTGTCCTTATTGGAAAATGTTTACTGGAATAAGTATGAGAAACTGTTGAAAGTAGCAAAAGGAAGGTGTTCATTTGCTTTTGTAGCTTAAAAGGGAGATAGGTAACTCAAATAACAGTGGTTAAATTAGACCTGAGTTCAAATGCTAGTTCTGTCACTTAGTTCTGTCACTTCTTAGCGTTTGAAAAGGACCAAACTCTACAGGCCTGCATTTCTCTTCCATGGAGAAGATAATTCTATGACCATTAGCTAATAATTATATCTGTCACATAGAAGTATTGCAAGTTTTAAACAAATGAGAAGCATATGGCAGTGTGTGGCTAAGGCCCTCAACAGGGGACAAATAGCCCAATATCTGCTCTGATTGCCACTTTTAGTGAAATGAACAAGTGATGTAACCGTTAAAGCCTTTCTTTAGTGTTCTCGTTTATTTCCAGCAGCATCCAGGCATCAGGGTTAAATGGAATAATTGAGTAAGATTCATACTTACTTTGCATAGTGTCTAACCTGAATAAATGATAAATTTTCTATCACATATCTTTTGAACAAATTTCAGTGCTAAATATTGTTTAATTTCTTTAACTGTCTACTATTTTCATTCTTGAAGAGGATTTAGCATTCATTTAAAAAATTCAAGTACATTTTTTGTGTTACACAGTTTGTGAAAGAGACAGACAATGAAGTAAGAATGCGACTATTGCAGTTTGTCACTGGAACCTGCCGCTTACCTCTAGGAGGATTTGCTGAGCTCATGGGTAATTGGATTTCCATTGCAGTTTGTTGATGATTTTGTTGTATTGATAGCCTTGAGATATACCTGATAGACTTGAACTTAAGGATTATTATTGGAGATATATCTGATAGACTTGCACTTAAGGATTATTATTGGAGCTCTATGTAAGGTTCCAGCCATAAGAAATAAACATGGTGGTTAATATCCAAGGACTTTTATATAAGATAAAAATCACTGTTTCCTCATATAGACTAAATGGCCATGGTTTTGCTTCCTAGGGAAGGCAGTATGATTCTGAAGAAATAGCTGTCTTTCTATAGATGTAATTCTTACTGGATATCTGTAGCACTAAGCTTCTCCAAGTGGAAGCAACTCACATTGGGAACCTCTTCTTTGATTTATTCTGCATCATCATATGACTATAACATGTTCTGCTATGTAATGAGTTGTCAAAACCAAGAATTTAAAAGACCAGATAAATATTATTTTATTTTCCTGGTTTAGGAAGTAATGGGCCTCAAAAGTTTTGTATTGAAAAAGTTGGCAAAGACACCTGGTTACCAAGAAGCCATACATGGTAAGTTCAAGAATCCTAAATAGGAAGATGAAAAGCAGTCTTTTGTAAGCTCTTCAGGAATGGTGGCATGGCTCAAGTGTTAAGGTTTTCAGCTGAGTTTAAAAAAAAAAAAAAAGCCAAGTGATAGCACAGATTTTGAGTTCAAGCCCCCAGTAGTACTGGTTTGAACACAAACAAAACATGTAAAATCCAGTATAACTTACCCCTTTTGAAAAGAAATTAACATAGCAGACAATAAACACCTTAAAATTACTTTTTATTAATTAGAATGCTTGAGAAGGTGTTAAATTGACTCAGTAAGTATTTATAGTACCAGGTACATATAAAGCAATCCTTGTCTTGTTTGAATTTAGCATTCCCTATTAGGGCACAAATAACAAGTGGAAATAAAGTGCTATGATAGAGAACAACTAGAAGATGTTAGGTGGTCAGGGGAATTTCTTAGAAGGGGTAATATTTGAGTGTAATAATGGCATGCTGTGGGGGAAGAAATAGAGGATAAAGCATTCTTTGAGCAAAAATATTAAGTAAACAAAAACCCTGAAGTAAGAATAATTATTCAAGGAAATAAAAGATGATCAATGTTATTAGAATTTGGTGAAACAGAGCATAGGAAAAGAATTTGGAAACATAGGTAGGGGCTACATTATATACACCCTTGTTGCCTGTTTCAAGGAATTGGTGTTCTATTATAAGGAAAATTTGATGTTTTAAATAACAAATAATGAGATCCAAGAAATGTCATCTGTCAACAATGTAAAGAAGCAATTGATATAAAAGTGAATTCAGGAAGATTAGTCACAGAAATATTCTATTACCCAAGCAGGTAGTGATGGCTCAGAAATAAGTGGTTCTTTGTGGAAGTCAGAACTATCTTTATACTGTCATTATCTGGCTATTATTTTGAAATTTATGCTTAAGGTGCAAAAGCAATACGGGCTGAAACTTAAGGGAGACTTTCATAGAAATCAGGGCATGACAACAGTACACATTTGTAAGGACAAAGACAGAAGATGTATTTGTTGAAGACTGTCTTTATAAGGCAGGCAATTAAAAATCATAGTTTATTAAATTTCAAAGCTTGAAGGTATGTCTTAATATTCTATGCGAAGAAATAAGAAGTTTGCCTATGACATTTCTATGCACTGAAGAATGATTTCTTGAAGGAAAATTCTTGGGCAGTTACTTCAGTTAAAAGGTTAAATTGACTTGCTTTTTCATGGTACACTTTTACTTGAAAGAATGAAAAACTGCTTGTTCACTTGGGCATTTCACTTTCTTTTTTGATAAGTAATGAAGTAAACTTGTCACTTCAAGAAAAATAAGTGAGGGGCTGGGAAGTTGGCTCAGTGGTAGAGCGCTTGTCTTGCATGCCTGAGGCCCTGGGTTCGATTCCTCAGCACCACATAAGCAAAAAGAAAAAAGCCGGAAGTGGCGCTGTGGCTCAAGTGGTAGAGTGCTACCACTTGAGCTGAAGAGCTGAGGGACAGCACTCAGGCCCAGAGTTCAGGCCTCACGACTGGACCCCCCCCCAAAAAAAAAAAAAAGAAAGAAAAAGAAGTGACATTTGTTCTGTTTATTTTTTGAGCTCTGTTTATTTTTGAGCCAGCTCAAGCTGGCCTGAGTGGATGGATAGACCCACTCACAGTACCAAAGATATCAATGAATTAACAACAAAATCCAAGCTCTCTTTGGTATTAACAACAAAATTAGTATCATACCAAAGAGCTTGGATTTTGTTGTTAATTCAGAATCCTTACTGTGCATAACCTTGCCCAATTTAATGTAGTTAAATCAAAGAATATCAAGTTATCTGAAAAGTTAATGAGTTCATTTCCATTTTCTAGTCCATCGCCTTAACCACTCAGCCACGACTACTGGCTTCATTTCCATTTTCTAACTCCTTATCTGTCTGTGGTTTTGTAATCCTCAGGAGGCTAAGATGTGAGGATTTCTGTTTTTCATATGTTTAATCTAGATTTTCATGTAATTGTAACTCAAGAAATATAGAACACATTAAATGAATAAAATGTCTTCTATTAATCCACATATTAAAAAGATTTGCAAAAGAACAAAACAAATGCATTTCACTAGTTTTAGAAAATAGCTATATTTTCATGCTTATGTCAACATTAGTTTGTGTTTGTTTTGCCAGTCTTGGGCCTTGAACTCTGGGCCTGGGTGCTTGCCCTTTGCTTTTTTTCTTGAGCAAATAGAAAGACAATCTACTTGATTGCAAAACTTTTACCCCAGAAATTGTTAATGTGTAAATTTTAAGAAGCCAGAATTTATTTGGAATTTAAATTTTGATTAGTTTCAAAGACAAGATTTAAAACTATTTGCAGAGTTATTATAATGATAAACTGTGATCTCAAAAGTAATGATGATGGTCAATAGATAAAGAAAAGATGAGGACTGCATAGGATGGTGAAAGAGTAATGAGTTAATAGGCTGGCATTTTCAGTGAAGCAAACAGTAGTCATAAATTAGGAATGTCCTTATGATAGCAAGAAGTTTAAAGTTATAATCTTGGGATATATAACTGAAGATAGTAGAGGAACTGGATCAGTGAAAAGAGAAGACAAAAAATTGAGGACTATGAGCCAACAAAACTTACAGTGGATAAAGCAAGACCACAGTCAGCAGATTATAGGAAACTGCACACTGAAAACAGTAAAATAAATAAATAAATTAAAAAATCAGGAATTAGCAAGATCTGAGTTGGAGCACAGGGTTTGGGATTTTTGTGTGTATGCCCATGCTGGGGCTTGAATTCAGAGCATAAGTGCTTTCCTTGAGCTTCTTTTGCTCAAGACTGTTGCTCTTGCCACTTAAGCCAAAGCTCCATGTCCAGCTTTTTGCTGGTTAATTGGAGAAAAGTGTCTCAGGTGCTTTTCTGCCCAGGCTGGCTTGAAACCATACTCCTCAGATTTTAGCCTCATGAGTGGCTAGGATTACAGGTATGAGCCAACAGCACCTAGCTGGGATTTAATTTTTAACAGTAACTAAGCTAAGCAATTAGCATTGTTGTTGCTATCATCTTTAATGCAGTGCTTTACTTAGTACGGCGGCAGCTTTATGTTTTTCTGAAGCTATGTACATTTGGTGAGCTGAAAGCATATTGTTCCTTATACTACTTGGGAAATATATAGGCCAGTCTTGTCTCTGTTTTTAAATAAGAAAGCTGAAGTAGAAAATTTGATTTTGTGCCTTTGAAACACATCCACTTGAAAGCTAGGGTGAAAACTTAAAACCTTGATGTTAACATAGTAAGAATCCTTTTATAAAACAGTACAATATACAATGGTTAATATTTTGGGTATTTTCAAAAAATCAACTTTTTTGTTCTCTGTCTCAATACCTGACAGTGTTAACAAGTGTACAAATGTCGATTTTAATATCTAGTGGGAAAACCAATCAGTCATAATACAAAGTGAATGTCAAAGAAGAAATAAAAGCTAGGTTGGGATGGGGGGTGTGGTTCAAGTGCATATGACCAGCAAACATAAGGGCCTCAAGTTCAAAACTACACCACCAAAAAAAAGAAGTATAGATAGGTGACTTATTAATTCTCTTTATGATCCTTTTAAAAGATATTGTAGCATTTGCTCTGAAGAATAAGACTTCCACAGGCAGAAAAGGATATTTCAGACCAGACAGAGCTGAGAGCATGGTAACAGAAAATTATGCTAGAACAAGATTAGGAGATAAGAGGCAGGACTAAAGAGCATTAGCCGAAATCTTCTACATCCACAGTTAGAAGCAGCAATGGAGAGGGCACAACTATTATGTCTTTTAGCAAGCTTCTTTGGGCAATGTTAGGTATAAAAGCATAAAAGTTGTCTTGGTATAATACTGTATTGAAAGTGAAATTGTTTTCCGAATCTCCATCACTGTGAGACCCTTCCTGAGGCATCTCTTTTTGAAGCATATAAAGTGAAAGGTAGTAAATGTTCTAATTGCTACCATTATTATATTTAACTTCTATAAAATACAAACAGTATGGTTCAACCATACCAGTTTTAATCTGCTATTTCTAGAGATTTCATTTTCAACTTTCCCAATTCATAAATGGGAGCTGGCAAGGAAGTTTCCACCTGAGGAAATGAAGTCATAGGAACATTCTGCCTATGCTTACTTATTTTATGAAGCCACAAATAGGGTGGGGGAAACATGCCTTGGATACTGGAATTCTAATACAGCCAGTTGGTACTGTATTTTAGGAAGTTTTAGGTAATTACTTTTTTTTTTTGTAAATTGAAAAGTAGTGTATTTTTAGTTGTTTGATTTTGTTGTTGTTATCAGTTGTGGGACTTGAACTTAGACCTGGGTGCTGTCCTTGAGCTCTTTTTGATCAAGCCAGCACTACCACTTTGAGCCACAGCTCCACTTTCATTTTTGTTGTTTTTTTTTAAGTGGATAATTAGAATAATTGGAGATAATAGTCTCAAGTGAACTTTTCTGCCTGGGCTGGCTTAGAACTGTGATCCTCAGATCTCAGTCTCCTGAGGACCTAGGATTACAGGTGTGAGCTAGTGGTGTCTGGCTCATTTTTTTTTTTAAATCATTTAATCCCAGAAAGGAATTAATGTTGACAGGACTGAAAAATTCAGTTTACAAGAATTTATAATCTTACATGGTTAGATTATTGAATTGACAATAAAAAGAATATTTCTTCATTTACTGTCTGCATTCTAGAAATTCTGTAAATTTTCATCTTCTAATCTCCTTAAACACCAGCTAGAAGAACCATATCTTGCACATAAATGTTTTCAGTTACTCTTTCTAATGACTGAAAGAAAAATGGACTTTTAGCCCAAAAGAAGTTAGGGCGACTCATGACACAGACATAATAAAACTAGTGCTTAAAAGAAAAAAAGATTCCAGTCTACCCATATTACTATATTCTGTCAAACATTATTTTTATGTATTCTTATGTTTGAATAAGTTCATCTTAGAAATGTGGCTGTTATATAATAATAAAATTATAATTGTAAATTTTACATATATAGCCTACTCCATTCAGCTTTTCAATGTGCTTTAAAGAATGCTGTATTTAAATACTGTATTATAAATCTCTTCAGTTTTATTGAAAACACCTCATTTTGTTTTTGTTTTTGTTCAGTTTTAATCGCTTGGATCTACCACCATATAAGAGTTATGAACAACTAAAGGAAAAACTTCTTTTTGCAATAGAAGAGACAGAGGGATTTGGACAAGAATGAATGTGGCTTCTTGTCTTGGAGGAGCTCTTGCATTTAAATACCCAGCCAAGAAAAATTGCACAGATAGTGTATATAAGCTGTTCATTCTGTACAGTGAATTTTCTGAACCTCTCAAAGTATAAATGTTTTCCATTCTTCCACAGAAATATGTAAAACAGTTCATCGTTTTCTACTTTATTTATTTTTCCCTTGAAATGACTGACCAGGAAAAAAAATCATCCTTAAATTTTGAAGCAAGCAAGACTTTATTAAAAATAAGTATATATCTATATAAACATATATGATTGTGGCTCTAGTTTTATAGAGCTCCAAGTATTAAACATGCCAGCTGTTCCTTCATAAAGGTATGATTTGCTTTACCTTTTCTGTTGTCCGGGGAGAAGTGCAAATTGTCCCATGGTCATCTCTCTTAGGTAATCATTCCTAAGGGTATTTAGTTGCATGGCTGTTCAGGAAGGTATTAAGGGCTTATGCCAAATCTTACCTGACTATATTAAAAATGCTGCTGGCTTTTATGAAGACAGGTGCTTGAACCTGTCCATTTGTTTTAAATGAATATTTGAAAAACTCCCTCTTTGCTCTATCAGTAATAACAGTTAAAGTAATAAATGAAACCTTAACTTACATGGAGCTCATGTACTCAATCCAATAACTGTTAAGAGATTGGGAAGAACTCATTGAGCAATGTAGAGATTTGTTTACATGTTTCTTTGGGATGTTAGGTATTTATGGAATTTTAAAGAATCAGGCATTTCTGTACTTGTTTTTTTTTTCAATGTGATGTTTCTTCAGATCTACTAGTAATAAATTGATAGTTTGATATTTAGGAACATAAAAATGGTAATGTGGACTCTGCCACTTTTGTTTGTGTTCAAGCTTTGGCATTGTAAAAACAGATAGATTGAATAAAAACAGATGAGTTGAAAAGTTGCATAAACATTTAAACAGACTAAGGACTTTCTATTACTGTTTGAATAGCCTAGTTGTTATCAGACTTATGAAAATTCTGTTTAGTTAAATGAGCATATAAAAAATCTATTTCTTCTATTCCCAATTTTCTAATTAAGTTAATTTTGTCCAAATAATACATTTTTCATTATAAGAGTATTTGGTAAACTGTAAGATACAAATAAAATCTGAGGTGACTGATAATGCTGGTTTTAGCACAGTAGGTTTCCCAATTATATATAAAATTACAGTTTCATTTATATCATGCTTCCAGTATATACTATAAATTTCATTGACTTAATTTTTTTAATAAGAACTGATTTCTTAGAATGTTACCTGTAAATACTGCACTGTGTGCATACAGAACATACCAGTATACAACTTAATTTCTAAACACTAGTTTTTGTTTTGCCAAAATTTTATTTTTCTACACATTTTAGATTGCCCTGCATTTTTATTCACAATTCATAGTAAAGATGAAATAAAGACAGTGATCCACTTAGTTGAGTAGAATCCTTTCTCAGATCCTAATTACAAACTTTCTGCTTATTTTCAAGCTTAAAGAAATTGTTTTCTAACATTTAACAGGTTATTCAATAGTCTTCAAAGGACTGCTTAAGTTTGTTCATAAGACAGAAAGCGCCTTGCTATATGAATTTACCTATCACAGAAGTCATTGTATGTCATCTGGTGGATATATGTTAGACTAACACCTTTGCAAAAAAAGAAAAAAAGTGCCTCTCAGGTAGGCATTCAGGGTATAGGCCCCTCTTGTATGAAGTTGCAGTATATCAGATAAGGCTATCAGGTAAGGCTACACAGAGCCCACATCAGCTTTCTGGTTTCTAAAGACTACACACTTCACTATACCTTTCCACTTTTCATACCTAATTACATAAAAAGCAACCTTACAGAAAGACTGTCATTTACATAGTGACAGTCAAAAAGCCCAAGAAAAATGTAGTTCACTCCTCTCTTCCAATCCTTCCTCTGAGCTAGATAAGCAACAGATATTAGCACAAAATTCATTGTGCTTAAATACAGCTCGTGAGGAAATGCAGGACAGGGAGGCTCTCATGCGGGTTCACATTACATTTTGCTTACATACCCACTAAAAATATTGTAAGCCTAGGGAATGTACACAGTTTCATCCATCAGATCAGTCTGTTCTCCAGGAAAAGCTACCATTGCTTTGATTTGTACTTTTGCTGAATAGTTGAAGGTAAAAATATTCACAAAACATTTTTCATAATGACTTTAAATGCCTAGAACTTCTTCACCTGAAATCTAGATTAAGATGGTGTGTTCACCTCATTGCCAGGCAACCTTGCTTCTATGTGAGGTTAAAAATGACCCTGATAAACTGCATCTGAAATTTTAAAAAGTCCCCAGATCTGTAATAATTAGCTCTATAATGAGGATTTTCCTTGAGTAAGAAAACTCTTACAACTGCCTGGCCCTTATGAAGACCCTGAGCTTGGTGAGATGATGTTTGTTTAGAGCACAATATGGATATTGTTTACACTGCTGGTAAGAGGCCTTCTGATAGAAAGCCCAAGGTCAACCTGCTGGCCAGTTATGGTTCCTGCCCTACTACTTTCTAAGTAAATTTGTCAAATATAGGTTGAATCCTAATGAATATTGCAGAAGCAAAACATAATCTCTTGTTGAATTATGTGAATGAGAAAATAAAATTTTTCTTGTAACAACACTACTTTTCTTAATCTGTTGTACTTAATAGCAAAGTTTGGTCCATGTCCAAATTTGATGTCTCATGAATTGTGATGCCTCATGAATTTCTGGACCCAAATTTAGCAAACGAGTCAGGTGTTAACAGTATTTTTAAGTGTACATAACAATGCTCATGGAAGTGGCGCTGTGGCTCAAGTGGTAGAGTGCTCGCCTTGAGCTGAAGAGCTGAGGGACAGTGCCCAGGCCCAGAGTTCAAGCCCCACGACCAACAACAACAACAACTTAACAATGCTCATTATAAATCTTTTACATAAAAATGTATTCTCTCAGTTCTCGCAACTCAATTACATGAGATTGGTGGGTTTTGTTTTAACCATGTTTAGTTTGGGAATGAGAAAAGGGATCTGCAAAGTCATGTTTACAGCATCCATACCTAGTTCACTACAAGCAATGACTAAAAACTTAGTGGGGGAAATTATGCCATCCAGAACAACAAGAGTCCTGGAGTAGTAGCTCAGTGGTAGAACACATGGCTAGCATGTATGAGGACATGGGTTAAGTCCCCAGCCCTAATTGGAGAAAAAGACAGACGTGAGAACAAGTACAATCTGTAGCATGCAAAAATAACAGCTTTTTTTTTTTTTGCCTAGGATGCACAAGGTTCTGGGGTCAACCTTCAACACTGGGGGTGGGAGGAGGGGGGAAGGAGCGTATATACAAACTATTTTCTTACATCCTTAAAGGAAGCAAGGAGACAATCACAGTGGTACATACTTGTTGGTTGCAGCATTTGAGTGTGAGGCAGGATTGAGAGTTCGAGATTAGCTTGGACCATATATAATGTGACCCTATCTTGGGGAGGGGGTGGAGAAAAGGCAAAAACATAAGAGAGAGAAACCATTGCCTATGTCTGTGATACATACAAAAGATACTACAGAGCCGGGCATCCATGGCTCACACCTGTAATCCTAGCTACTCAGGAGACAAATCTAAGGATTGCAGTTCAAAGCTAGGCCTGGCAGGAAACTCTGTGAGACTCTTTTTATCTCCCTCCAATAAACGACGCAGAAAAAGCTGGAGGTGGTGCTGTGACTCAAGTGGTAGAGAGCCCACCTTGAGCTTAAGAGCCTGATGACCAAAAAAAAAAAAAAGATACTACAAGTTTGCAGTAAGTATGTGGAAAGGTATTAAGGCTGTTCAACCATTAGGTCAGGATTGCACACAAGGACAGTCAGGTAGATGGAAATTATACCGGAATGAAACAGAACCAAAATGTTCTTTCTCAGGAGTGAGTCTCAACTATAAGGGAAACACCAAGAACCAATGTAAATCAGGTCACTGAGAAGTCAAAACAAAGGGGCACTTAGGAAGTACCAGATCAGAATCTTGGGAAGACATACCAAGCAATTTCAAAACAATTTTAATGGAGAAAAACTATATTTGAATGGATGGTTAAATAAGTATATCCAAACAGTGAAATACTAGTCAAAAATTAGTAATAAGCTTAGATGAGTTTTCAGTAGCTGCATAGAAAGACAACCTCAAAAAGTCACATAACAATGATTCTGTAACATTCTTGAAATGACAAAATTATAGAGAACAGATCAGTGGATGTCAGTCAAGGATGAGTAGGGTGTTAAGGAGACAGTGGTTTGCTATGACAACCCACTTAGCACTATGGATTTTTGTGGTAAACTTTGGTGGCAGGTATAAAAGTTTACAAGTGATAAAATACGAACTGTGCACAAGTGAGACACATAGAAGTTAAAATATGAATTAGATCTATGGATTGTACCAGTATGTTTTCTGGTTTGGTATGTGTTCTAGCATAGTTAAGATGTTACTCTGGAGGGCAAACTGAAATAAGGGTACATACAACCTCAGTGAGAAGCTTTTGAAATTTCTTCGTGAACCTAATTATCTCAAAATACGTTTTAAGTTCTACAAAATATCAGAAGATCCTTCCATACATGTAATTTTGTATATGTGTGCAGGAAACTGAACCCAGGATCTTATGTATGTTACATATTCTCTTTACAGCTGTGATATACCCATAGCCCCAGAGATTGTTTATCTACTAAACCCCTAGTTGCCACCTTCCATTGATTATCTAATCTTGATGGTAACAAAAGAATTAGACCTCTAAAAAATTACATTTAAGTCACTCTTAAAAATGAGAAAAGTGGTGGCTGTACCTCTAATAGAGCACTTGTTCACATGTGCTGATGCCAGGGTTTAATCCACAGCACTTGAGAGGTAAGAATTTTAGCACAGTATGCTGGTTTGAGTTAATAAATTGCAGGTTTGAGAAAAATCCAAATTAGAAATTCAAAAACAGAACTAGACAAAGGTTTGAAATGACTGCTGTCTGAAACTGAGAAAAAAAACTTAAGAAAAAGAAACATCTCAAGAATAAAGACAATTGTAATTATTACAAAGGCAGAAGACATTTGAACATTAAGAGGTACAGGAAGAAAAAACTTACAAAAGGTTACAATAAAAAGTTAAATATCTGAGAGATGAATATGAAAAGGCAAAAAGATCTAATATATGTATCATTAACTGCAGTCCCTGAAGTAGGGTGGAACTGTTCTCAATGGTTCATCAGGCCAATATGAAATGGACAGTTGGCAAGAAACTGGACTAGCTTTTCCAAAGTATAGTTTTGCAAGAAGAAAAAAAAAACTTCTAGATTAAAAGCAACTAAACTGCTAAACTGTCAATTAAATGCAACATATGGTCTTTGGCCCTAGTTTTAAAAAGTATAAGACTTTATTAAAAGTATAGATTTTAATAAGGCTTTTGATATTAGGTGACATTAGAGAATTGTCAACTTTCCATTTGTGATAATGGACTTGTATTAATATGTTTTGGAAGCCTTTACTCTGAAGAGTTAAATATTTTAGGGTGAAATATTCTGTCTACAGTTTCAAAGATTTTAGAAAGATCTATGAATAGACAAGTATAAGTAGACTATAGCAGAAGAAACAGTTGTTAGGTATATAGAATTCACTTTGCCTTAATGTTTAAAGATTCACATGATAAACAAGGCATTTCTAAACCATTTGCCTTATTTCACTATTATAATTCTCAAATCCTTTGTTACACTTTCAAGGATTATCTAAGAGGCATTCAAAATTTCCACTTTGCAAAAACTTGAGATTTTCAATGGTGGCAAACTCAAGTTAAATCACGGTTCTACCTAATTAAACCAAGTTAATTTCTATTTAATCCTAAATTCTGAGTTCCTTTCATCTGGTAAGGATATAGAATTCTGGATTTCTCTAGTGTCACATTTGTGAGACTATACCTTTTAAAGAAAAACTACTCAGCTTCAGAGGTTGAATTCTACCCTTATGCTGGTTGACTCCAAAATGACTTGCTTAAGTAATTGAAACCAAGAACCGCACCAATGTCCTAACACTTCCCCTGTACCTTCTCTAAGATCTCAACTATGAATCAAATTCAACTTGAAAACCCACTCTGCTGCACAAAGCTTTTCTTTCATGATGTCCTATATCTTCATATGGAATCTATAACTATTTTATATCATTGGTTGTCTCACAGGCAAAATAATCTGTCTAAGCCATGAAATTTACTGCAACCATTTTAGTACAATATGGCAATCATTTATTGTGTTATTTACAAAGCCTAGAATTTTGTATATGTAACCTGTTAAATTGTAACATTAAAAGGATGGAGCCACAGAACAGTTGTAGTTAATGTTTATATCTTTATAAATGAAAAGGCAAAATTTGTTAGATGCTTGGTGTTTCTTCTCTAGAACTTTCTCAATTCTTGTCACAAACCTGTAAGCAACTGAGCAGCTTCTGTTTGTACCTAAAATAGAAAAGCATATTTTATAAACAGTACAGTTTAAAGGATAACTTCTGAATTTTAAGTTTGTCAAGTGGACTGTGGTTTCTACGAGTTTCCAAAATAACAAGACAGGACATTATAAGAAAAAAATTTGTTCAGTGATAACTAAGACTTTTATAAAACCATTCCACCACTGCAGTGCTGTGGAACCAATCTCTAGGGTCTTGTGCCTGTAGAACAAGTGTTTCTACCACTTAGCTAAATCCCTACCACATCCTTTGATTTTATGCTTTAGGACTTACTTGATCTAATTTAGATAGATAGATAGATAGATAGATGTGTATAGACAGATGTGTATATATATATATATATAAAACATAATTCTATATTGCAGCAATAAAGTAGTAACATTTGGTGACAATTATACAGTATTATGTGTTGGGACAATTAGGCTTTAAAGACGTTTTTAGTTCACCCTTTAGTGCCTCGATGAAAATCTATCTGCCTTACTTTAGTTATTAGAGATGTTTTACCTGTTTATCTTCTTCCGTGTGTGCTGGATAATCCTTGGCTTTCATTAGCCAGAGCGCAGCAAGCTTTTTGTTGTTTAGTTTCAAGTATGTCTTTCCTAAAAGGAGCAAGTTTTTGCTGTAGAAGTTTGGATCCACTGTACAAAGAAAATAAAATTAAATTTAGCTCAAAAGAAATAGGGTTGCTCTATTTTTAAAGGTCTGATTTGAGAGTCAGTAAGTGATTAGACTACATTTTTCTTTTGCTCAACTATTATTTCAAACTGTAAACTAATTGCAATTTGTTCAATGTCTGTTACTAAGTATAGATTACATTTCTCATTTAACTACTGCATAAAGTAGATACTTCTATTTAATAGTTAAGAAGTTGAGGCTCTTGATTAAGAATGTAAGACAGTACAGTTATTTTTTTAAACCTGTTTTCCTACCTGTAAACCAAGTGCCTAAAAAATTGTCTACAATACACACACACACACACACACACACACACACACACACACAATTTACTGACTGAAGGAAATTATGGTGATAATGTAATTGGTAAGCTGGGCAGCGGTGGTTCACGCCCGTAATCCTAGCTACTCAGGAGGCTGAGATCTGAGGATCGAGGTTCAAAGCCAGCCCTGGCAGGAAAGTCTGTGAGACTCTTATCTCCAATAAACCACTAGAAAACCAGAAGAGGTGCTGTGGCTCAAGCGGTAGAGCACTCGCCTTGAGCTGAAGAGCGCAAGGACAGCACCCAAGCCCAGAGTTCAAGCCCTATGACTGACAAAAAAAAAAAAAATGTAAGTTGGTTCAACTTTTGGTGAATGTCCAGAATTTTAGACACAAAGAAAGAATAACAGTCTACTTTTTTGGAGTTCATAATAAAAAGGAGAGAGAAATGTGAACACAATGTACAGTAAGAATGAAGAAATGCCTTCTTTATCAGATATACAAACTTCAAAGTAACAAGAAGCCAAAAGAAAAATCAACTCAGTGATAATACCTGTACTGACTTGGAGGATGAGTAGGAGTGTATTCTTGGTTGAAGGAAAAAAGTATGAACAAAAGAGCTATGAAAATGAGAGAAAGATGGTCACCAGAAACTAAAAACAGGGTGGAGACAGGATAAAGGTAGGCTGGTTGAGGAGGGTAACAAAATACAGTTAGGAGGAGTAAGATACACAGCACAATAAGGATGACTGCAGCTTTTACTTACTGATTTTATACAGAATTTAAAGCTGCCCAACATAAAGAATGATCAGTGTTACTTGGTGATACTAAAATTAGTCTGATCATTATGTACTGTTACAGGCTGATATCATATGATTCTTCATCAACAAGAATTATGTGTCCATTAAGAATAATGTTGTATTGAAGATGGATATGATTGAAGTAGTTTGTTTGCATGTATAAAAACAGAACAATGAAACCTGTTGAAATTGTTTTAGGAAGGGGAAAGAGGTTAAAAGCAATGGGGTAAGATTGACTGGAGTACAATGTATACATGTATGGAAATGTCACAATGAAACGCACCTTGTACAACTAATGTATGCTAATAAAAATAATTTTTACAAAGTTTACGAATGAAAGTATGAAGGGTGGGCATGGTGGCATACAGGAGGCAGAGACGGGAAAACAATGCATACCTGGCCCAGCCAACCTACATACTCAGCAGGATCTTCTCATTCATTTCATTGATTTTTCTTTTTGCCTGAGTCAAAGTCTCACTGCAGTCCAGGCTAGTCTTGAGATCCTCTTGCTTCATCCTCCCAAGACTACAGATGTGCCACTGCCATGTTGAACATATTAACTTCTGTTTCCTCCTAACAATCTAGGACCCTCTATTCAAAACATACTTTCTGGGACTGTGTATATAGCTTAGTGGTAGAACACATGGTATAATACGCACTAATTCAATCCCTAGCACCAAAAAGCAAAGAATATAAGTATACTTGTTTAACTGCTTTTCTGGCTTACTCTCTGTGCTAAGGCAAGCTGGTATACTTACGGATCCCTAGCTTTAACGTGTATTGGTGCAGTAACAAATCTATTTTCTTATGCATTCAGCAAATTTGCTAAGCGTCATATGTTAGGCAGTGAAGATAAAATTCTATACTAGAAAGATAGACTCCCCAACTTCCTGCACTTTAAGCCTTGTACACATAAATATTAAGTGAAAACAGGTTATAATAGGATTTGTACAATACACAACACAGGAAGAGCTTCTGAATTTGGGTAACCTTTTGCCTATGGAAAGTGAGCACTCGGGTGATACATGAAGGATGATTGGTATTACAAGGATTATTTTAATTCACTGAAGACAGATCCATGTTTTTCTCAGCACTTCCAATTCTTAAATCTAAAAGTCTGCTCTTTTACTTTGTAATTAGTTTTAATCCTTTGAGAAAATTATATTCTAAGATTCATATTCATGTGATACATAAAATGGTATGATTAGAAGGTATGGATGAAAGGCAATGAAGTAAACCAGAATTCATGAATTAGACATTATAGGTGTGCAACACCATAACCAGATCATTGACTGTAGCTGGGATTATAGGTATGTCCCCCTGCACCTAGCTTCAAACGAATTTAGAAGGCAGGTTTTTAAAAACTAACTTACCTGTTAGCATTAAAGCTTTTGAACAAGTCTATGAGTATAGAGCCTCAAATATAACAAATAGTATGTCTTATTTTTCTTCTGATTAAATTGTATAGAAGTATATCTGTAGTAATGTGTGTGCATGTGCATGGTCCTGGGGCTTCACCTCAAAAGCCTCATGCTCTCCACTTTTTCATTCACAAATGGTATGCTACTTGAGTCATGCCTCCACTTTTGGAATTTTGCTGGTTAATTAGAAATAAAAGTGTCCAGGATTTGTCTACCCAGACTGGCTACAAACTTATACTCACATATCTCAGGCTGCTAAGAAGGTTGGATTATAGGCATGAACCACTAGTACCTGGCCTCTGCAGTGGTTCTTATGGTATATTTTGTACTTTTTTTTTTTTGGTGCTGGGGTTGAAAAGCAGAGGGCTGATGCCCCTCAGTAGATGAATGGATCAAGAAAATGTGGTATATATACAATGGAATTCTATGCCTCCATCAGAAAGAATGACATTGCCCCATTTGTTAGGAAATGGAAAGGCTTGAAAAACATTATATTAAGTAAAGTAAGCCAGACCCAAAGAAACATAGGTCCCATGGTTTCCCTTATTTGCAATAACTAGTATATGTCTGAGTCAAGCAGAAAAGGTCAGATAAGGTGATGTTAGGGAAATGAACCCTAAGATATGTATTCAAATTTTTTTTTCTTTCATGCGATTCTAACACATTATTTCTACAATATTCTAACATATTATTTCTTTGTTGCTTTGTATGTCCCTCCCCCACAGTATAACCCCTGTTTTCACTGTATTTGATGTCAGTATAATTTGTGGAGGGGAAGGGGAAAAACAAATCGTTTAAATAGGGATACAGGTGGACCCATTGCAACAATGAGATGTACAAGTCGTTAGGTTGAAAACGAACTTTACAACTTTGGTGGGGGGGGGGGCAAGGAGGATTGGGTGGGGACGGGGGGGGGGGGGGGAGGATAGTAAGGGATGGGAAGGGGAAACAAAGGAGGAGGCTACAATGCTTGATAAGAAATGTACTCATTATCTTGCCCATGTAATTGTAACCCCTCTGTACAGTTTTTTCACAATAAAAGAGACAAAAAAAAAAAAAAAGAAAAACAGAGGGCTGAATTACATAAATGGATCATTCCAGAACTAGAGCTCTAAATTCCAGTAGTTGTTTATTTCTTATTTAGGTGAACTTTGTTAAAAAAAAGACAATGGCATTTATTTTACAATATCAAATACAAAAAAAAATCTAACAACTTGTACCTGTGTTTTAAAAATTCCTATTCAGGACAGGCACGATAAATTCCTATTATATAATTCAATATTCATATAATTTAAACTATCAATATATGAAATCAAAATGCATTACCTTGCTCTGCCCTGTGAAAATAGCCCAAAGCCTGTTAAAAACACAAGGTACAAACAAAATGAAAAAGATTAGAATATACTCAATCATTTTTTAAAAAGTATATTCTCAAAGACCTATTCCTACATTACATGTAAGTCAGTAAGTAAACCATCCTAAAAATAATGATCAATTTAACAGCTGATAGTAACATGGCTAAATTGAACACACACTATTAAATCATCAAATAAGATTATAATGTATGGACCACTTCTGGTAATAATTTCATTGTGATTTATAATGTAGCAAACTGTTGTGTGCAAGCCTGTAATACTAGCTACTCAGGAAGCCAAGACCCAGAGGATTGCAGTTTAAGGCCAGCCTGGGCAGAAAAGTCTAATATTAGACTGGCTCCAGCAAAAATGCTGAAGTAATTGCTCAAGTGTTAAGAGCACCAGCTGAGGAAGCAAGTTGAGCAAGTGCAAAGTCAACTCCAGTGTCAAGAACAAGAAAAAACAGCCTAACATGTGCAGAAGGAACAGAAGTAATATGTGTAACTCAGTTGTCTTTGGTCTTAAACCTTAACAGTGACTCCTACTTAAAAGCTAAATTTACTCAACAAAATACAGATTGTGCTTTGTGATTTTTTTATTTTTATTTTTTCGTGGAGTGCTTCAGGTAGAACCAAAACCTTGTACATACTAGGTGGGTGCTCTGAGTTACATTTCTAGCTCCCATACCAATTTTTTCAAGTCCATTATTGAAATTCTTACCTACAATGTATTATGAACCTGAAATTCTCTGCTAATTTCTGTATTACTTAAACTACTACCTCTCTAGTAATTACTTAACGTTTGACTTCTCAGAAACATGACTAATTTGCTATATAAAAGCTGCCTATCTTTTTTCCTTCAGAAAACAATATTCTAATTAAATATCTAATAATTCTTTTTTTTTTTTTTTGGTCATGGGGCTTGAACTCTGGGCCTGAGTACTTTTCCTACACTCTTCAGCTTAAGGTGAGCACTCTACCACTTGAGCTACAGTGCCACTTCTGGTTTTCTGGTAGTTAATTGGAGATAAGAGATTCATGGACTTTCCTGCCTGGGCTGGCTTTGAACCACAATCCTCAGATCTCAGACTCCTGAGTAGCTAGTATTACAGGCATGAGCCACTGGCACCTGACTAAAAATTCTTTATATCCATTTCTATACTACTTCAGAGGTAAAAAAGAAAACCATTAAATTCTCTGTCGTGAAAGAAGAATTGGGACAATTTTCTTTCAGTTGTCCATTTCCTTATACTCTGAAAATATTTTGAATGCACAAGGCCTAGTTTTATTCTAAGTACCAAAAATGAACAAAAACAACAGGTTAGGCAGAAGTCCTTCTCAAATTTTATTCTTAATATGTAAAGCAAAAGGAATTGAAAATATAGGAGGTAAGTTTTTCATGTTAATTTTTATAGAAAATTATAATTTTTCAATTCAAATATGTTCTTTTATCCTTAACTTATTTTGTAGGATACATAAAACACACTGGGTAACAGATACTGTTATTTCTTGTTCTGTGTGGCTTTTATATGGCATAAACTTCAAGTAGAAAATGAAGGTAGATTTTAGCCATGAACTATTTAAATTGACAATATACTAGAATTATCAGCCACTTACCTAAAGTGGGGGAAAAAAAGCACTCACCAGTCCTGGATAGTAAGTATTAAATCTTTGTGATAGCATAGTTGAACTGGATCATTAGAAACTTGCTCAAGTCCCTCACTGAATCAGAGCTCCATATGCCGTATGTATGAGTACTGTTGAATGTGCTGCATTCCCTGCAGTAAGAAATCGGTACTAATTTAACAAAGGACGTCACACTACCTCCTCATAGGTAGAACTAGGAGGAGTTGCAAACAGCATTTCAGCAATTCTTCTTTGATACCAGGGCATTTCAGCAAATGTGTAGCACCTATAAAGGGAAATAAAGCAACATTATACATTCAAAAACTACCTCTTTTTTCATATGAAAAGAACTAAATTTTTTAAGATATAAAAGAAATCTATTCTTTTAAACAACTGATACTTTACATACCCAATAGGTTAATATTCATAATTTGCTAGCAGGGGTAGGAATCATTCAGTCCTTGGACTTGTAGGGTCAAGTATGCGTCTCACCAAGGGCACTAGCCCTCGGCTATCTGCCTGTATTGATAATTTTGTTCTTCCCATAATGATGTTATAAACAGTCAAATAGCCTTTGGCAGAAAAAGGGTTATTCACTCATGATAGACACTGACAGTTTAGTAGTTTGTATATATTTTATGATTAAATGGAAGCAGTAAGCAAGTGTACCAATGATGTTAATACAACATATCATCTACCACTGAGTGTTTGCCAGGTGCTGGGCTGCAACAACTGAGAGAGGATCATGAGTTATATGTTTGGTTTATAAGTTCTTTTGTTTTGTGGCAGTATGATATTTGAACTCAGGATTTCCAGGCAGGTCGCTCTACAATGTGAGCCACATTTGCAGACCTTGTTTAATTCTTTAGACAGGATCTCAAGTTTTTGTCCAGGGCTAGTCTTGGACCAATAGCTGCCTGAGTAGGCTTTTTTGGAAGACATGGTTTCACTTCTAGCACAGGCTTTGAAGTTTTGAACTCACTGTTTACCTTTGTCTCCCAAGTGCTTGGATTACAGACATGTACCACTAAACCTGGATCATTATTCCTTTTTTTTTTTTCACTTAATGTTAAAAAACAATGAAATTGAGAAAAAATGATATGAATGAATAACAAGAACAAGAATTTTAGCTTATTTTTAAAGAAGTGATGCAAATTAACATCCAAAAATGTAACTCTGAAATAAGTAGGAGAATGTTTTTGATCTTTGTCTATAGCTTGAACTTCTTGAGGCTGTATCTCATATTTGTTTACTAAGTGACTGCTTCTCTATTATTAATCATCAGTAATTTAATGTCCTTTAGCCTTTAAAGAGTTTGATGGAGTGTTAAGTTACCCCACTTAGAAAACAATGAATATTTAGTTCTGCAGACTATCCAAAGGAAATATTGGTAATTTGTTACTCAAAAGATTCTTTGGAACTAGGCACAGTGGCTTATGCCTGTAATTCTAGCTACTCAGGAGGCTGAGATATGAGGATTGTGGTTTGAAGTCAGCCTTGGCAGAAAAATTAGACTCTTATCTCTGATTTTCCACTAGAAACCTGGAAGAGACACTGGCAAAAAATGGCAGAGCATTATCATTGAGTGAAAAAGCTCAGGGACAATGCCTAAGTCCCACAACCAAAAACAAACAAACAAAAAGAAACATTCTTTGAAACCAGCAAATATTTAATACGTTTATATACTTTTAATTTCAGCAAAATAATGATACATATTAGGCAGCAGATAATTGTGGAAATGGAAGATAATATTGTTCCTCAGATTGATGAAGTCTATATCTGACATACTTTGAAGGTGTGAGAACTCTCTTGATGCATCCTTCTATATTACTGTACATAGATTAATCCAGTTTCGCTTAACATGCCAAAGAATATACTGTCCCAACATATGATTCACTGAACTCTGCTGAGCATTATTTTCCATTGTTATATTTTGCTTTATATAATACTACAAAATAAGTAAGTCCAGATTAGACAGCACTTGAAATATAAAGAAAATTTTCTTACCAAATACCCATAAGGTGAATTGAGGTTGCATCTTTAGGGTTCAACTTAATTGCTTTCTATCAAGAAATTTAAAAAAGAAAAAGCAATCATTTCCAAACAGCAATAAGTGCATAAGTATATTTTCTAAAAAGCCATGATTAAAAAAATTCAACCCAGAATTTTAGTAAGCAGCATTTTTTTTTCTTTTGGTGGTACTAGGTTTTGAACTTAAGGCTTTGAGCTGGCTAGGCAGATGTTTTACCATCTAAGGCATTTTTTCTATACCTAGATAATTTGGAGATTGTATATAGCATTTATACCTAGGCTGGCCTGGACTTCAGTCCTCCTTATGTGAGGATGTTAAGCTTATTTTATTCTAAGCTTATTTTAAGCTTTGTATTTTACCATATCCAACTACTGGTTGAGATGGCTTATCACTAACTTTTCACCCAGGTTGGCTTTAAACTACTGTTCTCACAATCTCTGCCTACAGGCACGAGTTACTAGCCCAGCTGAATATCAACATTTTCTTCCTTCTGCTTCTTTGATTAATTTGTTTCAATACATTGTCCTATGGATATTATGGGTTCAGAAACTGAGCTAAGATCTATTAAAATGAGAGAAATCACAAAATATACACATTAAATCTAAAAAGTTTTAATATTTAACTGTTAAAGCTTAAAAGTATAAAATAATGCTTAAATAAAAATAACAGCATTATTTTTAAAGATCTAGAAGTACACAATTTTGGAATCTTTCCCTATAATCATATTTTGCTGAACTTCCCCACTGTACTCCAAAAACCAATACTTATTCATAGACCATAGTTAATAATGATGTACCAAAATAACAAAGTGTCGGAGCTGGGAAGGTGGCTCAGTGGTAGAGTGCTTGCCTTGCATGCCTGAGGCCCTGGGTTCAATTCCTCAGCACCACATAAGCAAAATAACAAAGTGTTTTTTGAAAATTTCCCTAATTTCTTTTTTAAAAAAATTTTTATTGTGAAAATACCGTACAGAGGGGTTATAATTACATGGGCAAGGTAATGAGTGTATTTCTTATCAAGAATTGTTGCCTCCTCCTCTGTTTCCCCTTCTCATCCCTTCTCATCTCCCACCCCCCCCTACTTTTTACCCCCACCTGCTCATCCCCCCTCCCTAATTTCTTATTGAGTCCATTAGTATAAATTGTGAACAACAGAGTAAGTGTTAAAGGAAATTTCTTTTTTTTTTTTTGGTCAGTTGTGGGGTTTGAACTCTGGGCTTGTATGCTGTCCCTCAGCTCAAGGCTAGCCCTCTACTACTTGAACTACAGTGTAACTTCTGGTTTTCTGGTGGTTTATTGGAGATAAAAGTCTCACAGACTTTCCTGCCTGGGCTGGTTTTGAACCACGATCTTCAGTTCAGCCTCCTGAGTAGCTAGTATTATAGATGTGAGCCACTGGCTCCCGGCAGTAATTACTTCTTTTAGCCAATATTTTATGGAAAGTTAACTGAACAATGTTGATTGTAATAGAAACAAATGTTCTATAAACCATGTTTTTACTTTTAGTGAAATACTCATATAATGATTAAGAGCAGCCTGCCCAAATCAATTAGCTACTCAGGAGACTGAGATCTGAGGATCGCAGTTTGAAGCCATCCCAGGAGAAAAGTCTGTAAGACTCTTATCTTATTTGAAAACAAATCTGGAATTGGAGTTTTGGCTCAAGTGGCATAGTTTAGCTGTGAGCAAAAGAAGCTCAGGGACAGTGCCTAGGCCCTGAGCTCAAGCCCCAGGACTGGCACACACACATAAACAAGCCCCTTCTGTATTGGATATTTTCAAGGTAGAGTCTCCCTTTTATGCTTAGGCTGACCCTCCCATTTGTGCTTGCATGTGTCACTGGGGAATGATGGGTACACAGCTGTACTTGTAACTAGGAGTAATAGGCCACCATGCCCAGCCATTAGTGAGGTACAGTATGTCCAACTTTTATGATTGGGTTAGCTTCAAACTACAATCCACTCCATCTCCTCCTCCCACATAGGTAGATTATAGGCTTAAATCATTACTCTTGGTATAACACTCAGTCCTGAAAGCTTGTTACTATCCTGTAAATAAGTTTGGGCTATACCAATAAATGATGAAGAGACAAGTGGGGAGGAACTATTGATAGGAGGTCATCTTGAACAAAAAAAAAAAAACCCTGAGCACCCAGGTGATTTTAGCTTTATCAATCAAGGCAGAAGTGCTATTGCACTCAGCTCAGAAAATTGTAGGAAAATCACTGAAAGCCACTAAAGCATTTTTTTTTAAGATAGGGTTGCAGACAGGCTCCAGTGGGTCACACCTGTAATCCTAGCTACTTAGGAGGCTGAGATCTGAAAATCGTGGTTCAAAGCCAGCCCAGGGAAGAAGTCTGTGAGACTCGTATCTCCAATAAACTACTCAGAAAAAGCTGGAAATAGCACTGTGGCTCAATGGTAGAGTGCTACCCTTAAGCACAAAGATACTATTGGGGGGGCTGGGAAGATGGCTCAGTGGTAAAGCGCTTGCCTTCCATGCATGAGGCCCTGGGTTCGATTCCCCAGCACCACATAAGAAAAAAAAAAAGCCAGAAGTGGCGCTATAGCTCAAGTGGTAGAGCACTAGCCTTGAGCTGAAGAGCTTAGGGACAGTGCCCAGGCCCAGAGTTCAGGCCCCACGACCAGACCCAAAAAAAAAAAAAAGATACTATTAGGGATAGCCAGTCCTGAGTTCAAGCCCCAAAACTGGCACAAAAAAAGGGGGAAGGGGCTACTTTGTTTCCCAGGCTGATCCTGAATCTTAGATTCAAACTATCCTCATGCCTCAATTTTTTCAAGTATTCAGGACTACGGATGAAGGTCAACATTTCCAGCTGGTCACTAAATTCAAGGTTTTGTACTATGCAATAATTGATTACTGAAATCTAAGCAGGAAAGCATCGATTTTTTTACATGCATGAACTTCAATAATTCATCAGTACCTCAAAATGCTCCTTGATAATGTAGGCATTTGCAATTTTAGCCTTGATGCCTTCATAATCTCCAACATCACTTATGCAGATTGCGTACCACTGAAGAAGGAAAAATGGGAGAGTAATACTCTTAATATTCCATTCAGAACAAAAATAATTTATATTGGCATAAAACCTTATAAAATGTAGGCACAAAGTAGACATGGCCCTCTAGAAACTAAGGCATAGAATAGGATATGTTTGTAGAAAACATGGCATTATAGAGTAGAAACTACTGAATTATCTAAGAAAATTGTCAATATGCTTATGGCTTGGGTATACTTTTAGAAACATTTATAAATGAGAGACATTATCTATTCACTTTCTTTTCTGGGAACTAGTTCTCCTTTGACATATGTTATTATTATAGGGCTGCCACAGTTGTGAATTGTAGCATTCATAGTGCTACATGCCTGGGAGGCCAGCTACTCAGGAGGTAGAATAGGAGGATCTCAGCTCAAGCCCAGCCCAGGCAAAGTTAACAAGAAAACTTTGAAAAGCAAACTAAAAGAAACAGGCATGGCCTCCGAGAAAAAGCATGCTTGATTTCAATTTTATTGAGGGAAGAAAGCAGATGGGAAAGGTAGCACTGCAGCTGAGAAATGGAAATGTTCCCCAAGCCTGAGGCATTGAATGGACTGAAGGGTAGCTGGGAAGTCGGTGTTCTTAGCCTTACCTCCAGGCCTTGCTCTGGGACTTCTTAAAATGGGAAGGTTCCACTTTGCTTTTTTTAGACAGGGTCTTACTGTGTAGCTCAGGCTAGCCTCCACCTCCCAAGTGCTGGTACTACAGGCACGCTCCACCAGCCCTGGCTCTACTTTGCTTGCTTCTGGTGTTCTAGAGTCTACCATTACAGAAAGGCAAGATAATGTGGCTACTTTTATAAATTGATCAAGCATGTACTTTTTCCCCCAAGAAAAAAAATTAATTAAAAGGAACCCCAATTGAAACCTGACAGATCGGCTGCTACCAATACTTTCTGAGTTGCAGGATGCACACAGGTGGTCATCTATGCCAACTCTGCTGATGTAAGACCTGCAGCATCCTCCAACTAAATCACAGGGGGGACTGGTTTGGAAAACAGCAATCAAAAGTTCATTTGTTCTTGTCCATTGGCTAACTATGCAGAGTTTTAACCCTTCCATTACTTGAATAATTCTGTAGGTCTTCTGAGTTTATGGCCACATTCTTCCCAAGTTATTTTCCTCCCCCTTGCTGTTTGCCCATCCTGCCCATTTTTTTAATTTCATGGGTTATATTTGAATTGTTACATTACATATTATAACCTCCATTGAATGCAAACTTTTCTATATTCTCACTGTTAACACTTGATGTAAGTTTTTTTGATATTTTTTTTCCTTTTCCTGGAAGGTTTGTCATTTCTCTAAAGTTTATACACACACAGTATTTATGTATATAATGTCACTTTCTTAATGTTTTGTTGTTGATATTGTGGGCCCTTTTTTTTTTTTTTGTAAGAAGGACTGGCACCTGGAAAACATACAGAAACACTAGAAATAAAACTGATAGTTGTTGGTAGGAATCTGAGGAAAAAAAAAAGAAACAGGCATGGTTCAAGTGGTAGACTTGCCAACCAAGTCTAAGATCCTGAGATCAATCCACAGAACTACAAGAAAACAAAACAAAACAAAACAAAACACAAATAGGCGAAAAGTGAAAAGACAGAACAATACATCAAAATAAATCAATAATGCTTATAATAGCCAATAAGCGAGATTGTAAAACCAAGAGTATAAGGAGGGTAATTTTGTAATGATAATTTTTTTTTTTTCCTGTCAGTCATGGGGCTTGAACTCTGGGCTTCCGCACTGTCCCTGAACTCTTCAGCTCAAGGCCAGTGCTCTACCGCTTGAGCCACAGCGACACTTCTGGTTTTCAAGTGGTTTATTGGAGATAAGAGTCTCACGGACTTTCCTGCCTGGGCTGGCTCTGAACCGTGATCCTCAGATCTCAGCCTCCTGAGTAGCTAGGATTACAGGTGTGAGCCACCAGCGCCCTGCTGTAATGATAATTTTTAAATTATGTAATTTTATAACCTTACAAAGAAGTCAATTCACCAAGAAACTATAACAATCCTAAATATTTATAATAGCATTGTAAAAACTAATAGAATTGCAAGTAAACAAATCTACAAGTAAACTTGAAGATTTCAAAACATTCTTCTCAAATTATAGAAAACCAGAAAGGATTTAGAAGACTTAAGCAGAAAAATAACCAAGATGACCTACAGGAAACTTAAAAAGATATTCCTAAATATACACACACACACACTGTGTGTGTGTGTGTGTAGTGTGTGTGTGTGTGTCCTTTCACATCTAGAGAGGTTATTCCAAGGAAGTGCCTGTAGATAAACCTGTCTAGGATGTTGGAAGTGGACCTATGATTCAATGGTAGAGTGCTAGCCTTGAGCAAAAATTTCAGGGACAGTGTCCTAAGTTCAAACTCTCCCAGTCCTCCAACTGACAATACTAATTTACCTAACATACTAAAAGAAATTTGAACTCAAAACTACTTTTTGGAAGTGGCGCTGTGGCTCAGTGGTAGAGCGCTCATCTTAAGCTGAAGAGCTGAGGGACAGAGCCCAGGCCCAGAGTTCAAGCCCCATGACCGACAAAGAAAAACCACAAAAAACTTTTTGATAAAACACTGTAAAAATAAATCTATTCCCTAATTTAATATAGAGCTGTTTTGTCCCTTATATAAATTAGGAGTAAGTACAGACCAACAGACCACTCAGAAAATAACAGTTTACTTTGGCCAACTCACCTTATGAGCACCAAAACTTGACTCATTTTTTTCTAGTGCTCTTTTTGCATACTCTAGGGCTTCATAGATCAAAAGCTTTTTCTCCTCTTCTGAAGTCCTATTAAGCTGAGCTATATCACGTGAGGCTCGTGCCAAACGCCACAATAACTCTGCATCTTCACTAATTTGAAACAAAACACAAAATGAACATTTTAATTCACATTTAAAATTGTTAAAAGTTACATCATTAATGAATGGTCTTTTAGCTAATTAGGATACAGGAAATGATCTATCAGACACTATTATTAAAAATGCTAAATTTATTCTTTCATAAAAATTTTTATTTGGTAACACTGCCCATTGAAATTTCTCGGGAGGGTGCGAGCTGAGGACTGCAGTTCAAAGCCAGCCTGGGCAAGAAAGCTTGTGAGACTCTTATTTTCAATGAACCACCAGAAAACCAGAAGTGGAGCTGTGGCTCCAAGTAGTAGAGCTCTGCCTTGAGCAAAAGAGCTAGGGACAGTGCCCAGGCCTTGAATCCAAGCCGCATGACTGACCAAATCCAAAAACAAAAACTGCCACTGAAATATAATATTTTAAAAATGATTATTAAATTCGTGATCATAATTTTAAAATATTCTAAAAAATTCTTTTTCATTTTTAGGCAACAAACAGTATTTGCATAAAAGTTTTAAACGGAAAATGAACTACTTAACAGCTAGTAAGTAGCTGGGCACCGGTGGCTCACGCCTGTAATCCTAGCTACTAGGAGGCTGAGATTTGAGGATTGAGGTTCAAAGCCAGCCGCCCGGGCAGGAAAGTCCGTGAGACTCTTATCTCCAATAAACCACTAGAAAACCGAAAGTGTCGCTGTGGCTCAAGGGGTAGAGCGCTCGCCTTGAGCTGAAGAGCGCAGGGACCGCACCCAAGCCCAGAGTTCAAGCCCCCCAAAAAACCAGCTAATAAGCTTTCACTATAATGACTACAAAATACCCAATGTAAGGTCAGGGGCAGACCCCTCTCTCCTCTTGACTGTTTCCACCCAGTACCTGCCCAGATAACTGGCACACCTTGAAGCAGTCACCTCCTCCTCCTCCTCCAAGCTTACATCCTGGGCTGCCCCAGGTCATGCCTCCCATGTGGGAGGGTCCCAGGCTCCTAGGGCACATCCAAATCCAGTGTGGCTACACCTTCCCTCACTTGGCTGCACCTTCTCCCCGCCCCTTCCCTACTTAAAGACAGACAGGATGCTGCCTTGCCCCTTTTCAGCCATGTTCAGAATAATAAAACTATTCTCTCCTGCCTAAATACTGTTTTCTTCATTGGCTACCTAATTAAACTTACCTATGTAGGATTAGTTAAACATGGTGCCAAGACCCAGGAGGGACTTTTGAGTCAGGAAGGGCAAAATTTCCTGACCACCCGTTCCCCCTGCCCCCCAACTGAACTGCCTCAAGACACCACAAGACTTTTCACCAATACCATTGCTGGCCTCCACATAGCTTACACCTAAATTATCATCTGAAAGATGGAATGAAGAAGAAAAGGTTGTTCCTGTATATAGCTAGGGAGTAAAATTTATGGGTCTTGGGGAGAAAACTGACTTTTGGAATCTAGCAAAGGTAGTTGACAAATAACTCACAATTCCTAGAGTAGGAACTGAGGTAAATGAGATAATCTGGAAATCCCACCTACTTTATATGACTTACTTTATGGGGCTCAGTGTTCCTCTATCTCTACCTTCCAAAAAGGTAATGCACACTGACCTTCTAGACCAAACATGTAATCTAGTACTAAAAACAGAAAAAGGTTATATTTGTTTGGTTTCTCTGAAAAACTAAACATAGCTGCCATTCAATGGTGGCATATAATCATCTCAAACCTCCATAAATTCATTCATAAATTCATTTAAACTAAAGTTTAAAAGAGTTTAAAAGAGAAGTAAAAAGTAACTATATGGATAGGTGAAGTACATATAGATAGGTGAGGTACTCTTAGTGATAACTTGTATGGGTCAAAAAAAAAATGGAAGCTGGGTGTGGGTGGCTCACATCTGTAATCCTAGGATTGTGGTTCAAAGCCAGACCAGGTAGGAAAGTCTTTAAGACTCTTTTCTCTAATAAACTACCAGAAAACTGGAAGTGGTGCTGTGGCTCAAGTGGTAGAGTGCTAGATTTCAGCTGAAGAGCTGAGACACTGCCCAGGCCCAGAGTTCAAGCCCTATGCCCCAAAAAAAAAAAAAAAAACCAACTGGAAAAAAAACAGTTCAACATTCTAGTACTCTTAAGTAGTAGCACTTTTACCAAATCAATGAGATTCATGTAGCACTTCTGATTTGTTTAATGTAAGAACGTTTATAACATAAATTCAAGAGATATTACATTAAAGAAAAAAGCTACAATTAAAAAGATTTGAAGTCGGGCACCTAGTGGCTCATGCCTGTAATCCTAGCTTCTGAAATCCGAGGATTGTGTTCTAAAGCGAGCTAGGGTAGGAAAGTCCGTGAGACTCTTATCTTCAACTAACCATCAGAAAACCAGAAATGGTGCTGTGGCTCAAAGCAATAGAGCCCTAGCCTTGAGCAAGAGCTCAGGGACAGTGCCCAGGCCTGGAGTTCAAGTTCCATCACACACAAAAAAATTTCAAACTGGTTGCTGGCTATCCAGATGGCTGAGATCTGAGGATCTTTGTTTTAAGCTAGCCAGAGCAGGCAAATCCAAGAGACTCTTATCTCCAATTAACCAGTAAAAAAAAGCAGAAATGATGAAGTTTTAACCTTGAGTGAAAAAGCTAAGCAAAGGTATGATACAACAGCACCAGAAATAAAAAGATTTTGAAACCACTTTCTTATTAACGCAAAGATTTTAAAGAAGTCTTAGATCTATCATATATTGCTTACCTTTCTTTGTACTGGGTTAGTAAATGATAAAGTTTTTCTGTTTCTCCACTTTCATATAGATAGTCTGCTTGTTCAAGGACTTCCTCAACTTCAAAGATTATAAAAGAAAAAAAAAGACATAATAGGTATTCCCAAATTAGATGGCAGTAACTCTTTTTAAAAATCACACATTTTAGGCTGGGAAGGTGGCTCAGTGGTAGAGTGCTTGCCTTGCATGCCTGAGGCCCTGGGTTCGATTCCTCAGCACCACATAAGCAAAAAGAAAAAAGCCGGAAGTGACGCTGTGGCTCAAGTGGTAGAGCACTAGCCTTGAGCTGAAGAGCTGAGGGACAGCGCCCAGGCCCAGAGTTCAGGCCCCATGACCGGACCCCCCCCCAAAAAAATCACACATTTTACAGAGGAAACCAGACAGACAGATAATGTTCAATTTCCTAGCAAAAATGCCTGTAGTGGAAATGTGGCTCAAGTATGACTCAAGAGCTAGATTTGAGTGAAAAGGCTAAGGGAGACTGTCCTGATCCTGAATTCAAGCCCTAGTACAGTGTACTCTTCTGTGTGCACGTTTCACACATATTAAGAGTTTTTAACCACTGAATGTATTCCCGAAACCAAGTGGGCACTAAACCACACCTCCACGTCCTACTTTTTCAATGGCTACTTTTAGGATAGTGTATCATTTCTCATCAGGGCCCACCTCAGCTGTGATCTATCTACTTTAAAGATAAGGTTGGATTGCAAGTGTAAAACCACGTGTGGCTTCCCTTTGTGATGATAGATTATCCTGGGCTTTTCAGCCTGGCTGGCCTAGATCCATGCTACTCCAAATCTCAGCTTTCTATAAAGCTCAGGGTTACAGGTGTGTGCTACTACATCTAGCAGTGAGTGAATAGTTGAGAAAGGGTCTGATGACAGGGGTGAGCCAAAGGATTCTACCAAAAATTTATATATACAAGGATTCTGGGAATACTTCCGTGGAAGAGTGCTTGTCTAGAATGGACAGTATCTTAGGTTCAATTTCTATCACTCAAAACAAAAACAAAAAAAACAGAAGCAAAAATGCTCATAAGCCATTGTTTTCCACTGGTAATAGCCCTGAGTCCTACATTCACATTAGTACTAACAAGAACAGAAATTGTATAACAATAAAATGTGTAAATATTAGTTTCATGTTCAAAAATAAGTAAATATCGTTTTGTTTAACCTTACCTTTATCTTTGGCATGAACCACAGCAGCCTGAGAAATGATTTGGTAAGTTTCAAAACCCAAATAAGACAAAGCTGAGAATAAAAGGCCTCTTTTGAATGTTTTTATGTTTCCTATCACCTGTGGATAACATGATCAAAGTTACTACTCATAACAAATCTAGACCAACTGTTACACCAAGTAAAACATATCAACTTTCTTCCATTTCCAAAATCAATTAACAATAAAATATGAGTAGCTTGAAAATGAATTCATCTAATTCTCCAGGTAAAACTATTTCACATCTTATTTGGAGAGTATCTTATTAAGAAAAACACACAAGTGGCAGTTCATTTAAAATTCAGTGATATGCTACTAATATTATTCAGTGATAGAATGCTTACATAATGAGTGTGAGGCCCCCAGGCTGAATACCCCCAGATAGACAAAATAACCATAGCCATGCTAGTAAGTGCTAAATAGGAAGATCTGCAACTTATTTGCTGAGACACAGATATTATAAATTGTATGATATGAGTTATTAACACATAATACCTATTAGATGAGATGAAGATGAGCAATAATGGAATTACTACACATAAAATTGTAATTAGCTTTAACTGAAGGTACTGTCAAACTACCCACAAAACTCAGTTTTAATTTTATAAATACATTTAACTTACTTATTTTTACCTATTTTGGAGTTACTGGGCTTTGAACTCAGGGCTTTGAGTTGGCTAGGCTAGAGTTCTACCACTTGAGCCATGACCCCAGTCTTTTAGGTTTTAAATTGTTTTCCAAGTATGGTCTTGACTTTTGTCCAGGGTGGCCAGGACCTCAACCTTCCTACTTCTGAGTACCAAGTCATTGGGATTATAAGCATGCATTGCCATATCTAGAGTAAGGGTATTTATTTGGTGGGGCAGGACTGTTGTTTGAACTTGGTGCCTGTGTTTGCTAGGCAAGCATTCTAGTCCTTGAGCCTTACTTTCAGCTCAGAAACTCGTTTGTAAATAAACAAATGATGAATGAAATAAAAGATTTTATGCATAAAGGTCTGGAAATTAACTTTCAATTTGGTCAGATTCTTGAAAATAATGACAAAAGGAATATGTTAATATCACTCCAGAAGTTATTTCCTTTCTCCACAATCTTTTAACATTTTGTTTCCTTTTCTGTATTCATTCCACCAACATAAAAACAATGTTCGCCACTTTGAAAAACAAGCTATAACTTTTTTTAAAAAAGAATCTTCTTGACTTCACACCTCCCTAGTCTCATTTCTCAACTCCTACTCTTAGTAAAAGTCTTTTAAAAGTTTTCTGTATTTTCTCTACTTCTCTTCCCACTTCTTCATCCCACACAAACCATACTTTCTCCCCACAATCCCACTGATGCTATTAGAGTTAATGACAATGAAAATTCTGTTACAGGTTGAGGATTCATTATGTCTTGGGACTAGAAGGATTTCAGATCTTGGATTTTTTTCCAGATTTCAGAATATTTGCATTAACATGAGATGTCTTGTGGATGAAACCTCAGTCAAAACACAAAATTCATGTTTCTTGAATAATATATATATGGCCTGAAGGTAATTTTATACAGATTTTTAGCGTGTGTTTTTACTGTGCCTTGACACAAAACATGGAATTTTTCACTTATGGAACTCAAAATTTAATTTTAAAACACTATTTATATTTTCAGATTAAGAATGCTGGTTATGCATTGCACACCTATAATTCCATCTAGGTGAGAGGCAGAGATGGGAGGACCCTGGTTCAAAACCAGCCAAGGCAAAAAAGTTAGCAAGATATTATCTTAATAAATAAGCCAGGTGTGGTGGTCTAGTTCTGTAATCACAGCTAGGCAGGAGGTAGAGGTAGGATTGCAGTCCGAAGCCACACCAGGGGAAGAAGTCTGAGACCCTATTTGAAGAAGAAACTAAGGCAAAAGGGTTAGAGGGTCTGGTTAAAGTGGTAGAACAGTTTCCTACCAAGCACAATGTCCTGAGTTCAAATTCAGTATCACTAAAAGGAAAAAAAGAAATAACTCATCCTGTATATTTGACCTATTTGACAGATGACCATTCCATTTACAAATGGATATTTGTTAAAACAGCATTATTCAGGTATACATACAGACTGCACAGGGTGTCAATTTTAAGGCTTGTTTAAACTTGGGAAATCATTATTAAAAGATAATACTTTTATTATCCTGAAAGTTTCTTCTTTGTAATAACTTCCCAGGGCTTAAATTGCTCTATTACTCACTTTGTCTTTGAAAATACTGTCTTAGATTTCTTCTATTGCAATTGACTGCTACTTCTTTTGTTAGGTCCTCATCTCTAATATTTCATTCCTATTTTTTTGTCTCAGATCTCTTCTTTTCTCTATTTGTGATCTCATGGCACCTCAGTCCTAAATACCAACCTTCCGAAAACACTGTTAAGTCTGAACATCTCTTCTAAACTTCAGCATCATGTATGCACCTTCCTACTAAGCATGAACTCTACTAGTCATCTCAAAGCAGCTATTTTTCCTACTAAACTCACTCCTCTCATGGTTTTTTTACCATGGTAAATGGAAATCCCATTATACTTGATCAACTTTAAAAAAAAATCCTTGGAGTCATTCTCAAGTCTCTCACAACCATGATCAGTATTTGAGCTTTTGATAAATTTCTGAATTAGAAATGGGGACTATAAAACACACTTCAGTTTGCTGAATGCTTTGTTGAGCAAGAATATTCAAGGTATTCCACACAAATGGAATATAAAAAGATGCCAAAGTAGTAAAACCAAATCAGTCACACTCACATTTCTAGCATTTAATTTTCTGAGTTTGTTTTTAAGTACCAACTAGAAGAATAGGTAGTCCAGGATCTGGGGGATTATACCAGTAATCCTAGCTGCTCAGGAGGCTCAGAACTGAGGTTCGCAGTTCGAAGGCAACTCAGGCAGGAAAAGCCCCTGAGATTCTTATCTCCAATTAACCACAGAATGCTGGAAATAGAGCAGTAGCCTTGTAAAAGAGCTCAGGGTAAGCACCTAGGTCCTGTGTTTAAGCCCCAGTATTGGCGCTCACGCACACAAATTTTAAAAAATATATATTAAAAACAGAATGGGGCAAAGAAGATGAGTGGATATGTGAATGTATAGAGTTGCCTAGAAAATTAAAAATAGAAGCAGAAAAGACCAAGATGATATCAGCAAGTCTCCTAATTTTTCTGTTGTTGACAGGGGTACTACATAGTAGACTGTGCAGATCATGATTTGAGGAAATCTTTGTGTGTACAGTGTTCATTTTCTGTGCTCAGATAATGCACAACCATATCCTAGCTTTCTTAATGGGTAGAAAAAAAAATACTCTACTATTGAGTGACTAAAATTTTATTGTAATTTCATGACCTGACAGTTTATTGCCTAAACTCTGGTTCAGTTTGGTTAATGTGAGACAGGATGTTTGCTCATTTCTGGGAAAAATCATGATAAAAATGTTTCTGATATAAAAAATAAAAGCAAATACTAACTTGTGAAACAGCTTGAGTGTGCCATTTCACTCTGAATCAGTTCAATGCCTTTCATAACATGAGTTCTTTAAAAATGTTTGCTGAAAAAGTATGCTTTTCTTAAGATATGTCTTTTCTTCGATATTAACTGAAAACTTTGGGATAGAAGGGGGAAAAGGAAAAAAAAAATCCAAAACCTCATCACTACATGGAACGGAATATGCCACTTCTCTTTGTTACTGGTCCTTCTTGTAGTCTTACTAATAAATGCTTTGAATTGGCTTGTTTTAAAATTATAAAGGCTCCTGAATCTGTATTATCTAGCTGAGACATCAGAAGGTAATCTTCAGAGCCAGGCACTGTGGCTTGTAATCCTAGCTACTTAAGAGGCAGAGGTCAATCAGGAGGATCGAAGTTCAAGGCTAGCCGAGATTAAATTTTTCATATCCTATTTTACCCAATAAAAAGTGGGGTGAGGTGGCATGTACGAGTCAACTTGGCTGTGTGAAATACAAACAGAAGGATCAAAGTCCAGGTCTGCAACTAAATGAAAGGGGGGTTTCTTATTATATGAGGCCATAGCAGTTGACAGCTTGAGTCAACCTCAAGAGAAACTCAGCTAAAGTCTGGGTTCCGGTTCAGTAAAAACCACAAGAGAACAAGTGTGTATTATTTTAGGCAGGCATTGAAAGATGTATTTTAAGAGTGTAAACTAATGCAAACCAAATATATGCACCCGTCCCCTTTCAATAAGAACCACAGGCCCACGATCAGCCAGGATGGAGACTACACTCCAGCATCCATATCCTTCCTGAATATTACGCAGCTGAATCAAACAAGTCAAGAGACTCAAGGAACAATCAGCAAAAACCCAAACTAAATAAAAACAAAAACAACGTCGTCTCTTGAGTTTTCAAAGCGACGCGGTGCGCGTGGAGGTCGGGGGCCTCCGCGTAGCGCCGCCCGGCAGTGCAAGTGCCCTTCCCCGGGGGAAAGCTCGGATTCGGGCGCCGGCAGGGCAGGCAGGAGGCACCCGGTCCCGGGGCCGCACTCCCTCCTCGGAGGCCGGGGAGAGGGCCGGGCCCGCCCGCCGCGGCCACCCGGAGCGTTCCAGAGCTCCGCCCCGGAGCTCCGTCCCCGGCCCGCGTTCCACCAGGGAGGGGCGGGCGACCCCCCGGCGGGGTTACCTCGGAGCCGCCGGGAGGACGACAGCCGCACGGCGCACGGCTACCACAAGTCCTCCTCGGGAGCCGGAAGCCCGAGGCGGCTCCGCGTCCTCCAGGGAAAACGCGCCACAGCCGGGAGGCGAGCGCCATGGGGCTGGACCTTCGCTTCACCCCGAAGCGACGGAGGGGGCGGGCGCAAGGCGTCTTCCCAGGCTTCCGGCCCCTGGAGTTCCGGGGGCGGGAAAACGCCACGGTTGGGTGGGGCTTCGTGCGCTTCGGGGACCGGGGCGGGGCGTGGGAGAGTAGGCGTTCCCTGCTGCCGCCATCTTGGCGCTGCTTCGAGGTCTGGCCGGAAAGCAAAGGTCAACTGCAACTTGTGAAGGACATCCAAGGGCGTAAGTGTGAAAGGAAAAGTTGCACCGGCCCCGCCGCTGCCTTTAAACACAGGTTGAATCCTGGCGCCAAGGGGATGGATGCCTGGAAGAGCCAAACTGCCTGCATCGCGGGAATGAAGAGATTGAGTCTGGAATGGAGTTTCCGAGAAGGGGAGAGGGAAGCCAGACAAGAGCGACCACGCCAAGCACCCCGGGCCCAGGAAGAGGAGGAGGTGGCTGCCGGGATGGAGTGCACAGCCCAGTGGCAGCGCTTGCCTGGCGCGCCCAGGCCGGTGGCTGGGAGTGAAACCGGAGGCTTCTCTCCGGAGTGCGATGACTTCGGAGGTGAAGGGAACCGAGCCCCGACGCAAGCGGACACACTGGCTGCAAAAAGAAATCGACTGGAGGATGGAATTTGTGGGCTCTCGGGGCCAGTAGTCCTGGTTAAAAACAAACAGGCTGCATCCACGTGGTGCTTTCTGACACGCGCAATGAAGTGGACTCATACTGCATCTCTTCTGCCCAATGAGCTTGTAAAGTACTGTAGTAAAATTATAGTAAAAGAACACACAAGTACAATTGAGGGCGCAAAGCTAGTGATTTTTTTCTTGAAAGACTGGAATCCATATATATCTTATGGGAAAGAGTAACAGTGCTTTAAAAAAAAATTATGGTTGGGGCTGGGAAGGTGGCTCAATGGTAGAGTGCTTGCCTTGCATGCTCGAGGCCCTGGGTTCGATTCCTCAGCACCACATAAGCAAAAAGAAAAAAGCCGGAAGTGGCGCTGTGGCTCAAGTGGTAGAGCGCTAGCCTTGAGCTGAAGAGCTGAGGGACAGCGCCCAGGCCCAGAGTTCAGGCCCCACGACCGGACCCCCCCCCCCAAAAAAAAAAATTATGGTTATTATCGCCACCATTTCAGCCATATTTATTTAGGATTTGTTAGGTGACATCTCTATTTTTGTGTTTTTGTCTGTGGTCATGGATTTGTTTGCCTGATGGGTTGGGATTTGGAGAGGTGATTTTTGTGAGACAGGGTCTTATGGTGTGGCTTAAGCTGGCCTCAACTTCCTGTTCTCCTGCCTCCATCTCCCAAGTGCTAAGGTTAGAGTTGTTTGCCACCATGCCTGGGTCCTGCTTCATTTCTGAAATATGTTTTTAAAAATACATAGGTCTTCTCGGCTTCTGGACCCAGAGAGTGCTACTTTTATTTCTGCTGATGGCTATCTCAATATTGGTAAATGGTATGTTGGACATGATCATTCTGAAATTGCATTTCTGATATTTCAGCTAGAGTAACTTTTGTGTGTATAATGGGGATAAGCCTAGGACCTTGTTTATGCTAGATAAGTACTCTACCACTGAGCTGCACCATATTCCATGGTACATACTTGTTTTAAAGTTCTTATATAAAATTCAGATTATGTGGACTTTCTATATTTTGTCTGTCAGCCCTACTTCATTCTTCATGGTTGAGGATCATTGGCTTCCACTGTCCTTCAGCTTAAGTTTTATTGATTGTTTCCTATGACTTGGCCCAGGTCAGGCATTTTTGGTAGGCACATTGAATGACATAATCTGTTTGTGGCTTAACGTAATGAGGCCTCTGATGAAATTTTGCTGAATTACTGGAAAAGCAGATTAAAAAAAAAAGTTTTTGTGCTTGTGATCAAACCCATAGTCTTGTGCATACTAAATAGGTGCTTTACAACTGCAGTATGAATTGGGATCTATTTAAAAGGGAGATTAAAAGGGTTGCTACTGTTGCTCAATGATAGGGTGCCCTGGGTTTGATCCCCAGGACTGAAAGGAATAGAGGTAAATTAGGACATTTTATCTCCCTCCTTTAAATTCATTTCTGCTACATTATCTCCTACCCAATTAACTGATACTATCTGCTATCTTGTACCTACCTCTTTATTTTCTCATTCTCCCTTTCTCTCTCCTCCTTCCCCCCTCTTTCTCCTAACTGCCCCCCCCCAGTTTAGTAACACTTTTTCTTCAGTGAGCCTCATGATATTCTTTTCTTTCCCTCAATGAGCCAATGTGATATTATTTCTATCAGGAATCTTTTCTATTCCTCCACCTTATACCTTCTTTACCCCACTTCATTATTCCATAGACCACTAAGTTCTGTTTATCTATTGTCTCTCAGCTTAAGTGTCACTTCTTCAAAGCAACTGCTCTTACTTCTTCCAAATATACCTTGACTTCCTTTACGACGCTAAGCACATAATAAAATTTCAGTTTTACTTGTGTGATGTTAATCTGGAGTACATTTTGAAGACATGGTTGATAACAATTGGTAACATTTACCTTCATTGTAGTATAATCTTAATGACCATATATGATATTTTGTTTATAATAAGCTTGCACAAATTCTCCATTTGTTCAAGAAATATATACTTTGTACCTGCAATATGCCCAATATTCTTTTTTTTGCAGTCATGAGTCTTGAACTCTGGGCCTGGGCACTGTCCCTCAGCTCTTCAACTCAAGGTTAGCTCTCTACCACTTGAGCACCACTTCTGGTTTCCTGGTGGTTAATTGAAGATTAGAGTCTCATGGACTTTCTGGCCCAGGATGGCTTTGAACCATGATCCTCAGATCTCAGCCTTCTGAGTACCTAGGATTACTGGCATGGACCACTGGCACCTGGCCTAATATTCTTCTAGAAGCAGCTAACAGAGCAATTCCTAATGGAGTATATATTCTAGTTGAGGAAAGATATAAACCACATAAATATCAAAAGATATAATATGGTATAAGTTGATAAGTGATAACAAGGACAATAAAATAGAAATATTATTTCCTGTTTGCAATAATTACTTGCAATGTTATGGCATTCCCCCTCCCTGCCTCCCCTGTATTACTAGAGATTGATCCCAGGACATCGTACTGCTAGGCAAGTACTCTACCCATGAATGACTCCTTCAGCCCAGACATTAGGTGATAGCCAGAGAAGATTGTGCTGAGAACTTTTAAATAAAGAACCAAAGAAGAAGTGAGCCATGAGTCTATTTATGAGCTGAGTATTCTGTGTGGAAGGAAAAAAATATGTGAAGACCTGCTTTGGGAAGGCAAATGGTGTTTTATGTGAAGAGTAGGCCCACCATAGATGCAATAGAGAGAACAAGGAGAATAGTAGAGAAGATCAGAAATGAGATGGATGTCAAGTACTATAGGACTTCATTTTTGTGTGTGTATGATTATAGCATGACTTAATTTACTTTTTGTTAGTCCTGGGGCTTGAACTCTGGGCCCAGTCACTTTCCCTGACCTTCTTTTGCTCAAGGTTAGTGCTCTTGCACTTGAGCCACAGTGCCACTTCTTGCTTTTTGAGTAGTTTATTGGTGATAAGAGTCTCACAGACTTTGCTCCTAGGATGGCTTTGAACTGCAATCTGTAGATCTCAGCCTCCTGAGTAGCTAGGATTGTAGGCATAAGCTACCCACACCAGATTAATTTTGAAAATAGACTAAAGGAAAGCATTTGAGTAGCATTTGTTAGTCTAAAAAGCAATAGTAATGGCCTGGATTACACTGGGAGATATGGTCAGAATCTGGACATATTTGGAAGGTAGAGCTAAAAGGGTTAGCACATCTTTGACACTTGGTATGATCTATCAGTGGTGTGAAAGAAGAGTCAAAGAGTCAAACAACTACTGAGCACCAGTGGCTCAGGCTTGTAATCCTAAGTACTCAGGAGGCTGAGATATGAGGATCCTGGTTCAAAGCCAGCACCAGCAGCAAAGTCCATGAAACTCTTACCTCCAATTAACCATCAAAAAGCTGGGCTTAGAGCTATGGCTCAAGTGGTAGAGCACTAACCTTGGACAAAAAAGCTTAAGGTCAGTGCCCAGGTCCTGAATCCAAACTTCAGGAGGGTACACACACACACACACACACACACACACACACACACACACACACACACACACACACACACACACACACACACACACACACACACACACACACACACTCCAGTCATTTGACACACACACACACACACACTCCAGTCATTTGCTGGGTTGATCTCAGGACATTATGCTGCTAGGCAAGTGTAGGCCAAACAGCAGAAGGATTTTCCATTACTTTGGAAAGAGAAGAATGTAGGAGGAACTGCTTTGGAGCAGAAGATCAGGATTTTTGCATCTGTACATGTTTTAAAGTGCATAGATTTGAAATGCATGTTGGGAGAGCCTGGTCTGGTGGCTAATACCACTAATTTTGGTTTGAGGCCAGCCCAGGCAAATGGCTAGAGACACTCATGAGACACTCATATCTCAACTAAATACAAGAATGATGAAATTCAAAGAGATTGTGCAGTACTAAAGATGTGAATGAAGACAGAAAAGGTCCAAGAACCAATTCCTGGGGTACTTTAGTGTTTAATAATTAGCAAACTGAGTGGTGTGGTTCACACCCGTAATCACAGCACTTTGGAGGCAGTGGTAGGAGGATCACGAGTTGAGACCAGTCTAAGCTACATTAAGAATTCAAGCATATCCTGAGCTACAATAGTGAGACTTGTCTCCAAAAAGAAAAATGCAAAACAAACAAAATCCCAACCAACAAACAAAACAAACAAACAGACAAAAATGTCTGGGATTTTAAGAATCAAAAAACAAGAACATCCCATGAGGTAGAATGTCTAGGTGTTTTGTAAAATCTCATTTATTTCAATACACATTTAACTCTTCATCAGATATTAAGTCCTTTATTTTTATTTCTAGACCTCATTATATCTTACATAACGTGTATTCAACACTTGTTCAATTACTAAGTGAATGAGTAAGAGCAAAAGTAGAATGGAATTTTAGACTCTGGTTGAGGAGAATGAATAAATTCATTCAATAGCTTTGGCATATGTAGTCAAAGACACAGTGCCAAAAAGAAATGGCTTTTTTGGCTAAAAGCATAAAGCTATCCCCTGTCTCTTAGTGAAGATAGAAACTGAAAGTTATAGATACTCAGTATTCTGGGAATTTTGAAAATTAAAATAGTGGTGTCTGAGGACTTTTATTTACATTTAGAAACAACAAATAGAGCCAGCAACCTTAGGAAATAAAATAAATAAATCTCTTCTCAACTCTATGCCACACACAAAGGCCTTGTTCTCTTCTTGCAATCTGTTGGCTTTGTTCTTGCCTCTGTCCCTTTACGATTCTTCTGGCCCCAGGCATTTATTTTTATTTTTGTACTGATTTGGGGCTTTAACTGAGGGCCTGGGTGCTGCTTTTGAGTTTTTTTTTTTTTTTTTTTTTTTTTGCTCAAGGCCAGCAATCTACCACTTGAGCCACAGCTCCACTTCTGTCTTCTTGGTGGATAATTGGAGATCTGAGGCTCAAGACTTTCCTGCTCAGGCTAACTTTGAACTGTGATCCTCAGTTCTCAGCCTCCTGAGTAGATAGGCTTATAGGATTACAGGTGAATAGCTTTTAAAATTTATTATTTATTCATTCATTTGTTGGTTTAGTTAGTGCTGGCACTGGGGCTTGAACTCAGGGTTGGGGCACTGCTGCTTAGCTTTTTCATTCAGGGCGAGCTCTCTACTACTTAAGCTACAATTCTACTTCTGGCATTTTGGTGGTTAACTGGAGAGTCTCATGGACTTTCCTGCCAGATGGCTTTGAACCATGATCCTTAGATCTCAGCCTCCTGGGTACCTAGGATTAGTTATGAGCCACCTGTGTCTGGCTATGTCCCAGATCTTTGTAAAACTAGTTCTCCCTTTTTTCCCCCCTGGGCCTGGGGCTTGAACTTTGGGCCTGGGAGCTGTCACTAAGCTTTTGTGCTCTATTAGTACTCTACCACTTGAGTCACAACTCCACTTCCAGCTTTTTGATGGTTAATTAGAGATAAGAGTCTTATGGACTTTCCTGCCAGTGCTGGCTTTGAATCATGATCCTCATATCTCAGCTTCCTGAGTAGCTAGGATTACAGCCATGAGCTGCCAGCACCCAGTTTTCCATCTTATTTTTTGAAGTGTCGGATGAAATACCATTTTAGAAAGGTCTTTGTATCCCCAGTCTAAAAAATCCCTACTTTTATCTACAAGTCTGTCTGTATCACAACTCTCTGTACCCTTTCCTCTTGACACTTGTTGCTGTGTGAGATCTCTTTGGTCTTTAATAACATTATTTGTTCATCTTTTAGTACAGAAGCTCCTATCTGTAAAGCTCAGTCATTTAGCATAAATCTAGAACAAGGCTTGGTCCATATTTTTTTTTCATATTTCCCTTTCTTGCACAATTAGTTTTTACTCATTTATATACGGTGATTTTTTTTTCTGTATTTTCTCCTATTAAGTAAACGAACTAATCCTTGTCATATTGTGGCAAGTAGTTTCCAAGTATATTTATTGACTTTGTCCCTGTTTCTTGGGCAGAAGTTCTAAATTTTAAAGCAAATTATTACTATCTCCCACAGTGGTTTGCTTAGTTGAGTAATAGCACCAACCCAACCATCTTCTCTCTCTCTTTTTTCAACCAAGGTGTTTAGAAGTTAATTTACTTAGTATTATTTATGACATTATGGCAAATGCTCAACTACTTAGCTATGTGAAGCATAGCTTTCTCATTTATGAAAAGATATACAATAGTATCAAATCTGTTACAAAGTTGTGAAGATTAAATGAAATTAAGGATAACCCTGCAAGTGTTAGTGCACCCAATTTAAGAGTTTCTAATTGATTGGTTTTTTTTTGCCGGTCATGGGGCCTGAACTCTGGGTCTGGACGCTGTCCCTCAGCTCTTCAGCTCAAGGCTAGTGCTCTACCACTGGAGCCACAGCATCACTTCCGGCTTTTTCTGTTTACGTGGTGCTGAGGAATCGAACCCAGGGACTCATGCTTGCAAGGCATGCACTCTACCGCTGAGCTACCTTCCCAGCCCCTAAATTTAAGAGTTTCTAAATAAGTATGCTTTAGAGCTGCGGTTTCACTATTTATATCCTATGAGTTTTTCTGTCTTATCAAATATTTTAATATTTTAATCCTTCGGGAATTTGTTCTTGATGCACCAAATGGATTATTTTAATGTCTACAATCAGCTTTGGGTTTGGAGTTTGCACGTGATCTCCTCAATAGCTTTTTTTTAATTTAAATTTTATTTAAAGGTGATGGACAGAGGGGTTACAGCTACACAAGTCAGTTAACGAGAGCATTTCTTTTTTTTGGGGGGGGGGGGGTCCCGTGGGGCCTGAACTCTGAGCCTGGGCGCTTTCCCTCAGCTCTTCAGCTCTACCACTTGAGCCACAGCACCACTTCCGGCTTTTTTCTTTTTGCTTATTTGATGCTGAGGAATCGAACCCATAGCCTCATGCAAGGCAAGTGCTCTACCACTGAGCCACTTTCCCAGCCCCAATGAGAGCATTTCTTTTTGAACAGTGAACTGAATACCTTTTAAATAACTTACTGGCCGGTAGCTGGTGGTCCATTCCTGTAATCCTATTTACTCAGAAGGCTGAGAGCTGAGGATCAGGGTTTGCAGACAGTCAGGGCAGGAAAGTCTTATTTCCAGTTAACCACCGGAAAACTGGAAGGGGGGGGTGAAGACGGTGGCTCAAAGTGGTAGAGCAAGCAGAAAAGCCCAGAGACAATGCCCGGGCCCTGAGTTCAAGCCCCCCCTCCCCCCAACAGCCTACTGGCAGGAAGTTGAGTAAAATCACTCGCTAGGTGATCGGTGGGAGCCGTGTGGGCTGCCGGTGGCAGACCCCGCCTCCTCCCGGCCCTGCCCGCCCCCTCCTCCCCGCACCTCCCTTTCCCCACCCTCCGCGGTCCGCGCCCCGCCCTCCCGCCCCCACCCATCTGCCCTTCCAGCTCCGGGTTCCTGTAAACCCGGGGCAGCCCAGGCAACCTTGCGGACTCTACCTTTCCACTACCTTCGCCAGACGTCCATCCCCTGGATTCGCGCGTGAGTGCGGGCCTCCCCGCTCCGGGGCGGGTGTGCCAGCCCCCCACCCCGGCCAACCACCAGCTTCTCGCGGGAGGGGGGGCGGAGGGCAGCCGGGCCGCAGGCTCCGGGCCCCGGGCCCGCCCGGCCTGCGCTGCTCTGCTCCTCGGGTTCCTGCGGCCGCGGACGAGCGGGGCGCCCTGCCTGCGAGGCCCACGGCCTGTAAAGGCACGGGGTTCGAGCCGGGCTTCGGTGGCTCACGCCTGTAACCTCAGCTGCTCAGGAGGCTGAGAGCTGAGGACGGAGGTTCGAAGCCAGCCCGAGCAGGAAAGTTGGTGAGGCTCTAGCTGGACATAGAGCCGTGGCTCAAGGACTGGCCTTGAGCCGAAAGAGCCCAGATTCCTGAGCTCAAGCCCCTGGAGTGCCCCCCTCCAAAACCCAAAAAACAGCTACAGTCAGAGAGAAAAGCAGGGTTGGCCAGCGCCTCCCCGAGGAGCCGGTCCCGCTTCTCAGAGCTGGGCCTGGCGCAAAGGCCTCCTGACCGCGGAGCTCGCACCTGGGCCCGCGGTGCCCAGGGCCCCGGGAGGAGCGTCAGGTGCGTGGCCTGGGGGTCGGCAGGGGACCCAGGGCCCCGAAATCACCCGGGAGAGCGGGGTGGGGCCCCTGCACCGCACCGCAGGTGAACCGGGTGAACCAGGCGTGCGTGCGTGACACTGCCGGGTGAGGCGGACGGAGGTGATCGCCCATCAGAGTAAAGCTAGGGCTCGGAGGAATACTGCTCAGCACTCCGGGGTACGTGTTCCTGCTTCGAAGCTGTCCAGTGCCCTGGGCTTTCTACAGAAGGGGCGTGGAGGAAGTGCCGTTGCACTTATTTCCCTGTGCCAGAAACTTGTGTAAGCCCAAGTGACCATCCTGATGCATTTGATGGTTATCTCGTTTGCTTCTTACTGTTACCTTTTCATGGCCGTCTCTGTCGTGGAAAATCAGAGGGAAGAGTGGTGTTAAATATAGCAATTATTGATTACAGTGTCTTACAACTCTGCTTGATCGTTTTTATGGATGTTGGCTTACTTAATGCTCACAGACACTTAGATGCTGTTATCTATTTCCTACCCCAGGAAACTCAGTGTGGCAGGACTTGCATGTAAGTCTGTATGATTTTAGGGCACAAGTCTTAGGACTTAAGTAAAGGAGAATTATTTTTTGAATAACACAAAACACCTGTCTCATTTCACATTTATGCTTTGAAATGGATTAGCTGTGTGATCTTAAGCGGGATACTTAACTTTTTAGAGCATGTTTCTGCATTTGTAAAACAGAGATAAATACCTACTGTGTCGGAGAGCTGTTGAGAGGATTTAGTGAAATTTGTATTTGTAAAATATTTAGAAAAGTGCCGGGCACCTAGTGGTAAGCTACTATTCTTACCTTCGTCCTGTGTTGGCCATTAATTGGAATCAGCAAACTCCAGCTGTGAATGCTGCCATCCTCATCTCTTCAAAGCCTGTACAGGCCTTGGAGCACAGGTAAAGGAAAATGGCAAAGGATGGGAGACTTATGTGACTTATGTGATGGCAATTGGACCGAACCAATAGATGTCTTAGGTGTTAATCTAAGGCTCTCCGGGGCTTTATTTTCTTTAATTAATTTGCTTTTGTGAGCAGTTCCTCTGGCTGGATAAATTGATACAAAGCATCCCAATCTGGGATGAAAAACTTCAAAAGGCCAGTCTCCAGGACTGGACCATTCTGAGATTATCTATATGATTTGTGGAACTGAATTTCTGGTCCTCAGACTAAAAGGTATCTGCAAACTCCAAAATGAACTATGCCATTCCTTTCAGGATTTCTCCTTTTTGGTCTAGCCCCTGATGAAAAGGAGGTTCCAGGAATTCTTTGCCTCTGGGAGTATCTTAATGATACCTCTCCCACTTTTACCTATAACTGTGAACATCTTCTACACAATGCTCTTCATTTTCACATAAACGTAAGACAACCTAACAATTGCACATTTAAAAATATTATTGGGCTAGGAGATGGCTCTAGCCCTAAAGTCAATCCCAGCTCTGCTCAGTAAATGAAATATTTTAATACTCCTTATTTCTGCTGCCCTGAATACTCTTCTCTTCTCTTCTCTTCTCTTCTCTTCTCTTCTCTTCTCTTCTCTTCTCTTCTCTTCTCTTCTCTTCTCTTCTCTCTTCTCCTTTCCTCTCCCTCTCCCTCTCTTTTTCTCCTTCCCTCCCTCCCTCCCTCCCTCCCTCCCTCCCTCCCTCCCTTCCTTCCTTCCTTCCTTCCTTCCTTCCTTCCTTCCTTCCTTCCTTCCTTCCTTCCTTCCTCTCTCCCCCTTCCCTTTCCCTCCCCTCCCCTCTCCTCTCCTCTCTTTCTTCCTTTGCCAGTCCTGGTGCTTGAAGTCAGGTCCTGAGCACTGTCCCTAATGCTTCTTTTTTCTCAGGGCTAGCACTCTACCACTTGAGCCACAGCGCTACTGTCGACTTTTTCTGTTTATGTGGTGCTAAGGCATTGAACTCAGAGCTTAGTGCATGCTAGGCAAGTACTCTACTGCTAAGCCACATTACCATACCCTAAATACTTATTTTCTCTGTTAGCTTCTATTTAGAAACCCAGTTCATAGTATATGCAGTGTTCATTTAACTCTTTGTAGAGTTTTTGGTTTTGTTTTTCTCCCCCTCCCTCCCTTTTCCCTCCCTTCCTCCCTTCCTTCCTTCCTTTTCTTTCTTTTCTTTCCTTTTCTTTCTTTTCTTTCCTTTTCTTTCTTGACAGGGTCTGTCTAGCACAGTCTGGACTTGAACTTGTGATACAGCTACTTCCTGAATGATGGGATTACAATTATATACCACCAAGCCCAGCTGTGTGTGGGGGGGTGGGGGGGGATGTATTTGGTTTTTTTCGAAGTACTGAGAATGAACCTGAAGCCTCATACATGCTAGGCAGCAAGTATTCTACCACCAAGCAACATCCCTTTCATATAGCTGTAAATGTAACTTTCAAATTTTTTGCCTTATTTTCTTCTTGTGATCACTGGGCTTTTTTTTTTTTTCTATAACTGTTTTCCTTCACTTCTCAAATTTTCTTTCCACTGATTATTTATTAGGCCAGAAACATATGACTCTCAGCAAAACTAAGAAAGATAATGTCGAATGAAAAAGTGATATCAAGACATTTTGACTTTTAAACATTATAATGAACCATTACTGTTCATGCAAGTATTAACTCTTAGGTGGATCTTTCAGTTAGAGTCAGTGGGACTCAGCAAGCTGGAAGAGGCTAAACTAGGATATTCCTATCAGACCTGTATTACCTTCACTTTGCAATCTAGCTTTCTTTCCACCAGTGTTTCCCTTTATCTTGTTAGTTTTTCTGACTGTTAAAATCCAAATACATTGGATAAATTACATGATTGGAAAATTTTTTTTGTATGTGTATCACCATAATGAGGATTGAATTCAGAGTCTATTATTCGGATTTGGCTATTTTACCCAAGGCTGGCATTCTACCACCTGGCTGCACCTCTACTTCGGCTTTTTTGCTAAATAATTGGAGGTAAAGGGTCTTGTAGGCTTTCCTGTTTATGACTTTCCTTCCTAGGTTGGCTTAGAACCTCAATCCTCAGATTTCATTCTCCTGCAAAGTTAGGACTATAGGTGTGATCCACTAGTGCCAGCTTGGGAAATTTCTTAAAGTACTGGACAAGAAGCAGATTTAAATTAACACCTAGACTTAATTTAACAACATTATTTAAGATTCTGATAGTGATTATCAAATGCAGTTATTATGTGTACATTTTTATAAAGTTCTGATAACTATATTTACACAGGTTAGAAAGACATTGAATGTGGATTGATAACAGAGTTCTTTGGGAGAGGCTGTTCATTCTTTTTATATTTAATAATTTAGTAAAATGTGATCACAGATTTTAAAATGACAGGGAAATCAGTCAATGGTCAGTTTATCAATATATTTTAGGAAAGTAGTGTATTAATACAATTTGCTCATTAAAAAATGAAAGGAAGTACTGTACAGTTATGTTTGTAAATCATTTTGAAATATCCTCTTACCAAATGGATATAGTATGTCTAGTTTTTGTGGTCATTACCAAAGCAGTGGTTAGGTTGCAATACACCATACCAATCAGCTACTTAGATATTTTGAAGCTCTTAGTTTCTTCTGCTGCTAGACTTTAAGATTATAATCAGTGCATGTTAAAAGTTATGTCTACAAATGTAAAGAGAAACTTGTTGGTGCACATTTTTTTAATCTCTTAAAGGCTCAGAATTTTTTTAAACCAAAGATGTAAAAAGCAAAACAAAAATTTCCTGATGGCATTATCAAAAAAATTATCAAATACATAAAATTGTATCTCACGTTGGGAGCCTGGCGCAGGTGGCTCACGCCTGTAATCCTAGCTACTCAGGAGGCTGAGATCTGAGGATCGCTTTTCAAAGCCAACCCAGGCAGGAAAGTCTGTGAGACTCTTAACTCCAATAAACCACCAGAAAAACAGAAGTGGCGCTGTAGCTCAAGCGGTGGAACGCTTGCCTTGAGCTGAAGAGCACAGGAACAGTGCCCAAGCCCAAAGTTCAAGCCCCACGACCGACCTCCCCCCAAAAAATTGTTTCTCACTTTGAATATTTCTTGTTCTTCTTTCTTGCTGTTTTTCCCCTTAGCCCTTACTACTACTTAACATGCTATTTTATTGCTTTACCAATATTGTTATCTGTTTCCCTATAACCTCTCGAGAGTACAAATTTTGTTTATTGTCTGTTTTCCTCTTTGTTGGTTCTTGGGCACCTTGGAGTAATCTCTGTCTCATTATATGCATTCCATAAGTATTTGCTGAATGAGTGAATCCTGCAATTCAATTATTCATGACTGGAAAATATAGGTTTGCCAGAAAGTTAAACAGCTGAATTGTGTGTGCTACCAATCAGGAAATGAATATTATTGAAATCTGAAAATGTCAAAATATGTCTATAGTCTTTACTTAATATTCAAACTTTAATT